AGAGTATGAAGCCTAAGGGAAAGAGTAAGGATAGCATCATGCCTCAGAAACTTTTGTTCAAAGTTTCAACGTCGTCTTCTTAAAAAATCCCGGTGAGTTCCAAAACCCGGTTACTGTTCACGGGTACGAAATACTATTCCCGAACTCAAAATCTGATCTCCACCGTTCAGATTGTGTGACACTAAGTCATGAACCTATCCTCCAAATTTCAGCTCGATCGGACCACAGACGAAGTGGGATCGGATGTTTGATGAAATCTGGGCAGAATGGAAAAAACCTGTGCGACCTAATTACTGTTCACGAGTACGAATCACTGTTCCCGAGGTCAAACTCTGATCTCCACCGTTCAGATTGTGTATCACTGAGTCGTGAACCTCTCCTCCAAAATTCAGCTCGATCGGACCACGGACGAAGCGGGATCGGATGTTTGATGAAATCTGGGCAGAATGGAAAAACTGCGTTTTTCCTTCTCCACTTCCACAAAACGTGTGCTTTGTTTAAAAAAAACCCTATACAGACGTCTACCTTATACTTATAGAGTTTTCCTAAACCCTAGGTTCATTTAAATCCAACTCACAATCCTAACCGGCACATCCAATTAATGTAGAAACCTACGACGGCTATAATATAAAATCCTAATTTATACTGTAATTAAAACCCTAGTTAGATGTATTTACCTAATTACCCTATTCACCATTAAATACTTAACAAATAATCTAATTGAACAAAATAATAATTACTAAACCCAATTAAACCAAATAAGACACACATAAAATAAGACACATATAGAATAATTAAACCAATTACACTTAAACCATTAATACCAATTAAATAATTAAAATACTAAAAAGTAATTCCAATCAAATAACTAAACCAATTACACTTAAACCATTAATGCCAATTAAATAATTAAAACACTAACAAGTAATTCCAATCAAATAACTAAAAATAAATATCTTTTAAATAAATTAAATCACCACAAAAGAAAATAATTAAGCACCTAATAAAAAAAATAATGATACATAATCAAATAAAATGCACTTAAATAATAAATTAAATACCATTAAATACCAGGAATATCCTTTTTAAAGTTAGGGGTATTACAAAAAACAAACAAAAAAGAAAAGAAAAGAAAGAAATAACAATGGAACAAGATAACTAGCATATAGGATAACTAGATCTTGTGACTAATCCCTTCATGAATCCCCTTTGATGGTCGTAGGGGTGCCATTTTCACACATGCGCTCAATAACAGAGTCAAATATAGATATTGAAACGTAATAGAAGCCAAAGTCAGTATTGGAATTTAGATAAGCACATCCGGAAGAAAAGCCCTAAAAATGAAGAAATTGGGTAAAGTGAATCTCAAGAGAGTTTCTTCTATTTTGAAGAAAAGGCCTAAAAATCTTGGAGAGAGAAAGATGAAGGAAGGATCGATGATTACCTGAAGAGTTCAACTCAATTCTCAATTGGACTAGAGTGGTGAGAGAAATCGTATTGAGAGATCAGAAAAGTCATAGAGATAGAGAGAGTGGAGGTTTTGTGAAATCTTGCTAGATTTCCCATAGCCTGGTGACGATACAGAATCCGATCAGCCAACAAAATTTGCCATAGCTTCTTGAGGAGATCTGCAGAACGAGCTGAGAGAGAGAGAGAGAGGGGGGGGATGATAGCGTAAGAGGAGATTGATACAATGTGAGGATGTACGGTAGAAGGAAGAAGAGAAAGAAAGAGCGTTGGATGTTATAAACGAAAGAAATCAACGTCACTCACTTAAGTGACTCGAGCTATTCTCCGTGTTTTCTCCCAAATGAAAACGGTTCTCAGAAAACCTTCAAAACATCTTTTAGCTGCTCTCCAAAAACCTTAACTCATTTATCTCAGTTTTTTAAAAACAGTTTTTCAAAAACAGAACCAAGTAGACCAATTTTGGAGTTTTTAGTTTTTTGCAACTATGAAAACAGAAAACTGTTTTAGGAGAATCAATCCAAGCAGGGTAGTATTTGAGTAAATAATACTTTCTTTTTCTTTGGGTCAGGCTCTGATACCATTTGTAATGACCTATTCCACCACATGGTATGATATTATTCGCTTTGGGCCTGAGCCCGGACGATTTTGCTCTTGGGCTTCACCCCAAAAGGCCTCATACCAATTGACCCAGCCGGAAATGTGCCGACGGGGACGTCGGACCTCCAAGGGGGGTGGATTGTGATGACCTTGTGGGCGGGTGTGCCGTGGGCGGGTGCGAAAGACACTGTCAAGCTACCACACTGGTGAGCTACGGGTGCATAGTCCCACATCGCCTGGGTAAAGGAAATGTGAAGTGCTTATATGTAAGTGTGTCACCTCCAATTGGTATGAAGCCTTTTGGAGTGAAGCCTAAGAGCAAAACCGTGCGGGCTCAAGCCCAAAGCAGACAATATCATACCATGTGGTGGAGTGGGTCGTTACAGGTTATTTGGACAGTTAAATCTTCTTCTTTTTTTATTATTTATTTATTTTCTTTTTTTATCATATACTACCATGTTCTAAAGAGTGCTTAGTCTAGATTATCATTTGCCCTACACTAAATTAATTAACAGATTAAAAAAATAAATCTAGTATCTTAGATAACAGAGATCAATTATTCCTTGAAAGCTATGAAGTTAGAGCTTAGGTATGAATTTGATTAAACATTTCATATTAGGAGTGTGAAAGCAGATGTTGAGATTAGAAGAATTGAAGATTCGATGCTGTTACTATTTTTAACTTATTGTCGATCATCTATCTAGCTATTGGTTACAAAATTTTCCCCTTTGATCATGGCATATACCAAGTCAAAATTGCAGCCTCACAAGCATTCAAGAACCAGAGAAGCATTATTCCCACACCTAATAGTTTGATTATGGTGTTGGACTTTAAACACCCTTACTGAGCATCTGATACCATCGAGATGTTGACAATTATCATCTCTCTTTTCTGAAACAACACGTCTGTTTATTGTGTAACAGCTATAAAGTATAAGCCCCTCTAATCACTTCTGCTGTTTTAGGGGAATTTGGTAGACAAATAGTTCTAATTTTGGCGAAAATGTGGAGTACGAAAAGTCTCGAATATGATCCCAACCCATTATTTTTCTTATAAAAATGAGTAAAAAAATCTTTTATTGAACATTAAGATTCGTAGAGGACATCCCATCTTGAATTCTTTTAGCTAAAAACTAGCTTTCACACAATTGGAAATGACATGACATGATCAAGCTCCTCTCTGTGATCATAATATCATTATTCCCCTCTTTATAAGCTGCTTTGTAGCTAAACACAAACTCATACCTTTGATCCTTCAATTAGCTTCCCATTTCCATCATTCATCATCAATGTCAAAGAACCAGAATGGGGAAAACTCAATGGGGGGGTGTGAGAAAATTTACAAATGTTTTCGAAGAAGTCATCGCGATACACATTGCCCACAAAACTCCAACCCTACCAATGCTGCTGCAAGTCCTCTCCTGCCAACCCCTAAAGCCCATATGTCCCAAGCCATACCTGTTGAAAATAGGACTACTCATGAGGAAGTAGTGATACCAATCGAGGTTGCTCCTCCGGTTCATCCCACTCTATATAAAAATAGAGGGCAATTGGTAAAAGTTGATCTAACCTCTGAGCCTGCACCAAACAGTGCTTTCGCAAAAGAGGATAAAGTTAAGAACAAGGCGAAGAAGATCAATGAACAAGCTAAGGTTGCACCCAACCGTGAAGTGGCGCCAAATCCAATTGTTGTTTCAACTCAGGATCAGCAAGGAGATGACAATCATAAGTTTTCAGATTACATTAAGCACGCGAAGATGAAGATCAGAACTACTACAAATGTTGGCCATGGAAAGAGTGTAAGGAGACATGACAGCTTCAATGACAGGGTTTCGAATTTTATTAATCGTGCAAAAATTAAGATCAGAAGTTCGTCGAATATTGGTGAAGGAAAGAGCAGCTCCTTCAAATGAAGACTTAAAGAATTCATATATAAAGGAAGGTAAAGCACTGGATCAAGGATTTGATGAATAAAGAAGGGGTGTTTGTGATTCTGGGTGATGCATATACACATTTATTTGTGCATGTGTGCAAACTTTTTAAGTTACTGGTATCTTATTATATAATTACTTATAAATTAGTACAGAACTTTATGAGATAAACAGGTTCTTTTTATTGTTTTATTGGTTTTCTTGATAGTACCAAAAACCTTGGGCAATAAGGTTTTAATGTCCTCTATGCTTGTGTCTTGCTGTTGATTTAATTTATATAAATCTTATTGTATTTTATATAATTGATCTAGGCAATGTTTGGTTGAAAGATATCTGGTCAATCTATTTCTGCAGCAAAGTAAGATGTTGAGAATAAAATAAAAATTGAATGTCATAAGTTTCAATTGAATACATGGTTTGAATCAGCCTCTAATTTCATGTGTATTAGTCAATGTTCATGCATAAGCCAGTCCCAAATACAAGTCTTTCATACTAATAAAGACATTGACATGGAATTAACATATCATATTTCATTATTCACACCTCAAAGCAGGAAAAAAACCGCAATATTTGTCACCACCCAATGTTGTTCTTGACAGGTTAGGTGTCTCACCTTGAAGTAGAGAAGTGCCCTCCATAGTAATACTACACCATCAGATTATGCAGGACAAAACCAACAGAGAGTGATTGGTCCCTATTGTGAATAAACACATCTTTCTGCAAGCTCTGTAAATGAAGCAGGGGTCTGCTAAACGCAATGGTCTAAATTTCATAGAACCAAAAAATAAAAATAAAGAAGCAATCTACTGAATACTGATATGGTGTTAAATTGAATTTTAGCGAGACAACTATGGGAAAAACCAAATTTACGGGCATTTTTCTTGTGTCACAGTCACTTTAATTGTCTGAACCTCATAAATCACCTAAGTAAAAAATGTATTATTGTTCATGTGCAATCTGAATATAGTATGAATTGGTTTGGGCAATGAGTCAATGACCAATCTGAGACCCTCAACCATCCGTAAAAATGACATCTATTTCGACTCAAAATTCAAATAATCATCATAACCATGTTAGTAGTAGTATATGGTAAACAAAGTTAGTCCCTGAATTAAATGTGGAGGATCAATTAAATTATATATTACTACAAGAGAGGATGGAGGTCCAAAGACAACAAGAAAACAAAGAATCTAAACCAAAAAAAAAAACATACCCAAGACAGAAGCATGATTGAACTTAATCACATACTAGATGGGATATTTTTAAAGATATTAATATATAGATATAGAGTTATCAGAGGGACATGGACAATCTGAGATGGATAGAGGACCCTTGGAACAAAATCATCATCCTGCCATTGTTGAAATTAACAAATAACAAAACTCAAAATCTTCTTCCTCCATGCTTCTCCCCCATTGAAAACCCCTTAAGCATACCTCACTGGCCCCTTACTTTTTTAAACGTACACCTAATGAAAAAACACACAATCCTCTCTTTCCCCCTCTTCAAAATGAATAAAATTTAAGTACTTGAATTTTTTTTTAATTTTTTTAGGACTTCTATTAATATAATATATCATCATTTTGTTCTCCAAAATCCCCAAATCTATAGTTTGTCCCTTCATTCTTCAAAAGCGTGCTTTGATGAACGGTAGAGATCATAAGGAGCCCACAGATAATCGACTGTGCAGGGCTTCCTCGAGTCCAACCTCAACCATGGCTTGCCCTTTCCACTCCAATGGAGTAGGCTGATTGGTCCTGGATGGAGTCCTCTACATTTCCCTTCAACATTGTCACCACCCAAACCATGTTGGTTCCATCTATGATCAATGGCCTTGATGTTTCCCGCCAAAACAAGCAAGAATGGTGGCAATGACCCCAAATGGTATATCCTCTTCTGCTTTTGGACCACCATCCAATCCTCAACCTTCTGAGCATACCCTCCTTGTCTCCACTTATCCACGTCCACCACCATTACTCCGGTGTTGAAGTAACATGGCTTCCTGCCCCGGAACGTCTGCGCCATACCGGGGTCGGACCAAAACGCATCCGTGAAGTACTTGGTGAAATTTGCGTGACAGTACTCGGGTGCAGCCAAGACCTTGTCACCCAAATTGACCTCCCAGAGCTTGGCAATGTCGTCCACCACAACGAGGTCGGAGTCAAGGTAGATGACACGGTTGACATCTGTTGGAATAATGTCCGGCAGATAGACTCTGGCATAGTTGAGAGGCTGGTCCAGAGCTTGTCTAATGGACTTGGAGATTTTGCCTCGAACACGGTTGGCGTCGAAGCGGTAGACCTTGAAATTGAGGTAAGGGAAGGTGGTTTTGATGCTGGAAAAGATCCCGGGTTCAAACCTGGCCCAGAGGAAATGGAAGACGATGTTTTCTGGACAAGTTGTGTGTTGGAGGATGGACAAGACGGCTGCAATGGTGCCTCTGAGATAATTGGCGTCGAGGGTCATGGCAACATGAATCCTTTGATTGTCATCAGGGGAACGACATGTTTCGCCATTTCGGAAAGCTGGGGCTTCCCGGAAAGGGGGAGGGATGACGTCCGGGGAGGGTTTACGGACGATGCCAAGGCGGATGCCAGCGGTGGTGATGGGGGCGGAGGAGGTGGTGGAAGGGTGGATGAGGATGGGGAAGAGAGACAGGAGGCCAAGGAGTGAGAAAAAAGAGGAGCTCCGGAAGGCCATCCTGCCCTTAGCAGCATTTAGAATGCACAAGTTTTAGGGAAGAAGAAAGGAAGCGGCAGCCATTGGAGCTGGTTAAGAGAAGGTTTAGGAGAGGTTAGAAATGAGTGATCAAAGGCAAGGAGAGAGGTTGGTGGGATTGTGAGGAAGAGAAGAATCCTCGGAGGATCTCTAATAAACACCCATGTAATTCATATATATATTATTTCCATATTTCTAAAGAAATAAAATAAAAATTAAAAAGTTGTCAATTTCATTTTAATTTATTGGGGAACTAGACCCCCACCTTTTTTATAAAAAAATTTATAAAATAAAAAAGTTAAAATTCATTTTTTCCATACTTCTAGAGAAGATTTTTTTGTAAAGTTTTTTTTTTTTGGCTATTTATATAGGTGTGTGTGTGTGTGTGTGTGTGTGTATATATATATATATATATATATTAATCTTCGTTAAATAACAATTGTGTGTAATCTCTTGTGTCCATAAAAGTTTAGAGCTTCATATATAAATAGTACTAAGTGACATATAAGTTCTGGCATTTTCATTTTTCTTTTTTCTTTTTTCTTTTTTCTTTTTTCTTTTTTTTTTTTTTTTGTATTTGTCTTCTCTTTTACTATTGCACTATAAGCGCATTATTTTACATAAACTCAACTCAAAACTTTTCTTTTAGACCATACTTCAATTACAATTTTTTCTTCAATTTGCAGAAGTGTAATGATAATACACCAAAAGAGACTAGTTTCAGAACTTAAGAAAACATAATACAACTAGTCAAACATGAAAAATAATATATATATATATATATATATAGATATGGTAATCAAATATATAGTTGACCATGAAGGAGGTTATCAGAATTGTTTTGTTATGGTTGAGGAAGGGACAAATTAAATAATGTTGGCATGTGTATTGTGTGGCTATTGGACAGTAATCTCTTACCGTTTGAAACCAAATGATTCAAAGCTAGAGGCTACCCCGACCAAACTTGGCCAATATATATATGGCTTGTTTGGCTGGGTTTTGTTTGGTAAAATTTTTGAAAACGACTTTTAAAAAGTCTCGGTGGTTCTGATTGACTTTCCCTGAACTACACATTTTTTAAGGTAATAAATATAAAATTTCTATGTTGTCCATTATTAAAACAATTTTGTATTTCTATCTATGAATTTCAGTACAAACTTTTATCTTTCTCTTTCTATATCATCCTCTTCCTTGGTTCTCTACCCAACAAATAAAAAAATTATAATAATAATGTTAACCCTTCTTAAAATTCTAAATAAGAGTTTCAAGATTTATGAACTCTTCCAAAATTCAACCCTTCCTAAAATTCTAAATAACTATATATATAATTTTTATATATTTTTCTTAAGGCTACCCTTACTGTGAAAGTAATTTATAGTTATAAATAAAAATAAAAATGAGATATTTTTGCTACCATATCTCTCTTTCATTTTATTTTTCTTTCCTTTTTCTTTTTCTATCTCTTTCAACTTCTATCATGTAGTCAAGGAAAAAAAAACTTCTACCATGTAAATCGGGATACATCATTATGCCAATTAATCGTTGATACATCATCGATAATTTCACTCCATCACTTTAAATGTGTTTTTTTTTCTTCTTGTTTTTGTACATCCCAAGTCAATTCTTTGGTATTATTCATGGTTTATTAAGAATATAATTGTCAACTTAAATTATGTTAATAGTTAAAAGAACTTCAAAAAATTTACTCACTAAATAAATTTTTTTTTAATTCTTTTCATCAAAATGCATTTTTTAAAACCGATTTCAGAAACTAAAAGCTTTTCCAAACAGGGCATAACCTCCCAAGGATTGCTTTAGTGACGGTGTAGAGAGAGAGAGTGTGTCATCATATCTGTGGGATATTTATTTTTATTCTTTTTGTGTATATTTGCTTTACAATCCAAATGGCCCCTAACTTGGAACTGATGCAGCATTATGGATTGATAGGGACATATGCACATGAGCTTGTCCATACCAACATGGCACTTATTTTGGAAACCTCTCTCATTTATTATTATTATTATTTATTTATGCCCCGAAGATCATCTTCTTTTGACAAAAGTAATATCAATATTCTCTGAATTTTTGAGTCATGGGATGGAGAAAGACAAATGTCCCTCGTAGGCAACTATAATTGGTGAGTGATAGTGATTTAAGCATGTGATATCTTGATGTGATTCGAATAAACCATTATGAGTAGATATGACTCAAACACACACACAATGACACAATATAATATAATGATTTTTTTTTTTGCCCTTTTCCTATTAATGTCTTATGAGTTATGAGAGAATGGGTACCAGTTACCAATTTGTTTCAGATAATTATTCAATTTGAGCGAACGTTGTTAAATCATGTATATTCTCCATTTGTCCATTATTGTGTAGTTTAAAGTTTAAACTTCAAAATGAAAATAGGAAGAGAAGAGCAACAGAAATGAAGACTCCATTTGTTTCAACATAAATTTTTTTTTTTTTTTTTTTTTCGGATAAAATATTTTTATTTACTTGTTTGGTTGTTTGGTAAAGGTCTAGGTCTAAATCAAGTTCATTTGGTGGTGCATGTAAAATAATTTGTCAAAAATGGATGAGTAAGTTATTTTTGTTAAATTTTAATATTTTCGTAAAATATTTACGATAACCAAACATCAGAAAATAAAAAATATTTTCTGAAATTTTTATTTTTATTTTTTACAAAAATTTATATACTTGTTTACTTTAGTTTGTCAATTATTATTTGTTGTTAGGAAAAGATTCAGATAATTTATCCAGTTACTTAGTACAAAAGAAAAAAAGTTGAATTATATATAAATGAAGAAAAAATCTTGCCTTAGACCATATAAGCAGGGTTCTCCTTCTGATGTTGATATGAACCAATAACAACATGACATATGTTTAAAAAAATTAAAAAATTAAACGTTAATCATTCGGATCTTTTCATAGGTCATCCAAAAAGGGAGAAGATTTTCTCACATGACACCTAGTAGCGGGCTCTCCTTTTCTTTAACTCACGATCCTCTCTCTCTTCCTACCAAATTCCCATTGATGATCACCATTTTCTAAATTCTGAAACCCTAACATTAATCCTCTCTTCCGCCAACTGACCTCCACCACCTCCATTGCTTGCCATCTCCTCCATTCCCAGACCCTAATCTTTTACATCCAATTTTTAAAGATGATTCAAGCCGCCACATTCGTTGCTTGACATCTCTGTTGTAATTCCATCTCCAGAATGACTCAGGAAGCCGACCAATTAATAAATACGCATAACTCTAGTGACATCTAAAATTTTCAGATTTATCACTATCTGTTGCAATTTGAAGCCAAATTAATTTCCTTAAACTCCATTGATAATTGGAGTCTAGTTTAATTATTTAGCTTTTTCTATAACCGATTGCAATACGAAGGGTTTGTAATAAAAAATCTCAAACACATGGAAAAAAAAAAAAAAAAATTCTTTTGAATGATTCCCAAAGAGATCTAAGCAATTTTTATTAATTATTTTAATTTTTTTAACACATGTCATGTTTTTATTAGTCCATGTCAATATCGTAAGAACATTCCTACTTATGCACCCAATGGTAAACATTGTTCATAAAAGAGAGGGTGGCACCATTCAAGAGGAATAAAAATCAATATTTCTTAAAACAAGTCAAATATAAGAATTGAAACTTCATCCATCTTAAATAATAATAATAAAATTAAATTAAATAATTAATAAATAAATCATCCAACTTTGATACTTTTTTATTATTTTTTTTATTCTGACAAAAAAAAAAAAAAAAAAAAACCTCACACGCCAAGCCTTTGGTACCCTTTCATAATGCCCCTAGGGAAACTTATCAAAAACAAAGGAGTAAAACAAAAAGACGCCATTAGTTCTCCGTTTTAAGTAAATCTTCTCTCTTTCACACTGATTGAACTGTGTGGGCGTCCTCTGTTTCTTCCTGGCAAAGGGTTTAGGGCTTCTCTGAAAGTTGCAAAGGGCTTATTGTAGAGTCTAGAGAGAGAAAAGATGAGAGGGATACAGCTATCGTTGAATCAAACGCAGAAGATAAGGCTGGAGAGAGCACTGGAAGTACTACAATCTTTGTCTTCCAAGGCCAACAACAATGCTTCCGTCACCGTCGCCGATACTATCCCCGTTAACTATGAAGACGGCGTTCTCAAGTACCTCTCCTCACAAACCTCTAATAATCTCTCTCGCACACACATACACTCACTGATTCACATTTCCTTTCTTGTACTTGTAAATATCTTTCATTAGATGATTTTTTTTTATGGGTATAAAGAACAAAACCATAATTGATCTACTTCCACACACCCATTACTTTTCGATTTTGGTAATTTTGCTTCACAACATGAAATTTGAGATGGGTGCTAGAAAAAAAAAGCCCTAATTGATTTCTCTCTCCATTACTTTTCGATTTTGGTAATTTGCTTCACAACATGAAATTTGAGATGTGGCTTAAAAAAAAAGGCCTAATTGATCTCTCTCTCTGGTATGAAGGGGACATGGAACTTCTGAGCTTGAGGGCGAGGTGGTTGCGACAGTGTGTGGTGTGGTTGAACGCGTGAACAAGCTTGTCTATGTTCGCTCTTTGAGGGCCAGGTTCTTCCAATGCAATGCCTCAAATTTCAAGAATTTAATTTAATTCAATTATTTATTTTGTTGTTGAAATAAGAATGCGCAGTTAATTTTTAACATTTGAACTTCTTTCTGGAATTTAAATTGCTCTAGGTACAAGCCTGAGATTGGAGATATCATAGTAGGACGTGTTATCGAGGTAAAACAGACATTATTAACCTCATTGTATTATATTTTCCCCTTTATAAATGGAAGTTACCTTTGAACATGTTTTCTAATGCAAAGAGCATGTTGACTTAGTTGTTTGTATTTGTGATCAACTTAATAGGTTGATCAATCTCATGTTCCAACTTTCCATTGTAATGAAATAATTCTTTTGTAGTCTCCTAAAAATTAATGCAGTTTACATGAACGTTTATTTGGTTGGTGAACCCTCCTAATGAGGGAATTGATAATTTTGACGTTGGTTGAAGATTTCTTATTGGATTATTTATGTCCAGGTAGCTTCAAAGCATTGGAGATTGGAGATAAATTTTAGCCAAGATGCAGTTTTAATGCTTTCATCAATGAACTTGCCTGATGGCATCCAGGTATATATGCTTTCACTTGGACATAATCCTTTTAACCTTTTAAGAGATTTTTCGTTATGTGACATGAACTCTGTCAGTTGCCCTGTATAAATGGCAAGAATAAGAAGGGTATATATGAGCTTAGGGAAAGAAAAAAAAAAGGAAAAGAAAATGGTGATTTTGATGCCTAAAATGTGAATGCGCACAAGGGAATGCAATCTTTCAGTTGCAAGTATCAATATAAAGCATTAGTGCCTGCTACAGGCTAACCCACTGTGCAATCCATGTAAATTACTAGCATTTGAGATAGTGTACACATATAGATTAGTTATATGTACCTCCATCCACTAATTGGGACTGTTGTGAAGATATTTACGAAGTAATGTTTTATCTGTTAGGCAATAGTGGGAGTATTAAAGTGTTGTGATTGACTGTTGCAACAAGCCAATTTTTAAAATTTTTAAGTAGCATAATCTTAATAATTACCATTTTAAGTAGTATTTTGGCGGTTAGGTATCAATTGTGTATGTGTTTGAAATTTGATAGCTTTTGGTAACTTGATTAGGTATTTTTTTTTTTTGGCATTTTTCTATACATAATATCTTAGACAAAATATTGGACTTTTTTTTTTGGACAAGTGAACAAAATATTGGACAACGCCTTGTATTATATGTCCATAAAAACAATTTCTAAAATGTAAATATAGCCAAACACACCATACATAATATTTTGGCAATCGGATGATAATGATGTAATCTTAATAGTTCTTGCGTGCCGGTAACTTTATGAGCTACACCACATTTCTTATTACCAATGGATGAAGAATATTTAAGCATTAAAGGAAGTTTGCATGTGACAGGTTCTATGGCTTTTATTATTAGCTTTTAGAGGTTTTGGGTTACCTCATAGAAATAAATAGGTAGCATGAATTTCTCAATAATCAAGATAGAATTCTCAGGGCGTCTGTGTTTGTGTTTTTCTGATTAGGATACTGCTTTGAAAATGAGTTTTGTTTTCAATTAGTTTTGTTAGGACAATGAAAGCCATGCTGTTGAAGTCCTCACTTATAGATGAAAGAATGTCTATTGAGCACTTAAATTCATGATGGTATATATGATTTTGATCCGAAGTCCAAACAACGACAACAACAACAACCTAACTCTGTCCCCCACTATTTGGGGATGAGGTTGATCCAAAATGCAGGAATTATCAATGATGGAGTATATGAGTTTGATCCAAAAGATTCAATTTTTCTCATTTTTTTGGGCTGAAAAAATATTTGGTTTTCTGTTTTCTCCATCTTATATCATAATTATCAAATTCTGATGCATACATGTGTAAACTTAAGATTCAATCATGGCATAAGCTGATATATGGATATTATCATTGTATTTCCTTGTTTTGTTGTGATAATGTGGCAAATAGTGACATCATATTGGTGACACTCTGTATCATCTAAAATGATGATAGAATGATATCTTCATCATACCAGTGTGAGATCATACGGTCATACCTGATGTCATATGGTGTAGAATGCAACCCACTCGTTTTTATGATCCTAAGTGATACTGACTTGACTTAGATGGGTTATGAAGCATTTGATTCGGCTGTTTCCTTTAGAAAACTGAACTTCTAATTCATCTCTTTCCTGGACTGATAAACAATGCCTTGTTTTTTATTTCATTCTCTTGATTGTAGAGGCGGCGAACTGCAGTTGATGAACTCAATATGCGCAGCATTTTTGAAGAGAGTGATGTTGTTTGTGTAAGTTCAAATATTTTTCGCATTTCTTGTGAAGTAGATTGGTTTCTGCAGAATCTTTTTTGGTTGATTATGAAGTTGGTCCTTTTATATCTTGCAAGAACTAATGGAACATGCAAAAGTGCTGCAAGATGCATGCTTGTTCCATATGGACATGTTCATGAACTGCATGTAGTGATGTGGCTGCACACAAAATCAATGCATTGTGAATTCATTGATTCATAAGCAATTGTCAGTGTTTATATAATATAGTATTTTTCTGTTGCACAATCTTTTTCAGGCTGAAGTTCGTGGTTTCCAGCGTGATGGCAGTTTGCACCTGCAAGCAAGGAGCCAGAAGTATGGAAAGGTGTAATCTTGTTTAGATATATCTTTATTTGGCCTTTCTGTGAATTTGCATTTGCAAACATTTACCCTATTTTCACTCTATGTCCATGATGAAATCAAGCATGCTAGGCGTTCTTAAAGGATGAATCAAGTAAGGGAACAAACGAATGAATAAGTAAATATTTTTATACAATTCAAGTCTTTACCCATCCTTATTTATTTGTCATTTGTGATGTCATATAAAAGTTATTGAAAAATTCAAGTCTTACATTTACTTTGTATCAAAATAGATCGGAGTAATCTATTATCAAAATTCAAAAGCATAGTAGGGCATATTGCATACTGTAACAGTAAAGGATGCAACTCATTGAAAAGATCTTTATTTTCAAAATCTTTGAAATGGGAAAGAAAAAGAAATTGTTTAGAGAATGAAAATAGGACAATATTGTCATATGGTTTTTTTTTTTTTTTTTTTTGGTTTGTGAGAGAGAATTTTTCATCACGTATGACGTGAGAGGTCATGTTCTGCATATTTCATTTCTAGGTTTTCACCTTAATGTATATTATTGGAACAATACTTAGATTCACTTCACGCAAGTCCTTTTGGTAGGTAGATCCACTCAAGTTAATCTGACATTTCTAGCCTGTATTGAAATACATAAAATACTTATTGAAACCATGCTGTCAAGTTTTTGGCTGTTGCTTCAGATGCTGTATCATTATCACTTTAGCTAGTATCATTTTATCCCTTTTCCTTTTTTCTTTTCTCATTACTAATATCATTCTTATTAGTTTTACTACTTAAGATAATAATTTTCATTGCAGCTTGAGAGGGGTCAGTTACTCACAGTCCCTCCTTATCTTGTGAAGAGACGGAAACAGCATTTCCACCATCTTGAAAAGTATGGAATTGACTTGATAATGGGTTGTAATGGATTCATATGGGTTGGTGAGCACGTGGAAGCCAAAGATATTTTGGCAGAGGATCAAGTTAATAAATTTGAGCAGCAGAATGCCAAATCATATAGTAGTTCAACGAGTCTTGAAGAACAAGAACAAACTTACACTCCACTTGAAACTAGGCAAAACATATGCAGGACAGCAAATGCCGTGAGGGTCCTGGCTATTTTAGGCTTCAATATCACCGTGGAAGTGATCACAGAGACAGTTGGCTTGAGCACCTCACTGAATCTTGATATACATGAGATGCTTGGTGCAGAGTTCTGTGTTTTGGTGGCGGAGAGCGAGGCTGAACGGCGAAGGTTGGTAAAGAAGGGGTAATACCTTCCAGAAAAAAAGGAAGAAGGGGTAATTGTCATGTTGTGTGTTTTAAAATGAAATGCAGGGGTGAGAAAATCAGGATGAGAATTTTGTCTAGTGGAGAAGACTATTGACACTGTTATAAAATTATATTTAAAGGTTTATTTACCTGTTGAGATAGATTGCAGAATCTCTAAAAGACCATGAGAATTTGCACAATGTGTCCAATTGGGGATATCAGCAGCAATTTGAAAATTTTGAATCTCATTACTGTCATCTCAAGCATTCTTTTGGCAAACACCGGAATGAAATTTAAGGATGCCTTTGATTATTCCCCCTTTTTTTTTTTTGGGTGTGTTTTGTGGCGGGATATCTCACAAAGTATATTTGCAATATTTCTTTTCTCAGGTTCAATCAATGATTTTTTTGTCAAACTTTTGAAAGGTATTATTTTTACCTTTTTTTTTTAAAAAAAAAAAAAAAAATTATTTTGTGGAGAATTTTTCCTTGAAAACAATTTGTGAAAATATATGGAGCTGTAATGTGATATCAAACAGTGGAAATTTCGATTACTGCAACCGTAGTAAAAAAGTTTACTTCCAAATGTAGTGAATGTATTCCCATTGTTTCACTAAGCCAATGCATCTTCATTTTGTTTTGAGTATATTCTTGAATTACTCTAAACATGTTTGATAAATGGCACGTCCAATTATTTTCAAAGGCAGAGAATTAATTTTCATTCTTTTTTTATGAGAATGATATTTAATGTAACATCAAATAATTTTTCACAAAATATAATATTTTTGTACAATTCTTTTTCCCTTGTCCGATACCCGCTTGAATCCAATTAGTTTTGACATTCTCCTTCAAAACTTAAATGGGAAAGACATATCCATGTATATATGGGAAATGCAATGAAACACACTGGTGAGCGCGCACACGCACAGAAGGCATTGCTAAGCATTGTAAGAGAGTTTGCTCCATCAAATGCATTTCTATCTACATGAAAGCAGTCTTTTACCTGAAATAATATGAAATGCTGGTCAACTGCAAATTTACTCCAGAAAGAAAACTCTAACGGAACTTCTCACACTACTACAAACAAATCTCTCAAACATTCCCAAACATTACTCTCTCAATGTTTTCTCTTATGACTACTCGCAGATCTCTCTCTCACAACATTCTCAGGGATAGTGTCTTCCATTATTTTTGGAGTTGTAAATGAGAAGTCTGAAATGGATAAAGCTTTGTATTCTGGATTTTCTTTTAATAATGACGGTATTCCAGTAGAGGCTCTCACCTTCTTTCCAGCGGGAGTAACATAGTAGGCATCCAATTTGGAGTAATTTTTTCTGAGTACCAACTCCCTGCGAAATCCGGCTGGGGTTTTGGGGAGGTTTGGCTTGTCGCTGACCCAGGTTCTAGTGGCATTGTACTCGATATCAGCTGGGTCCTCACAAGAAACACCAGGTTTCTTGTTGCAGAAAAATGGATCCTCTACAAATCTACTTCTGATGTCTTCAAACTCTTCTTGTGTAGGTATTAGCCGCCATTTAAAGCAATTCCCACATTGTACAGCATATTCATCAATTGAGCTGTCCCCGGCACATAATTTCTGTCATCAGAAATTGGAATATAAGTAAATCAATTATACAAGGGATTCTCCATAAATTCCACTTTTTGGTTTCCTCTTTTTGGACTCTGGATTTTGCAAAGCGCCAGAGAAAGGGAATGGAATCCTCAAAATTTCTATAGAAAGAAAGCCTTTTAAAGCAATTTTCTTTCCTTTTACCTAGTTATCTGACATCCAAACAGACTGAAAATATTTTAACAAGAAAAATCCAAAGTTACCAACAGAATGAGGTTTGTTGTTCTCCCACCAGGAGAATGGTGGGGCTTCTGCAAGGAAAAAAATGTAAAGAAACCAATACAAATAATTCATAATCAATCATGAAAACAAGAACAACCTACCATGTATGGAGTCATGTGACTAACCATGAAAATGCTAGTACAATTCACACTACACACGCTAATGGCAAATAACGATACTGCTAAAACAGAAGAATATGAAGCCATTTGTTAGCCATGCATTATATAGTTTGCAAAGAATAATTATGTTAACAACTACAAGTACAAGATGCATAGTAACGATCAGTAAATTTCTTTGATTATGGACAATGTGGGGAGTATTAACAAAAGTTGTTTTAAAAAACCTCATCAGGGATTCAAAAGAATGACGTGAACAGTTTTCATTCGACTTTTTCCCGGATAGTACAGCGTCAGACATTGCATTCTTGATGGGGATAAAAGAACAAACTACTCAAACCCCGCCTTAGTTGATAACAACTAGTAATTTTAGCCATTCTGGTGCAGAATTATGCCCCACTTTCACTTAAAACTCTCGAGCGGTTAACACTTATAGTTGATTGCAGAGCAGGTGTCTCAAACTCATTCTCATCCAGTTCTCAGACATTGAAATGGAGTCCATAAGAATGCTATCATCCTTAAAACTAATTGTTCTAGATGAGCTAGTACAGTGTCACACATCACACTCCCATGGGGATAAAACACAAACTACTCAAGCCCCACTTAGGTTAGGCACTCAGCAGCACAATCTCCCACAGTAACTTCACTCTAAGAGTTCTTACTGTTTAGAGCATCTCCAATGCCCTCTCAAAGGGCATCTCAAAGTCAAAATATAGCAGGTGGATGAAAATAATAAACTCCAATGGGCTCTCAAAAGACCTCTCATATATTGAGATTGTCAAAAGTATTGTCATATATAGCAACTCTAAAAAATTTTTGAGAGGTCACTTTTTTTCCTCATATGGTACCGTTTCTTAAAATATAGCAAGTGGGTGAAAATAATACACTCCAAAAAGCATTTTGGATGAAATGTACCATGGAGTAGAATTGCTAAAATATAGCATTTTGACACTGTAACTCTTCTCAAAATATAGCTTTGTCATGAAAAATAGCATTTTGCATTAGAGATGCTTAATGAACTCTCATCTAGTTTTTATTCATTGTAATGAGATCCATAGTTAATTTTTGATTGCCTCAAAGCACACAAATTCTGAATTTGAGAACATCATCAAAGCGGAAAACATCTATATTGGAAAAAATGCATCACATAATCATAACAATCACAAAACCTGCAAATTTTCCCACTAATGCGAGACAACTATAAAATGGCAAGACTAAAGGGTGAGCAAATTCAATCAACAAATATCCTGCAAATACCCAAAATTAGTGACTTCTTTGTACATTACTCGAGCAAGTAGAGTACGTATCATGTCTACATATCGAATTAACCATTTCCTTGCTATAAACAAGTTAAACAAACAATCATTCAACTCAAAACTTCGCAATCTGATAAACAATTATCTAGTCACCAAGAAAACTGAAGACAAAATGGAAAAGACTAGATCTAATAATGCTTTATTTTGCATTAGATCCCAGAAATAAAAATTGACTTAAAACTTCGCAAATAGAGGGGAGTTTTTTTTTTATTTTTTATTTAATCTCGTCTCCAACAATGTAAGCAGATACCTAGTAATTTCTTTCTTTCTTTCTTTCTTTCTTTCCTACAATTTCTCAGCAACCAAACAGAGGATTCGATAATTGAAATAACTCAATATCAATAAAAATGATAAGATAGAGAACATCTTGAAAACAATGGCCTCAATTATATATATACATCGGGTAAAAATATATAAATACATATAAATAATATACAGCCAATATATACTTTTTGGGTTACCTGTTCCAAAGATAAAATTCATACGTGTGATAAACCCTAATTCGAGAAACAAAACCCTAAGACTACCTTAGAACTTCTCGGGCGGCTGTCGTCCATTACCACGCAAAGTCTCTCTCTCTCTCTCTGTGACGGATAGCACTGATTTAAGCTTTGTTTGTAACCAAATTCTTCTGAGATTTGGAATTGGAAAAAGGAATGAGATTGTTTCTGCACTAATTTGGTAAAAACATAAAAAGAAATAAATTTTGTGCCATTTACCCTGCCTACCCCGAACACCTTCGGTGAGCCGGTTTAACTTTCGTACCAATTGTAATGGGGCGGTGTTACTTACTGGCACACCATTCAAAATTTTAAATTAGTAATTTTTTCTTTTTTAACAATGACACTTATAGACTTGGATGGGCTGAAGTGTGTATAAATAGTAGGCATGTAGTACTACTCAATAATTTGAGTTTTTGGGTAATGGACAAGTATTTACCCATTACAATTGATATCAGTCCTTAATTCGGTGTCACGCTAAGTCTCCAGCTCAAAGGACGTTTGGGTCTGGCCCCGTATTAACAGGGTGACCAGACTGCAATGAGGACGTTGCCCGAGTTCAGATGGGGGAGAATGTTAAAAGTGGGACTTGTCCCACATCGAATTTGGATAGGGATTGAAGTGTATATAAATGGGGCTGGGTATGCACCACTACTCAATAGCATGAGTTTTTGCGCCTACTAGTTACACACTCCATGTGAGAATTGTCATCCAAACAAGGTCTTAAATGGTTTGAAAAGACAAAATTACCCCTTAATATTAAAATCAATTTTATTTTAAAATATCAGACAAGTTGAATGACATCAATTTATTGCGCTGAAATTCATTATTTTCTCCAAGGTACTCTAATATTCCGATTGTTATGAAATTTTTACCAAAGGTTCCTCTGCGTCTATTTACTCTCTGAAAATTTTCGTAATTTTTGGCCAAACAAATATTTTTATAAAAATTCGTTGCTGTCTGGAATTTTCCACCGTTTGAAATCAGGTTTTTAATTTATTTATTTGACAGCATTATGGATACTGGATCGTCACCAAAATTTTCAATTTTATACTTCCATGAGTTTACTTTCCAAAGCATTTTCATTTGCTCCATTTTGATTTCAAACGAATTTTCTATTAACTGTTATGCAGATTTTTTCTTTAACTCAACCCTTTAACTTTTTTCCATCAAATATTAATGAGGGGTAGGTTGGTTCGAATCATTAAGTTGTAAAGTTAAAAAGTCCACTAAATAGTCAAAAGCCAAGTTGGTCAATTCCCCATATGTTATATATGGTAGGTAATTATAGAGGGTGTCTTGTTAATTTTTACAAACTTTAGGGAATGCCATTATCCAAAAGCAACCAACTTATATATGATTGTCAATATAACAAACCTCAAGGGGTGTCATTGTATTTTTGTCAATACCCAACTTTTTTACACCTATTTTACTTCTCATTCGAATTCAACGTAAGATAAGATTCCCTTTGTAACATTAGGCGATAGCCGCGATACATAAGGAAAAAAAAGTAAGAAAAAGAGGAAAACTCATTCTTGGCGCTTAAGTTAGACATGAGCAAAGCATACAATAAAATTGAATGGCCTTTCTCACTAGCAATGCTTGAAAAAATAGGGCTGAATTTGCATTGGATCAAACTTCTTCAATGGTCATCCTATAGACTTTTTCGAGCCCTCAATAGGGTTGCGCCAAGGCGACCCTCTCTGCCTTTACTTATTCATTGAGGAGTACGTTGCCTATATGGACTTCATAAGGTCTCTGGATCGTTGTAAGAAGTGGGCTGCCCAAAAGCTGGCAAGAGCAATGTTTTCTTTGCAAAAACCTTGGATGGATGGACGCAAGCATGGACCTATATGTATCCCTCCTCCCCCCCCAAATTTCATTTTTTTTTTTTCATTTTTATTATAATAATTTACCCTTCCTCTAATTTTCTGGATCTATCCTGATGATTGGTTTCTTATTAAACAGGTTACAGAGACATAATCTACTAATAAAATTTCATTATTTTCTTTAATAATACAAAAAAATAACAACTTTCTTTTATTAAGGATAATGTTAGTTCGGTGAAGTTAATACTTTCACATAAACAATAATACATCCATTGTTGTGAGACCCACAACACTCTTGTGAATTTGTCAAAAGTTTGAATATGCACACCAAATCATTTTAGAAATGAAAAAATAGAATAACAACTTTAAGGGTAAATTACACTCGAGCAAATTACACACATAAACCGTTCAATGTTGATTCTCAAAAGTTAAACATGAGGTTTGGCTTATGTGCTTGGCAATCCTCTAGCATTTTATTTTTGGTAGACCCTATGACCAATTTTATAACATGATATTTTTGTCCTTCCATTGTATAAAATGAAATACTATATATTATTATAATATAAAAAATTATTTTTTCATACTCAAAATCACTTTTTGATCGTCCACGAATAAATTTAGGGAAGGTCAATGATCTATTCATATATAATTTATCCAATCATCAACAGTGGTTAGTGTGATTTAACCAAACTTCAATGCACGCTTACACTCATCACTATAAATAAGTTTTCATAAAAAACTAAAATTCTACTTCTTAAAAAAAATTAAAATTCTATTATATGTACTATAAAATAATATTCTCTTTGTCCTATATTAAAAGCTATTGGTTTTTTTTTTTTTTTTGTAAGTTGTCCCAAATTAGTTGAACAATTTTTTCATAATTAAAGTTAAAAAAACAATGACCCTTTAAAAAAAATTATAAAATCAAAATAGATAACAAATATGAGAGGGGAGGTAGTGAGCATAAGAGCAGTATTACAATGAGCTCACACATTCATTAATGATATGAATAAAATACATGAGTGTACCTTCATAAATTCCGTGTCTATCCTATACATATGGAGACGAGAGAGAAACTTTAACCACTTGATTCAGTAGCTCAATTTTAAATTTCCCAAATTGTCTTTTTAGTAATAAAATTCAATATTGCTACCAAATATATAAATTCTTAAACTGAAGTCCACTTTTCGACAGCGTCGATATGTCCGAGTGGTTAAGGAGACAGACTTGAAATCTGTTGGGCTTCGCCCGCGCAGGTTCGAACCCTGCTGTCGACGATTCCTTTTTATATTTTATTTTTATTTACCGAATTGCTCGTCTTTGTTGCAGTCATAGTTAGAATATTATAACGGTTGATTCTCTTTTCTTCCCCCCGCCCGTCAAATTATTGAGAAAATGTGATTTAGTTCATGAGAGCCTGAGAGTACATATGAAGGTTGAACAATTTTTTGTATTATGAAATTATATATATTAAAAATCTGAATGATTGATTCAAGTGGGTAAGAACTTGATCTAGTGTTTTAAGAAGTATCAGGTATAAAATTTGAATCATCTTGAATACAAACATGTTTGAAGAAGTATCAAATTAATTTATACATTAATCTAACAACTATGACAATAAATTTATTTATTTTTATTATTTTTTTTTCAGATGTCAAAACACCTTTTTGTTTCTTCAGTTACCAAATTCATTGATTTCATGTCTCAAAAACTATGGAAGAATCTTGTATGTTGATGCTTCTTAGGACTATGCATATTGTTCGAAATTTATCAGAGAAATTATTAAAGATCTAAAACTATATTATCTTAATCAATTATGAGACACCAAAAAGTTAAATAACATGAACAAATTTGATTGCATGGTATGTCCTAATTGGCCAGGATTACATCGTCAAAACCACTTAATAATTTCTCAATTCATAAATTATTAAAGTGAGGACATTCATTAAAATAAAATAAAAATAAAAATAAAAAAATCTTTGTGAAGTAAAGAACATTTGATACAGCTAAGCTACACCCTATCACATAATTCAGATTCCCAGAGCCAAACATTGATTAAAATATCTCAGGCGTCAACTGTCTCCTCTGTTGAGTCGACTTGTGTTCTTTCCTCTTATATAATTAAAAATATTCCAAAATCAATCTCTCTCTCTCTCTCATGTATCCCAACGCCAATTTTTAATCTCTTAAATTCAAAAGCCTAAACCATTCTTATTGTCGATTAGTTGTTGTAAAGTTGTGGGCTTTGTAACATATCCAAGTGACACTATCTAGCTGAAAGTAAGATTCATATTATAAATTTACAGGTACATATAACTCATATATATTGTGTGTCTTCTTGTTCTAGTGTGTGGTATGCGTGTGTATAAATATATATGTATATATATATATATAGAGAGAGAGAGAGAGAGAGGAATCACCGGCACCAAGAAGCATACAAGGGGGGCAAAAGGAAAAAAAAAAACGCTGGCATTTTGCTCCCACATCAAATTGCTTCTAAAACCAAACCCATGCATTTGGCATCTCTTTGGACACCTCACATTAATCCAGCTAGACCATTGACCAACATCTATATTAGCACATCCATAAACAAATCATGCTTTACCTATATAGCCAATATATTATATATACTGAGTATATTTTATAATAATATAATATAAATTCAAAACAGTAGTATTAATTAGTTACAACCTGAAAAAAATTTAAAAAAGTATTAAGTAGTGGATTCAATTTTGTCAACTTCGCCAGCTCTCTAGCCATCTCATTGTACTTTTTATTTTATTACTATTTAAAATAAACTACACAAGATCCCAAATGGCCAAACAGAAACTACAGTGGGTCCTGTTTGAATTACAAAAATACCCATCTCGTATTAATTGAATCCACTTTAATTTTAAGGGCATTAAAAGCTGGAATATGGGAATGCAATAATACATTTTCTTTTCTTTACTCCATTCCCTAATTAGGACTCTGTTATACTGTAGTATTTATTGTTTGCTTAAGGGGATGTTTGGCGGAAGAAAGTTGGATTCTCAACAAGGCAGAGTGTTACCTACTACTTGTTGGCCGGCTGATGTAATTTATATATTTATTTATGCTTATGTATGTAATATGTATAGATTTGCATGAATTTACATGTCATTCATGACGTCTCCGTTGGAAAAAATAAATAAATAAATAAATTTGTTCTTTAAAATATAAACCCACCACTTGATTTTCTGTATCTTTAATTAATTATGATGTCCGTCTCTGCATGGTGGAGTCAATTTTGATACAAACCCATCAAATTAATGCATGATCATGACGAGTCTGTAAATTAACTAATTTGAAAATGGTCAAGAAAGAGAAATAAAATGATTTTCTTTTCCTAGATAAAAGGAAAGTGTTCGAATTTTGGATAGATAATTTGAGGCTTGAATACATTGATTTGATAGAGATCGAACCTACACCAACTCATTTCAAACGTATAGTGGGCTCCACCCAATGGGTCTCATTGGAGAAGGTGACGCCGGGTTTTTGGTGACGTGGCGTCCCGTGCAAGAATCCTAGTTCCTTCTTCCATGGGAGTTGTTGGGTTTTTTACTTGCTCTAATCATATCTTAATCAATACCTCAAACTATGTCCAAAATTTCCCACCTCACCTCCATTCTCTCCTCCTATTGGTGGAGCAGTTGGCTCTCTTGGGCCCCAACTTTCTCTCTCTAAAGCCTTTCTCTCTTAGGAAAAAAAAAATTAATAAAAAACTATTTTCTTTCTAACAGGATCATTTGCGGTACAGCGGAGCACTTTAGAGTAAAATTGACAAGTGTATATGATTCCTGCCAATTATAATGACACGTGGTTGGGAATATATTGATCGGAACTATATAATTTTAAATAATATAATAATTTATCTACTTATAACATGATTGTGGAAAAAATTATAGGCAGATCAAAATCATTCGCACCTATACTGTAGAGGATCCTCTCTAGTTTTCACTTCTTGCCCAGAACCTTCTTAGAGAGAGAGAGAGAGAAATAGTAACGGCCTCATTTATGCCCTATTTGTCTGCCACGTGGCACCAACCCATTTCCCAGAAGAGTCCTCCCTATATTATATCTCTAATAGCAACTAAACTCCTCACTAGAAGAAACTAATCTAAATGCCAAACCATAAAGACAGAAAGGGTGGTGTTGACAAGAGCCCAGCTTCATCATCTTTTGGTCTAATTTTGAAATCAGCTTTGTTTCCGCAAAGCAAACCCCATTTCTCTGCAATGCTTAGAACCTTCAACATAAAGCTCAAGCGCCTCTACTCTGGACTCCGGTGGCCGATTCGACGCCGACCCAAACCCAAAGTTGTCATCAAAAAGTTGGGAAAATCAGACTCCAAAAGTCACACTGATCATGTCAAACAAGAACCAAACGGGGCATATGGGTCAGCTGTGATTCATCCAAACGGTCAATCAAACACCACAAAATCCAAAAAGCCAATTCGAATTGCAACATTCAATGCTGCTTTATTTTCCATGGCACCTGCAATTCCAAAGGCACCGAAATCTCCGAGTCTTGATTTTGGAAATGAGAAGTATACAAAGTCTAAGCAATCAATGGATTACAATTTCAGAACCAAATCGGCTAATGATCGTCCCAAGAGCATACTAAAGCAGAGTCCCCTGCATCCCAATTCCATGAACACTCCAGAGAATCTTTCCAGGCAACAGAAATTCGTGAAATCCAAGTTAAGGGTTTCGATCAATTTGCCCGATAACGAGATATCTTTGAAGAGAAATGGGAAATTGAGCTTCGTTGAAGACGAAAAAGTGGGTTCTTCAAGCAACTACATGAGTAGAATTCTGAAAGGAAAAGCTCCACTGAGATCCACAGCAACCGTGCCTTCAAATACAGCAGCTAATGAGGTTACAGATGGACATGGCTATACAAGTACTAGAACAGTTGTTGAAGTGTTGAGAGAGTTGGATGCTGATATATTGGCACTTCAAGATGTGAAGGCAGAGGAAGAGAAATCTATGAAGCCTCTGTCTGATTTGGCTGATGCTTTGGGGATGACCTATGTGTTTGCAGAGAGTTGGGCGCCGGAATACGGCAACGCCATACTGTCAAAGTGGCCAATTAAGAGGTGGAAAGTCCAGAAGATATTTGATAATTCCGATTTCAGGTTCCTACTCTATTTTCTTCCCTTTAATCCTTTAGTTTTCTCTGTTTTGATGCTGGTTTTTATTTATTTATTTATTAATTATTATTATTGGAAAAGTTACTGGTTTATATGAATTTCTTAGCTTTAAATTTTTTATATGAATTATATTTTGAAACCCATATCTCAGTTTGATTCCCACAGCCTGTCTGTATGCTGTCAAATAGAACAGAAAATTTCACCTACTGGGATATTATAGGAGATCGATTAGGTAGCACTTCTGGTACTGCAAACAACTTATTTCCTGGTCAAGATAATAAAAATTTCAAACTATTATTACCAAGATTACTGAATTATTCATCAAGTGAATAACATCTAATTTATTATATATCATTCAATGATTCCTATATATACTACATATGCTATGGATATCAAGTCTTCCCAAGTTACCCAATTCTTCTTTTCTGAAAGGAATTTCTTGTTAGATTATCTTTGAATATTTTAAATATTTTACTTAGGGTTTCTATGAATAAACTAGGATTATCTATGAATTTCTTGGAGTTTAAAACTTTCCAGTGCTGGTAATGAATCCTTAATTTGTGACTCCTTATCCAATTGGGCATTTCCTGAATCAAATGATTCTGGGTATTGTGGGTGGATTGAGAGAACTATCATGGCATGAATCAAATATTTGCGGAGTAGTTTTTTGCTGTCTAAGGAAAGGTAAGGAACCAAATATATTTCGTTTAATGTCTAATAATAGTTCTCCTGAAAAAAGTAAAAAAAATATATATATATATATATATATATATATATATTGAAACGGCTTCTATCATCAGGAAATCTGTATTACAGAATAGCAAGCGGCCCCTCTGCTGATGATATTTTTACACTTCATTTGGATGAACAAAAATAGGAAATGAGTATATGAAATCAAAGTTCAGAAAGGAGTATAATGATATAAATGTAAACTCAAACACTATTTAATCAATAACACCATGTGAGATGAATGAGGAATGCACATCCAGGCTATATCTTGCATTCGAGTTGTGAGGAACTGGAAACCTTTTATTTGCTAGAATCCAGGCTCAAATTTACTGTTCAGAACTGAATTAGATTCAAATGCAAAAATTTTTTTAAAAATTGGATAGATCTAGTTAAGAATTAGTAGAAAATAACCAAAGAAATAATAAATTTGAAACACGAAATACTTGGAAAGTAGTAGAAAGTTCTGCATATCATATAAGTTTATACTGTAACTCGTGCTCTAACACTGGATGCAGGAATGTTCTGAAGGCCACAATCGATATTCCTGAAACAGGAGAATTCAAATTCCACTGCACCCACCTAGATCATCTAGATGAGAAATGGCGAATGAAACAGATAAATGCAATAATCGAATCTAATGACAACCCGCACATCTTAGCTGGAGGACTTAATTCTCTGGAAGAAACAGATTACTCACCAGAAAGATGGACAGATATTGTAAAGGTAAATTCAGTTTGTCAAATTTCACTGTGAAATCACTCCCAGAAATGCAAATACTCATTTTTTTATGTAATGGATATATGTGTTCCAGTACTACGAAGAGATGGGAAAGCCGACACCAAAGGTCGAAGTTATGAGATTTTTGAAGAGCAAGCAATATACAGATGCGAAGAACTATGCAGGGGAATGTGAGCCGGTTGTCATGATCGCCAAAGGCCAAAGTAAGAAACCCTTCATCAGAATTATTGTTTGTCTAATGAATTCAGATAAGAGTTCTATCTTCAATCCCTTGAACTGTTCTGTAATGCAGGTGTCCAGGGAACCTGCAAGTATGGAACGCGAGTAGATTACGTATTGGCATCACCAGACTCACCATACAAGTTTGTTCCAGGGTCATACTCGGTTTTTTCTTCAAAAGGGACTTCTGATCATCACATAGTGAAAGTTGACATAGTAAAAGTAGATGGCAGTGCTCAACCTCATGTGAATAGGAAGCCGCAAGAACCTAAACAGAGAGTTGTAAAGATAACACCGTCTTCATCATCAAAGGGTATATGGAAGGAACACAGAGAAAGATTGTAGATAGGAATATTGACTTGTTCTTTGCAATTCAGATTTTCTTTTGCTCTCTTTTTTGTGGAAGGAGGGGCAGATGGTTGAAACTGCTTCCTTCTACAAAATGTAAATTATATTGGTGTCTTCATGATGCTTTAGAAAATAAAAAATAAAAATTAAGGAAATGTATTTGATTTGGCTTTGAAATAGTTATATTTGAAGAGTGTATTTTCATCAAACCAGATAATTTATTTGAACTATTTTCATTACTCTGTTGACTAACAGTATTCAATTGATCATTTACTAGGTGCTAGTGGAACCAAACCAACGCACATGTACTGTTTATTTGGATTCTCTCATCTTTACCTGGTGGAATACTTCTCTCAATCTCTAGAACTAGGCTTCATTTAATTTGAAGTCACTCTCTGGTTTTCTTCAACTTATATCATTCTTTCTCCCGTTATACATATGTATGTGCTGTAGTATGCATATGAAGAAGATTAGAAATCAGCATGAATGCCATACATCTACAAGTTTTTGAATTTCTTATTTATCTTTTACATCTAAGGAAGTGACTACTACTCAAAAAGCTGCCATAACAAGTGGCTGCTATATAGTGTTTTGACCCTTTTAATCGGAGGCTAGGAGGAGGGACGGTGAGATGAACTCGAACACAGTTTTTGTGTGGGTGAACCACCATTATGAGTGAAGGACCAAGAATTTAGGTCTTTTTAAGTTATAGCCCAATACCAGAAAGATTAGATAGAGTAGACTTAGATGATTTGCACACATTTGTCGAAGATCTAGATACGCATCGCTCATCTAAATAGGTGCAAAGAGTCGAAACCTGACACTCCCAAAATTCCCTGGAGGCACTAACCACTTAGTTATCGAGGCATCTACCAGGATAAGATTATTGAAAATGACTTAAAAAAGTTAAATATAGTAAGTGAAATGACATATAATAAAAAAATCGGAGAGAGAATTCATGTGGCCGACGCATTCATATGGAATTAAGGGAAGGATGATGATATTTGTGAAACCTGATTTGGCTCAGAAACAAAGTGTCTTCAATTGCCTTACTATCTCCTGCGTAATGTTTGCAGATAGATACAACACGCAAAAACTTCAAATCTTTAAAAATTTGCACTGAAACAAGTCGGATATCTGTAATCAAAATTCAAAAAGATGTATCTGAAAACAAGAAAAACTCACTGTTTTCCTGTTTATGATATATAACTTCGTAGAACTCATGATTACTCATCTGTAACATATTCATCTTTATACTTGAGAAAGAAAAAAATTTCCCCAACTTTTCTCAACACATTCATCTTTATGCATCAAAATCAAATTGAATAAGAATTTATATACTTTAACATAACTTCTATAGATAATAAGCAATATAACAAAATCTATTTTATACTTGTAATACAGGATTAAAAAAATTAATTACGTACCTATATAATATCTTCTCGGTTGGTAGATCAAACTGATTGAAAAGGTTCCATTTGATGTCAGTTTGTTGTAGCTGTTTACCCCATCTTTTTGTACATCTAGCTATACATATTTACAATCAATGCAATCTTTTAATTAAGGAAAAAATAAATGAAAGATATAAATTTTTTTTTTTTTCCTCTATAGAAACTTCAATTTATGGTGAGATTTTTATATCAAAATTCAAATGTATAGATAAGATAATTAATTAAATAATTTAAAATGTAACCAAAACTTTACCTATAATGTAGATGGAATTCTTTCAATCCAGGCTATCAAAGTGTTCAAACTAAGTTCATTTAAAAAAATTGTCTTAACAGATCATCACATATTGGTGAAACCACTGCTACCTCCTTCAAACCGCCGTGAACCGCCTCTTTTTGCCACCGTTGCTTCCCATCACCTCCAACATCTTCGTCATCGCCTTGATCAGCATCGATGAATTGTGTTTTCAGTCCACCGTCTCCGCAAGGAGTCCGTACGACCCCCGGCCACTCGTTTGGGACTTTTACGATCTCTAACCGACAGTCTTTTCTCACTTTCTTCAGACTGAATCTAGGCCGTCCGTTTTGGTTCAAAGTGGAAAGAAGTGGCGGGAAATTCTTTACTGTCACTTTCTCTCTCCTCGCTCTCGGCATTGTCGATCTTGATCTTGTTTCGGCCGGCGGCGGGGGCTCCTCCAACAGATTACTTCCTTTCTCCTTCTCGCTTGAGCTTTCAAGCCCTAGATGCGCCGTCCACGTTGCAAAACCATCAGCGCGGATTTCGAAGCCAACAGGAGCAGCATATTCAAGGGCGTCGTCTCCGGTGGTCGGAACCTGGCCGGCGTCTTCATTCGGTCTGGAATGACCCTCACCGCTGTCCCGTAAAGATTCGCCGGCGATGACGGTCGGTCTAATGGCGATGGAATCAAGAACGTTGGCCGGTGCTTCAAATTCTTCAATGTCGCCGGTTGTAGAAATGACGCTCAATCCTCTGTCGCGAGTTGGAAAATTCCGGCGAAGAGGAGTTGATTGGCTCTGGGAATTTGAAAGACCAAGAATGGAGCAAAAGGTTTTCATAAAGAAACTCATTATTGTCTATTATTTTTATTTGTTTTTTTATTATTTGAAATCTGATTTATAATAAGAAAACGAGTAAAGAAAAGCCAACCAAACGTGGCACCGAGGTGGTGGAGAAAAACTGTAAATCAGCTCTTCAAGAGAGCAAAGGCCTTAGGCCCAAGCCTAAGGAGCAAGCAACAAATTTTCACGGGAAACAAGGGATAGCATACATCCCATGCTACCCAATCCAGCCGTCAAATACATTCAGCAGTCAGAGGGTAAGCAAAAACTAAGTGACAAAAGCACGGTCAAGAAGACCTCATAACAAGGCCAAGGAAGCAAGCAAGCTATCTGACCTGTAATTAGTGTGAGTGTCCAGACAGCAGCTAGGTTGTTACCCTGTTGCAACTCTTGCAGGGCTGTGTTTTGTTGGATTTTAATACAATAATCCATACGTAGAAATTAAGAATATTGCAATTAATTAAAGTAATATTTTAACAATCATACATGATTCATGATTAACATTGCTGCCTTAAACATAATTTCAATCCTCAGCCACATTTGGAATCTGTTCAATGATAATGGCCAATCCCTATGGTTTGATTGGGTACAGTCCAACTTAATCAAGAATGGAAGTATTTGGAAGATTAAAACTAGCCAGCTTAGCTCTTGTAATTGGAGAAGGCTGCTCAAACTTAGGGGCATGGTAAGGCCTTTTATCAAGCACCATGTGGGATATGGCATTGACACCTCCTTATGGTTCGATTATTAGTTACCATCCGGCCCTATTAAGAACAGAGTTGAGTCTGTAATCATCTCTAACCACATGTGGGATAGCAAAACCAAGGTTAGTTGTTTGATCAGACATGGACAGTGGAGAATCCCCAACCATTTCAGGACAATTATTGATGTTAATGAACCCTCCCTCCTATAAATGTTGGCAACAAGGATATGACAGTTTGGACTCTATGTCCTACAGGTAAGTTCAACATGAAGCACACCTACAATGCTCTTCTACCCCTAGCCCCTCTCTCTAGATGGTACCACATCAGATGGTTTCCAAATCACACACCCAGGCATCCCTTCATTACATGGCTTGTTGTGCATTACAGACTCTACACTAGGGATAGGGCATTCTGGTCTCCCTCGGATACTTCTAATCTATGTTCCCTTTGTTGGAATGAGGTTGAGACTTATGAACACCTGTTCTTCAGGAGTGGTTTCTCATCCTGTATTTGGGACTATGTACCACATAAATGTGGTGTTTATTGTGGTGATCGCAGCTTTATTTGGATAGGTCAATGGATTGGGACTATTTGGAATGCTGAATGTAAATCAATTGAGGCCATTTTAATCAAGCTCTGCTTCTCTGCTACCATCTACTTCATATGGAAGGAGAGAAATAACCGTACCTGTTCTGGGATTAAGCAGTTTGGAAGATGATTGAAGACTGTGTTTGCGCTCGGCTTCTCTCAATCAAAATGAAGGACTCCACCAGCTCGAGAGGCATAGCTATTGCATGGGGACTCCCTAGTTTGATCAATACAGCTGAGGTTACAGTTGGTTGATGTTGCCTCTGGTTCCTTCTCTCCGAGTTTGAATTTTGATTTAGGGGAGGGAGGTTTTGTTTGTTCCTTTTAGGCCTTGTGGTTTGGGCTCTTGGGTTAGGTCTCTTGTGTGGGCCTCTTGTTTTGTGCTTTGTTGCCTTTGGGCTGGTTTTTTAGGCTTGTTGGTGAGCCCTCTACATCTCTCTTTTTTGATTATATATAATGAATTACCAAAATGTATATATATATATATATATATATATATATATTTTGGAACAACTAAATTGGGACAGAGGGAGTATATGATAATAATATGGATTACTTCTCTACAAATAAAATACCCAAACCCCCTTTACTAACTTAGATATTAATATTTAAAATTAAATACTACCAAATAAGTTAGAAAATCACAATCCACTGGCATATATACAAATAGGGGCAGGAGAGAGAGAGAAATAAGAGACACTATGAGAGAGAGAGAGAGAGAGAGAGAGGAGTAGTGTAGGAGAACGCAAATAAGGGATGGGGTGATGATTAGCAGGAATAAACCACTAGCTGTTGGTGGTGAGCTTCTTCACTTTCACGTGGAGGCAGGTTGAATTTGGTTCACCTCACAAGTTTTGTTTTGTTTTGAACGTGTATATTGTATACGAGTCTTCTTGTACTTTTCGTAGTACGTAGTATTAATTTTTATTTTTTTCCCGGGTAAGTAAAGGTTACGTAGTATTAATTTATTTTCTAGAAATTAACAAACCTTAAATGAACCTTCGGATTGAAAAAAATGATTATTATGATTAATGTGATTGTCTTACTTGGTCAATATGTATGAATGACTATTAATAGTGTAGACTTGTTTTTTAAATGGTGAGCACATATATTATACAAAAGTAACAAATATTAATCCGACAAGGTCGGTACTTATAAATAGTATCAAAGTTAACTTGAATCAGTTGAATTTAGATAATTGTGCACCTGATCAGGTGAACTAATACGTTTGGTTCCAAAAGGGGATGGGCTTCACAAGCTTGTGAGGTAAAACTAACAAATTCTTTGAGTCCCAAGAGTGGATGATTGTGATGTTTCACATCGTCCAAGTTCATTGCACTTATATATATATATATATATATAGATGTTTCCTAATTTTGTAAACGACATTATGAAATCGTAAGTATTGAGTGTGAGCAGACGCATCGTAGTGAGTATAAAGAATGTATGCAAAGCCGACAATATCTACGCAGCGAAAATGAGTTGTAATTAATCACCCCTTTAAATTCAAGTTTTTTCCTCCACGGGAAAGTTGATCAATGCAATTAAGATCCTAAATGGAATTGCAAATATACAGAATTAGTAAGTTGGTTTCCAATGTTAAACTAAGCATTAGGAGGTTCAGCATAACCAATGCCCCTACGGGTGGTTGGGAAGATCATGAAGACAAATCCCGCCAACAATCCAACCCCAATCGGCAAATTCATGAGCAAATCCTTCGAACTATCAGCATAACTTTTAGGAAATAAACAAGTCTGCACCTCGGAATCGCTAAAAGCTAGAGCTAGAAAGAGCAAACATGAGAAGAATGCATGAACCAGGTCCACAAATTTGATTCTATATCTTATCAGCTCATGATTCTGTATTTGCATCATCATTGCCTCGTCTTCACTACGAGTATTTTCTTTGTTGATGATGTACAACCCTTTAATGGTTGCTATGCCATAGTATTGCTTGCCATTGGAGCCAACAAAGCTGTCTGAAAAAGATAAAATGAAACATGAGAAAGCAGAAAAGCCTATAAGAAATCCAGTGACAATTTTGTCGGGAAGGACGCAGTTTCCATGGTTAGAGAAGATTGGAGAGAGAGATTGGAAGGCGAGAACTGTGCCGGAGGGGAGGAGTTTCACTAGGTTGGCCGTGCTTGATAGGGTTTTGTCGACGACGAAGGTGGTAGGGTTTGTTGGGGGTGGAGCATTAGTTTGGGATCGATCTGGTGGTACAGAGGTGGTAGGGTTTGAGGGTGGTGCAGTACCTTGGGGTACTGGTGGTTGGCTTGTGGTTGGTGATGGTGTTGGTTCGGTTTCAAGAATTGAAATAGAGGATGATTCAGCTGCCATGGAGAAAGAGTGTGTGTGTGTGTTTTGAAGCTGAAGCTTAATACTACATTCGTTCATTTTTATATTAGTGATGTTTCTTCATTGTTTTTGATTCACAATTCGTTTCTTGCACTATAGAAAATTTTCAACCACCTAATTAATAAGCTTTAAAAATTGTAGTAAGTTCGACTCTTACTAGAGGATTAATTGGACATTTTCAACTAGCTAATAACCTATAAATATTTGCCTCATTGGTGTTAGACATATGAAAGAATATTGGAGTTCTATTGTACGAAATTGCGTGTATACGTAGCACGCTTAATTATAATAACCCAAGTGGTAGCATACAATATATTATTACTTTGCATATATGCTGATCAATATTTTTATCATTTTTCAACCGATTATATATTTTATTTGATAACAAAGTCTTTGGCATAGTGATTAATTTTTTCCGCCCTTTAAATTTCATAGTAAAAACTAAAATGGTAGAAGGTTCCTTCTCCTCAAAAGTATTGTGAGAATTTTTTGTCACCATAAATATATATTTACACACTTCATCTAATTTCATAATTTAAATTATATTACTCACAAGCCTTTTTTTTTTTTTTTTCAAATTTCCTTTTGTCTTAGGCTTCGTTTGGCTAAACTGGAAAGAAAAATAAAGAATAAAGGATTACATTAGTTATAAGATGAAAAAAAAAGAAGAAAAAAGATAGCAATAAGATATTCAATTTTGGATAAATTATTAAGTAAGAAAAGAAAATGATAACATTCTTGTTTGGAAAAATAAAAAAGAAGAAAGGAAAATAAACAAATTTAACCAATTTACTATTATACCCTTTTTTTAAGATGAGACTCAAATATTTTTTAAATTTTCTTCTTTAAAATGTTTAGGTTAATTTCGGTATTATAAAATTTTCACTCAAGAATTTTTATTTCTCTCTAACATTTGGGAGAATAGCAAATGAGAGATTTAAAAAGTTTAAGATATTCTTCAAAATCTCTCCTCATCATTTATCTTCTTTGGCAAATAATTAAACATGAAATTTACTCCGCTATCCCTCTCTTTTTCTTCTTGCCTTCTCTTTTTAATTCCATCAATCACATTCTCTAGTGTGAGTCTGCGACTATGTCTTCAATATTATCCTGTAGTACGGTTTTCTTTTAAAATTTTCAACAAATGTGTCAATAATTAAATGGGTTGTTGATCCACCCATTTAATCATTTACTATAAGTTTGAGTCACTTAATCGACGTACAACGAATCACTCTATTCTATTCATACACACTGAACCTAAAGTTAATAATATACTCAACATTGAATAGCCAATTCTGGATGGGGCAACAATATCATTGGTTTGCATTGCATTTAATTTGTAATTTGCAACCATTTGCCAAAGTCGGTCAATGCATATCTTCTTAATCTTTCACTGCCATATTCTTCTCGAACAAGTCATCTAGAAACTTGGGACCACATATATATCGTTGGTAATGTGAGGAGTATTTCTTACCCTTTTGCTTTTTGGTGTTTGGTAGGAGAGAAGTGAAGGGTATGGAGAAAAAAATAAAAATAAAGAAATTAATTTTCTTTGTTATGTAGAGTTGATACAAAAAAAAAACAGAAGAATAGGAATGCTCGATCACCTATCTTTCCTTTTTCACAAATTTTCATTCGTCAAAAAATAAAAGAAGAAATTAAGGAAGCAAGACAAGTACACTATTATAAAAATTTTAAATTAAATATTATTTTAAATTATACAAATTTTAAATTATTATATTATTCTTTATAAATTACATTATTATAAATATTAAATAGAGTAAATTACACAAAACACCATGGAGATTTTCATATAGTGCACTAATATGCAAGTGGGCGCGATATAACGGGAAGGCCCTAGTTGACCATTTGACCACATTGAATTAACATGAATTTACCTGTATGACCTTAGGCTTAAATTAAGAAAGAATTTGGTATTGGTAAGTTACAATTTTGCCCCTCATAATACATAAAACCATTTTCCCGTATACTTGCAGCTCATTCTCACAGCTATTGCCACCGCCACCGCCACCGCCATCGCCATCAACTCCAACGGTGATGAATTGCGACAACGATATTGAGGAGAGAGAAGGTGGCTGAGGACGTGGTAGTGGTGAAATTGAGAGAGAAGGCGGGTGAACTGGCGGCATCGCCCAAAGAGAGAGGGGGGAAACGAAAGCGGGTTAGGGTTTTTTTTTTTTTTTTTACAAAATTACATTAATGAGAACGATGACTTCCTGTAGCACCAGCGGCGATGAGGACGCTGACCACCTCTACCACCAGCGGCGATGAGGATGCTAACCACCTCTACCACCAGCGGTGATGACGACCATGACCACCTCTTTCTCAAATCTATCCCTCGCCGCACTGACGATGACATCCTCAACGAATTTTGTATCATCTTCCCTAGCTACTTCACTGTCTCGATCCTACATTCCACGCCCACGCTTCCCATCAGATTGCCTAAAGAGGTTTTGTCTTAGGGTTTGGTTTGTGATGGTTCTGAACCAGAACGGATTTAGGGCTTTAAATTGGGATTTTTTTATTTTTCAATTTTTATTTTATATATTTAATAGTATAAGGGTATCAACTCCATTTAACAATCTCACCGCTGAACAGTCTTCAGAAGCCATGCTAACACGCGTCGGAGAGCTCACCATGTACCTATGTTCTCTTTCACCACCGTGAGCTTCAACACATAGCAGGCAGAAGGGTTCTTTTGTCCGACTGATTATGTAATTTTAGTTTGCATAATGGACAATTTGATCTTTTCACAATAAAAGGGTATTTTTGTCTAAAACCTTTTTGATCCCCCACTGCTTTGCCGCATTACTCTAGACTGAAGGATATGCGTTTAGGTCAACCAAATCACAAGGATGGTTGACCAAAATATCTAGCCACATTCTACTTTGATGTATGAGATGAAAACTTGAGGGATGGTATTGTAATTTGTCCCCTTAAATATAATGACAAAAATAATTAAAATTTTCTATTTCTTTATCTCAACGAATTTGGTAAATTATCAATTTATTCTCTTCTCTTTTATATGGTCAAATTCTTAGGATATCTCATCTATTCCTCCTTCTCTCCCTTTTATTCAATTTTTTTCTTTCCAACTCAATAAATTCATGAAAATTTATAATTTATTTTTAAAATTTGGGCAAAATATTGTTCATTAACTTTCAAGTATCAAGGGAAAATAAAATTCAATTATCAGATTGCCCGTAATGACAAATAGGACCATTTTTAGTAAGCTTCTAACCCAAGCTCTACTGTTGTGGCTAATTTCTTCGGATTGAAACCAATTTACAGTGTTTTCTCTTATTTTATGATTTATTTATTTTGGTCCCAAATATAATTCTCATGTATTACTTATTCTAGTTAATACACGACCTTTGGTAATTAAATAAAAGTAATGACTAATAAATTATATGAATATTGTTCATAACTATATTACTGCAGTATTATTTATGTAAATATAACAAGTTCAATCAGTACAAGCGATGTTGGTACTTGACAGAAATTCGAGAGGTGATGCGTGTTTTATGGGGTTGATATACATACTCTAAAAAAACAAATACAAGATGGGCTGAATTGAAACTGAAAATTACTACGTAGTTCAATTTGAATCAATCCAATTAGATTCTATATTTCAAACTCGGCCCAATTAGATCCCTATATATTGCCTGATTTATCTTTGAAACTAATTAGGCCTAAATGAATATCCAATTAATTAAGCCTCTTTGAAATCAGAAGCTAAACCCACCGTACAGGCCCTGCTTTCTCGTCCTTCCTACTGGGGTGGGCCTATGTGTTGAAACATCACCATTCTAGTTTTTCATTAGACCAATTTAAAATCTATAATGAAATAAATTTTTAATTTAATTATACAAAACTTCCTAATGACAAATAAATTATACAAAGAAAATAACATTTTTCTACACAATTTTTTTTACAAAATTAATATCTAGGTTTTGGCCATGTTTGGGAAACTTCTTAATACCAAAAGTCCATTACTATTTGATAAGGCCTTCATAAATGAAATTTTGTTAGATATGGTGTTAGTGGTAGTGGAAGACAGTGGTGTTAGTGGTGGTGACAGTGGCGGCAACAGAAGGCGGTGGTGTGTGACGAAGGTGGTGGTGGAAGGCAGCGCGGTGTGATGATATGGTGATTGAAGGTGATGGTGGTGGAAGGGGGCGGTGGTGATGGCAACGACAACAACGGACATCCTTTAGATTAGGAAAAGGAATGGTGAGTTTTTCATGAGATAGGCATTCCAAGATAATAATAATTTCACCTTTGATATTGCTCGCCAAAAAAAATAAAAGAATTTTTATTTTATTTTATTTTATTTTATACAAGATAATAAGAGTTAGAAGTTAGATTAGTAGGTACAAAGAGTCAAAATCTGACACTCCAAAATTCATCAAAGGCACTAATTCACTGATCTATCAAGACATTTGCAAAATAAAAGAATCAAATGGTAGAATGATAGCTCCTGCGTATCAAATATAGCCTTAATAATTAGTTAAATCAGTACTATTTTAAATTTTAACTTATTATAAGCTATAAATATATATGTTTTAAGTTATATTTATAATACAGTGAACATCTATAAAGCGTATCTAACTTAATGATATAACCTTTTTATATTTGAAATGATTCTTGATAGTTGCAGTGAATTACTAACTTATTCTTTTAGAAATTATTTGATTAGGTAATTCACTCAAGAGTTCGATTTGAGTGAGGAGAACAATTCACGTTTCGGTATAAACAAAATAGATGTGTAGTTGCGTTTCTAATCAATAATTGAAAAAATAAATAATTAAATAACATCTATTTCAATCAAAATTAATTTGTGATTTGATATAAAGTAGAACCTAACTAACAATGGTACTGATAAATTTACATACAATGCTTTATTGATTCAATTCGTACTCTTTGTCACCATTGCATTTTTAATTCAATTCATTATAGGTAAGCAAGGATACAAGTAACGATGCATCTTGTAGGATTATTGAATTGAATTAAAAAATATAATTCGAAAAAAAAAAAAAAGAATTAAAAAATATAATGGTGACAGAAAGTCAGAATTTGCTGATCATTGCTCAAAGAAAAATGGATTTATTTCCGGGAAAAAAAAAAACTGAAGACCAAGTTGAATTGTGAATCTGTGATGTGGACAATCATTCTGTAAGCTCTCAGCTGTGGACATTTTTCCCGTCAAACAAGTCGACCGCGAAATCTCCGGCGACCGGATAGTGTCGGCTAACTTACAAGACAAGCGCAGCGACGTATCCCGCGCACCAACTCCAACGGTGTCGTATTCATCCCATCCCTCCAAAATGACGACAGACGAAGAGATCATCAACGAGCTCGAGGAGTCAACCAAAGATGCCACGCGCCACCAGCTGGAGACCCTCCGGATCATCCTGGAACACAACTCTGGCGTACGTTATCTCGAGCCCTACCTCCGAGGCTATCGTGCGCCCATCGACGCTGGAACTTTCCGGCGTGTGGTGCCTTTGTCTTGTTACGATGACTACGCCGATCACATCCGTCGGATGGCCGACAACGACGGGGATGATGATCGGTCACTCCTGTCTGTTGATCATCTGGTCTGTTTCTTTTACAGGTACTACTGGTCTCCACTTTATTATTCATTCAAACCTTGTAGTAACATTCAAATTCAACCAAGCTTTTTTTTTTTTTTTGGTATATACAGACATGAAAAATAAGAATCAATGATGCTCTATTTAAATTGCCCAAAAAAACTAAGGAATCGAAAAGAAATGAAATTATAGTAAAAAGTCCTCAATCCTATGTTTTTTTGTTATTTTTCCCAATGAAAAATTGAAAATACAAATCAATTTGTCCTAATGATGGTGCGAGGTACAGTTGAGTGGAGGGTTTTGTTCTCTTAGTCCCTCTACATTTTCTCAGCAACCAAGCAGATTGCGGAAATTTAGAGGATTTTTATTTATTTATTTATTTATCAATATTAAGACATTTTCAATTTGGCCTAATGATGATGCTAGGTACAGTTGAGTGTAGTGTTTTGTTTTCTTAGCCACTCTACATTTTCTCAGCAACCAAAACAGATTGCTGAAAATTGGACGAATTTAATTATTATTATTATTTTTTGGATTTGAAGATCAATATTTAGGACATCTAACTGTTGATTAGGTATAATGAATTTTGGATTTTCTGGTGTCTGGCAGTTCGGGGACGAGTTCAATGAGGCCAAAAGCGATTCCTTATTTTGATTCAATGCCCTCAAAAGCCATCTCTTATTTAGCTCACCAGGGCAGTTCTGCAATTCTTCGAAGGTAATTCATTCTTTTTCTACATTATATCACATTTATAAATTTTACTACTACTATTATTATTAATGTCGAATTTGATATTACTGTGAATTTAGTTTTGTATAGTGATGGCATATTGATTTTTTCATAGGCTATTTCCTCCAATACCCTCTGTCAACAAGTCTCTATGGTTTATATATGCCGGTAATGTTACCAAAACAAAAGGTGGATACAAGGTTATGGCAGCCTCTGCATTCCCTATACACGGCAATAGCTCGAAATTTCCCCATTTTCTCTCTTCATGTGTTAGTCCCAAAGAAGTAATTTTGGGATCGGATGTTCAGCACCAAATGTACTGCCACCTCCTCTGCGGCCTTAGGTATTCGAATGTAGTTGATAACATTCGAGCACCATATGCTGCAAGTCTAGTCAAAGCGTTTTGTCTTTTAGAATCTAAGTGGGAGCAGCTATGCGAGGATCTTGAGCATGGGTTTCTGAGTTTGGAGATCAATGATGTTGCAATGAGAGATTCTGTTATTGAAGTTCTTTGTGGTCCACAACACGATTTATCGAAGAAGATTCAATCAATTTGTGAAGAAAAGAAATGGGGAGGGATTTTAAGTAAACTATGGCCAAATGTTCGTTATGTCAAATGTGTTAGCACAGGAAGTATGGATCAATATTATTCAAAGCTCAAGTATTATGCAGGAGAGATACCGGTGTTAGGTGGGGATTACTTTGCTTCGGAATGTTGTGTGGGTATTAACTTGGACATTATGCAACCACCGGAGCTGACACGATATGTTATGCTGCCAACTGCAGCCTATTTTGAGTTTATTCCTTATTTTGATTCGAATAGTAAGACCAGTGTCACTGCTGAAGAAACACTGGATCTTTCTGGTGTTGAGGTGGGGAAGCTGTACGAAGTGGTTGTGACTACTTATAGAGGATTTTACCGATACCTTTTGGGTGATGTTGTGAAAGTTGTTGGCTTCTATAATTCGTCCCCCCAAATTGAGTTTGTGATGAGAGCTCCTAAAGCTCCTGGTGAGATAATAACCGAAAGAGACTTGATGTCTGCCGTGGCTAATTTCCAACTCGTGCTAAGAAATAGAATGACGGTAGAGATAACCGAGTTTGCCAGTTTCTTGGAGTTGGAGTTGAATCCAAAACAATTGAAGATTTTTCTAGAAGTTGAAATGGGATGTATGTTTCTGGAAAAAGAGAAGTTGCAGGAGTCCGTTATGGTTCTTAGAAGTTGCTGTTCCTCTCTCGAGGATGGCTTGGGAGGCATGTATAAGGTGATGAGGGAAAGAGGCGAAGTCGAGCCTTTGTTGGTATACATTGTAAAGCCTGGCAGTTTTGATAGGTTATTACAACTAGCTGTAGAAAATGGAGCACCGGCGAGTCAATACAAACCGCCAAAAATTATAAGAAATCGCAAGTTTGTGGATTTCATGGAAGTCTCCGCTGTTGTGAATGTCTGCTTAGATTCTTCGGATTGTTAGGTCCTGAAACAGCAAATAATGGAACACAGAGAAAAACTGGATCCTTCGTTTTTTATTTCTCCTCTGGTGAAAAACATGCTTTTAATGCTTTCTGAGTCTGATATGTAAGTTGAAACCTTGTGAAATCATACATTCTGTTTTATAATTATTTGAGCTGAATAATTGAAGTTGTGTGAATCGAGATGATTTTATTTGATGCTTCCATAGGGTGGAATCCAAAATGTAAATTCTTGATGAGGATTTGAATGTTCCGTTCAAGAACACAATGAAAAACAATATATTTTTGTAAGAATTATTCTCTCCCTTGCTTTAATTTTTTATTTTTTTAGTTTAATTACACTGACCAATCCGAAGAAAGACATATTTATTGCTGACCTGTGCGTATTTCAAATATAACACTGATCTCCCTTGTCAGTAAAAATACGTAGGGTTCTATATCTAAGTTCTTATTCTTATTCATCATCTCTATGTCCCTAATACATAAAAAATAAATAAAAAAAATACTCAGAGAAAAAATGTTTGGCAACTATCGCAACTGTTTCAAAGTTATTCCTAATACAGCTACAATCCATCATATGAATACTTAGGTCTAGGAATTAGGATTGACTCAATATAAGTTGGGACCTAAGACAGTGACTTCTAAATTACTTTTTTGATCCTTAAAAAGGATAGAAAAACATTCTTCCAAATTATTTACCCCAAAAAAAAAAAAATTCCAAATTAAGCTGCAACTAAAAATGGATAGAGACCCATTATAGTGAAAGCATAGATGGTAACTGATTAAGGATTACATATGATTAGTTTGTGCAATTACTTTCCTTTACTTTATAAGTAATTTAAAAAAAAACAAAAAAAAACAAAAGCAATATTCATTAAGAAGAAATAGCAAGAAGATCAACATTCATATACGTCAAAGAGGCAAGTAGGCCAAACGTGTCACTAAAATCAGTGACCCCTCCTCTCTCCAGGGTCCATTTTCTCAATTCATGATTGGCCTGTCTAGCATTATATGTCACTGTCTCAAATTTAGGTACCTTGCCCAAAAACACATTCAAATTAAGGTATCTACCCAAAAATATGTACACACACACAAACACTTATTATTAAAAGTACAAAGAGTGTCAAGAATTTCAAATTATCATTAAAAATAAATATATAAATAATAAAATAAATTATCAATTAAAAGTTACCAATTAAAATAAATCTTATTATACTCTTAAAAGTTACCAATTAAAATAAATCATATTATACTCGAAATATTTTATGACTAAAACAGCTAAAACAAGTTACGAATTAAAATAAAATAGGTAATTGTTTAATAAAATAATTTACTAAACCTGCCCCACTTTCTCTTTGTAATTGGTGTCAAGAATTTCAAATAATCATTTAAAATAAATAAATAATAAAATAAATTACCAATTACTAGTAAAATAAGTCCTATTATACTCTTAAAAGTTACCAATTAAAATAAATCTTATTATATTCTGAATTCTTGATGACTAAAACAAGTTGCAATAAAATAGGTAATTGTTTAATAAAATAATTTTTCAAATGTCTACCATACATGTTCATTTTCTCTTTGTAATTGGTGTTGAGATTTTTCTCCCAGAAGGCGACAATTGTGCTTCATCTCGTAAGTTCATTAGAATTATGTTTTTCTTCTTTAGTTTTTATTTTTATTTTCTCAAAAACACAATGAAAGTATTTTATTTTTTATTATTTGTTTAATGTTTGATTGGTGACAACAATGGTTGATCTTGTAAATTTAGTTTGCATTATGATTTATTTTTATTTTTTCATAAGTGTCATGAAAGTATTTTGTAATTTTACGTGACTTGAATTCTTTAATTTTTTATTTCTCTTATTTTCAATTCATTTTCTCTGTTTTGTTTCTAGAGTTGGTATTGTTTTGCTCCTAAGATTTGCGGCTGAAGAAGAATCAAGAGAAAGAAGAATCATGAGAGAGAAGAATAAAAAATTGTAAGTGCGAAAGTCATGATTTTTAATTAGGTTTCAGCTATTCCAAACAAATTTGGGATATATATATATATATATATATATATATTTAAATCTGTATGTTACCTTCCAAAAGATTCTCCTTTTGGTCATCTTCACGCATACACTAAAAAGAAAACACCATAAACCATTGCTCAATCTTACGGGTGAAGAGCTCTCTTTTACTGGTTGTCTTTGTCGCCATTAATAGACTTATAGTGACAAATTATTAGTCACCAATTTCTAGCTTTTAGCGACAAAGAATACTTCGTCGCAAAAGAGTAGATTCTTGCAACATAACTCTTGAACCGATTTTAGTATGGCTCTTTTCTCTGTTATGAATTTTTTCAATTCCTTTTCTCTGTTTTGAATTTTTTTAATAATTGATTATCAACTTTTTCTCTCTATTATGAGCTTTTTTCAATAATTGATTATAAAATTGACAACAAATTAAAAATTTTGGTAAATTGAATTTTTTTAAAATTTTTATTTTCTCTTATCTGATTTCGGTAATTGATTAGCAGCTTGATAAATTTGGTTTCCGTTCTGCAATTACAATTATAAAAACTATTTTATTTACGCATGATTATTGTTTAGTTTAGTTTTGAATCATAATTAATTTTATCAACATATATAGCAGATATATTATTTCTGTTTGATTATTGTTTGTTTTAGTTTTGAATAGCAATTATTTTATAATTAATTGAAGTTAATTATTATTTATAAAATTTATTAATAAAATAATAATAAAACTGAATTCTTATAAATATATATTTATAATAACTTTATAAATATTAAATATCAACTATTCAAAACAAGTTGCTAATTAGTTATTTATAAAATAAATTTTTTTATTATAAAATAACTTTTAAGTTGTGAGTGCACGTATTTTTTCCTAATATATTTACACATTCAAATTTAGGTCCAAGTTTTCAAGATGTGAGTATAATCATGCTATAGTGTCAAATTATTCAGTAAAGTTGAACTCTCCATACTATTTTGTGCACGTGTGTGTATGTATCTGTGTGCGTGTGAGAGATATGTACATGGTTTGGAATAATCTTTGGTGTGCCTGTAAAGCAATCTTATTATCTTATTTTGATGTGTCAAGGCAGCCTCACTGGCAGAGAGTAAAAGTTGGTTTGTTTTTTTTTTTTTTTTTTTTTTTTTTTTTTTTTAATTCCTTAAAGGGAGAAAATCTTTGATAAGGTCGTTCTCTCACAACATTTTTTTATTGGATAATTTTGAACCAAATTTAATTTGACGTGGACTTTAGGAATTATTGGACAAATTAATTGACAATACAGTTTATGGTTTTTTATTTGGTTTTAATGATAAAATTATTATTCCCGATAGATCTTTTAGTATTTTGTAATTACGAGTTGTTGTCTATACTAATTAACTTTTTAGTCCAAACTCAAATATTTTATTGAAGCTTAGTTTAAATTTTCATATGTCAAGTTTAACTAGGATTGTCAACTAGTGGTGAGGTCGAACTTTGAAGTGTAAATGTCAAGCTTAGTAAATGAATTCAATAATTCTAATAAATCAAGTCAAGTTTGAGCTTAAATCAAGTCAAACCTTAGCCCGAATACTTCATAAAAGGTTCAACTTCTTTGAAATCTTAATTTTAATTAGCATGGACTCCTCCACTCAATTGTTTAAGCATGTACGCTTCACTACTTGGGTGTGTGGCTGGTCAAAGTCATTTTTAAGTTCAATTTTGGGTCAAAATTAGATAATTAAACACATCCAATTGCATTAGCCCAAGTTAGATAATTAAACACATCCAAACGCGGAGGAAAATGGCTGGGAAGATGCATATATATATATATCCATATGTTTGTGTGTGTGTATATATATATATATATAGAGAGAGAGAGAGAGAGAGAGAGAGGTAGTTTACCGTCACAAGCATGTCCTAACAAATCAACTTTAACGCAAGTTATATAATTGGTACACCAACCAAACAACATAAATTAATGTTGACAGCGCTTATACCTTAATCAATGAAAAGATGAGATGAAAATGACTTTTAGAATAAGCTACTTTACTTGTAATCCGTATCTTTAAGCTTTGTAAAGAAGCGATTCGGAATCCCAAATTACATGTAACAAAACCAGTACCAAAGTATATTATTATTTATATTTAAGTTAAGTTTGGCATGATTTGTTACAATGATCTGTGGGTCCAAAGAAGAAGCAATGAAAACTTATACGAGTACTAAAAATTCTTTGCGTGATGGTCTTATAATTTATGTCTGGTTGGTTGCATTTAATTAGGTTGTAATGATTGTAAAGTGATTAAAATCTCTGATTGCTATTGTCTTGTGGCTACAGCAATTACAATTCAAATAATTAGATTCCACTCAATCAATCGAATATACACGGGTATATTGGTTGTTATGTGCAAGAGTTGTATCTAACATCAGCACCTACAACATATTTATACCTTAATAATACTTTTTATATATTATTATTTTATAGTATTACTTTTTGTAATAATGTGTACAAAGAAATTCTAGACTAAGAAAAGAAAAAAATAAACAACACAAGTTTGTTTGATTAGGTCGTTGAGTAATGCTAGTCAACTCAAGTTTAAAGTTTGACTTGGTGTTATTAATTTTGTGTATGATGTTGGTTAAATCTGTAAGCGTAGTAGATTTCTGTTTTTTTTTTTTCGGTTGGTGAGGCAAACTTTTATATCATTCTCTACATCCATTTTGTTCTGTTTGTTTGATTAGGTCTCACCTCCCTTCCACTTTTAGCAGCCTTAACGGTATATTTTTATTTATTTATTTATTTTTCTAATTGAATCCAATATCTTATCAATTTAAGTTTTTTTTTTTTTTTCACTTTTTTGTTTCTTTGTTTGTTATTAGTATTATTTTCTCAAAATAGTTTGAGATTTGTCTTCTTGCCAATCATGAGATGGGATCTTAAGGTTTTTTTTGGGTGACTGGGGTATTCAGTTTTTGTTCGGATTAATTTTTACGATATCGTATAAAGTATTCTTTTTATATTAGTTGAATAAAGTTTAACTTTTCATCATCAAATGTAAATTTAAGTACGAATTTCATGAGACACTAATCTCAAGTGAGTTACCACTTGAATAACATTTCAGATTCAATAGTAATCTTAAGTTATTATTTAAATAAAAAAAAAAGCCATTTAAAACATGGCTTAATTGGCAATAGTTTATGTTTAGAGAAAATTCAATAAATGATGGACACAGTTTAAACAGGTGGTCCAATTGAGTGTCAAATTGTGCGTGCTCTATAACACACACGTACCCTCTCAATATAGAAAGAGAGCCGTATCAAACTCACAAAACTATGTTCGCATCAAAATCACCATAATTTTTTTTTATATTATATATATTTTTGTCTCCATAAATTATAAATGAAAAAAAAAAAACCCATTTAATACTTTAAAGAAAAACCCAATTATTTTAGTTCTCTTTCATTTTGTAGAAACTGAAAGATTACATATTTAGAGGGAAGAAATAACAGATTTTTTGAGCAGTCATCACCTGATAGAAGCGTAGAAAAAGGAGTGATTGTTGAAGCGCAGAGAAAGAGAAGCCGTGTTCTCTCTCTCTCTCTCTCTCTCTCTACTTCCTCTGCTTTTGAGTTGTGTGTGTTTATGGAACATCTCCGACAAGCTTATGCTTCTCTTTCATGGTATGTCCAACTCCAACACCTTATTGTTCTTGTTCTGTCTCTTATGTGAAACCTCTCTTTTCCTTTTCAGCACTATTTAGCTTTTCCTTCATCAGCTAAATCATGGGTATGCGTTTTTTTTGTCTTTACGCGACTACATCCTCTGTACTACATATGTTTTCTTTTTTTTTGGGTTCGACCGCCAACTGTTCCTTCCCATGTCCTATCAGATTTCTAGTAATGTTATTTTGGTTTTTCTAATTCAATTTCCAGACAAATTTCTGGGTTTTCTTACATTTGTGATTCACAATTTGTAAGCTCTTCCCTGCAATTTATATCTATTCATATGATACTTTGGTTTCACATTTTCTCTAATTTTAAATTAATTTCCAGTTTTTCGCAGCTTGCGTTTCTTCTTTCTCAATTTTCTGGGGACCAATATTTGCTGAGAAAACAGTAAGAGATTAAACTCTCTGTTCTGTGTCTCTGTTTCTGCCTAAGGTAAATCTCAATCTTCAATTTTTGTATGTATGTGCGTGTCTGTGTGTGTATATATATATATATATATAATTTTTCTTTATTATAATGTTTAGAATGATTGTGCTGAAAGTTTTTTTGTTCGTTGGTAGATTTGTGTATCTAGAAAATGGAGAAGGAGAAGGAGAAGGAGAAGGGAGATGTGTACTCTCCTAATGGAGTTCTTGAGGACTACTTAATAAGCTTAGAATCTGAAAGAGTCTCGGAGAAAGAGAGCACTTCAGAATTTGAAGCTCATGAAAACTCAAAGCCCACTTCTAAATGGCGCAGTTTTGTCCAATTATTGAGAAGTAGGTCAAAAAGAGGCTTACCCACTTTGCATCCTCTCAAGCTCTCAAGAAGATTTAGCAGTATGAGAGAGGACATCAGCCTGGTTGTAGATACTGATTTAAACTATTTCAAACCTCGGTGGAAGAACTTCGCGCTTTCTGAACTCCAAACTGCAACCAATGGTTTCTGCCACGGTACATTTTTTTAAGCTGAATTCAATTTTACATTTTTTAATTGGCATGAAATTTTAATAATGTAAAATGGCCCATTACATGGATAATGAGTTTCCACTCTCTTGTGCTATAGAAAATCTGATTGGAAAGGGAGGTTATGCTGAAGTTTACAAGGGTTTATTACGAGACGGGCAGCTTGTTGCAATCAAACGGCTGACACGGGGACCATCTGAAGAGAGAACAGGGGACTTCTTATCGGAGCTCGGGATTATGGCCCATCTCAACCATCCCAATACCGCTAAATTGATTGGCTATGGGGTTGATGGAGGATTGCACCTTGTTCTTCGGTTGTCTCCACATGGAAGCTTAGCTTCACTTCTTCACGGTTTGTTGATTTTTTTTATTTATTTATTTTAATGACTTATACTTTATAAGTTGCAATTGAATATTTTTTTTTGACTTCTATTTATTACATTGTAGGTTCAAAAGAGAAACTGGAATGGAGTATTAGGTATAAGGTTGCACTTGGAACAGCCGAAGGTCTGCTTTATCTACACCAGGGTTGTCAAAGGAGAATCATCCACAGAGATATAAAGGCTGCAAACATATTGCTCACAGAGGACTTTGAGCCTCAGGTACCCTCCAAACCAACGACTTTTTTTATTTTATTTATTTATTTATGTTTTCCCTCCTTCAAATGCTGCATATGATATAATGATTTAAAGGCCTTGATCGATGATCATACAATAAATTGATGTTTAGACATTTATAAACAGTTGATGTCACTTGTATCAACAATCAACCGATTTTCGGATAACTGAACTCTATTGTGCTTTACCTCTTTTTAAAATGGCCAAAACCAACCTAAAGTAAAATATATACTATGTTTTAAGGTGTTTTGGGAGCTTTGGACCTCAAAAAGTAACTATTTTCAATCCAGATTTGTGATTTCGGGATTTCAAAATGGCTGCCAGAGCAATGGACTCACCACTCTGTCTCAAAATTTGAAGGCACATTCGGGTATGAAGACTTTACACCACTGATCGTTTCTGTTACACTTAAATTGGTTTTAAATCGATCTTAAAATTTTATCTTCCATCTCTTCCCATTGCAGCTATCTTGCTCCGGAGTACTTAATGCACGGTATAGTAGATGAAAAAACTGATGTTTTTGCCTTCGGCGTGCTGCTCTTGGAACTCATCAGTGGTCGTCGAGCTCTGGATTACTCGAAGCAAAGCCTTGTCATGTGGGTATGCCTCTACCCTTCATATCCACCCCCGCCCCAACCCCAAAATTTTCTCCTGTCAATGCTGTGCGCAATATATCTGGATGAATTGTCACTGAGGATTTCATTTTACTTTTCGCAGGCAAAACCGTTGCTCAAGAAGAACAATGTCAGAGAGCTTGTTGATCTTTCTCTTGCTGAGAACTACAACACAATACAGATGAACCTTGTGGTCTTCACTGCTTCTTTATGCATACAACAGTCTTCAATTCTACGGCCTCAAATGATTCAGGCATGCACTAATCTTTAAAGAAAACACACACACACAAATATTAATTTAGTTTAAATAAAGCTAAAAAGAAATTTCAATTAGATGCTAAACATGAAAAATAAGACATAGTCTAAGAAGGAAGTTCAGAATTAAATTAAATTTATTTTGCTTACACGTGCTTGTCGTCTAACTTGAAATGAATTTACAAACAAATATCTGAACTTCATAATTTCGCCATTTTAATGTATGGAATTTGATCTGCTTGATTGCAGGTGGTTCAAATTCTAAAAGGCGAACAGGGAAGTTTCGAGTTGGTGAGGAGATGTCGAAAGCCATCCTCTTGGAAGAGGTACTACGAAGAGATTTTTAACACAGAAGAGTATAAAACAACCAGACACTCAAATGGTTGGAATCCACAGAAACAGATGGCTTTCGAAGTCTGAACTGCTGGTTTGATATAAAGCATCAAGCAGCACAGAAAGCATACGGTTGAAATGTTTGAAATCAAATTTCCTGGTAAATTATAAGATGGAGACTACCTACCTCCGTATGTTCTCATGCAAAGGACGGTGTGAACTCCATACCTTGAGAGAGTGGATTACGAAAATCAAAAGGAAGAAGAAACAGAAGAAGGGAAATGAAAAAAAGTTGGAAAGAACGTTGTACATGCATGTTGCGTTTGAAAGTATGGAATGTTTTGGATTTGGAATTAGAGAATAATTATTATAATTTTGAATTAATATTCGGTGCTCCCAAACATAGTTTTCAACCATACTTCAGTCTCTTAAGAAAAAAAGGGGAAGGCAAACCCAACAAGAAGCAGAGTTGGGATTGTTTATGTTTGGGCACGCGAATCTTGAGGGCATTCAATCTGTTACAGATTGACGTTAACAAGTTTTGGTCTTTTGGTCTTTCTCCGATCTGATAGACAAAGTGCTCTGTTTTTAAATTTCACTTTTGACAGTGCTTTTTACATAGAAGTGCAATTTGGATCAATTTTAGATACAAAACATTCGTCTTTACGATAATAGTTATACTTGTAGAATGTTCGAATAATAATTGTCATGGGGGACTCTGCATTCTTAGAAAAATTCGCACACTCGAACATGTTCCTCTTAGTTTTACGAAAAAGGAGTGCATGAGTTAAACTTTTTTAAACATAAACGGTGAGGTTTGGTCAGATTAAGGTTGGATATATCTGAAGCCAACCTTCATCAATCTTTCCTTTACAGTACTCTTTTCCAAAAGTTAAGCAACCTTGATTACAACATACCCAACCAACGTCCATATTTGACAAAATTATTCATGAAATTTCACATAGTTCAATAAAAAAAAAAAATTGAGAATAGGGTCCCTATCATTAATAAGAAAATTTGTTATCAAAAAACTTGTTCAGAAATACTGTAATAAAAAGAACACCCTTTGTAGCCGAACGATTTGAGTTATTTCCGTTATTCTTGAACTCCCTTTGTGTTACTGGGATTGAGGGGCCTAGCGGAAGGGACCAAGGACCAGGCTAGACCACTTGGCCCCAATAACATTTTTCTTCCATTAAATGATATATCAAGCAAATCATTTATTTTGATCGGATTTATCATCAATTTTTTTTTTTTTTTTTTTTCTCTTGTCCGATTGGATCTAATTCAACAAGTTTCCTTTTGATATAGAAAAAGGAAACAAACATACTAACATTTTATTCATTTATAGAATTTAATGGTATTGTGGAAATGAGACTTTAGTTTTTTTTATTAATTTAAAGTAATGGAATTATTCTATTTCATGTGGCAAAGGAATGTTATCCACGTTTTAAGTCAGGCTAAGTGTTTTGTTTTTTTATTATTTAAAAAAAAAAATCATTTTAAAATAATAAAATGATAAAATTATGCCATCTCACATGTCGAAGAAACGTTATCAATCTCTTAATTCAGCAATGTATCAAATTGTGCTGGAAAAAAAAATCCGGTACTCCTCAAACTTTTTCATGACATGATCATCCTTGTATAAAGTGGATCATACAAATTATTTCACCCTGCCTCAATCATAGAAATATTTTTATTGATAAAGCCCATCCAGCATGACAAATTTATAAAAATGATTGGATCTAAGAAGTGCTTGGTCACAATTCTTTGACAAGACTCATTAGAAACATTAACAAATAGACTAGTACCACCATTTCAACATTATTATTATTATTATTATTATTATTCTGCTGTATTTTAAGGTTACACCACATTCCTACATCCAAATTCCATGGTTATGAAATATGAATTAGGATTGAAATAAAAGGGTGTTTGCCCCATTACGAAAGGTTGTCAATTTAAAATCCACAACTAAAATTGAACCACGATTGCGACAGCCCGATAATCATGTCATTGTTTGTATAAAAGCCCACACTTCGGCCCAGGGGACTGTGTGGCACTGTGTTCCACTTTGTCGGTAGTGGGCCCGCAACAAATGAAGCACTCAATTGTCTGGTACTCACAAATTCACAAAAATTAATTTTTTTATTAATAATAATTATGAAATTACCAAACACAAAATAAATAAGCCTATCCGTATGATCGTATCATTTCAGCGTACACTGAATTCAACTTATAGCTTCCGCAACAAATTTTCTCTTCTAAACGTTTCGGCGGTTTACGAAAATCAAGATTAATTTTTACTTACTGCGCAAACAACTGGCGGAGTCTAAAGAAGGTGTGGAGACCTCTAGAGAGAGAAACAGACACTTATATAGAGAGAGAGAAGCTTCAAGTCAAACCTAAGAAACTGGAACAGGTACTACGAAAACGAGAAGAAAATCCTGCTGGTTCCTCGCGTGTGTCGCACCGCGATCGGAGTATCGGATGATCTTAGGTGATCGGGGATGGTCGTCAGCTACGGCGGCGGAGGCGGTGGAGGTGGTGGCGGTGGACGGCGGCGAAGTGGAAACTTCTGCTGAGTCTGTGGCGGACGCGGCGGCGGCGGCGGCGGCGGTAGTGGTGGTGGTAGGGAGGGGTTCAAGAGAAGGATGAAGAAGGGGAAGGGAAAGAACAGTAGATTGTTGCCCAATTCTTTGCGGATTATATCGTCTTGTCTCAAGACCGTATCGACTAATGCTAGTACCGTCGTCCGCTCCGCCGGTGCTACCGTCGCCGCCTCTATTTCCCGTTCCGGAGATGGTCCCAGAGATCAGGTATTCTTCAATTTTGCTTTATTTTTTGTTGAATTTTTTTATGTTGTTTGCTGAAATGACATGCTTAGTTTTTTTTTTTGGTAAGTAAGATTACATTTGTATTATCATATCCTATTTTGTTTTGGGTTCCAGATTTTATGTATACTATAAGAAAGATGAGCAATAAAACTGTCTTTTTGTAGAAAGATATAATCAAATGTTCAATTGTTTTTTTTTTTTTTACCTTTTTTTTTTTTTTTTTATAAGTAAATGTTCAATCGTGTTTTTCCTTCTATCTTTCTCTATAGGAATATTAATCAGGGGAATAAGATTATAGGGTCGTGCTTTATTCAATATACAAGAGAATAAGTTTGATATGTGATACATGTAATTAAAGAAAAATGAAAGAATATAGGTATATGTTAAGTATATGGATGGAAGAAGAAAGAGATAGTATGTGTTTAAGTGTAAGCATTTGTTGAATTGGAAGAATTGTCTTAAAAAGATATGATTATGTAATTGTGTCTTCTATAAAGTACTGTTTTATATATGAACATAAATATCCTTGTGAAATTTCCTATTAAATCATGTTGGAACGAATGACTGAATTTCTGTATCTCATGAACTCGTAACTTTGCTCGAGTCTTATTAGTAGCACTTGATTTGCTGACAATTCTGTGTAATTTAGCATACCCTCGCTTAGCTTATAACAGGAGTTAGGATTAATTCATGTTTTTTTTTTTTTTTTTTTAAACACATTTAGATACTGAACATGTACATCCAACTGAATTTGGCAATTATTTTTTATATATAGCTCAAGTAGGCCACGTGGTCTTCTCAAGAATATGCCAGAGTTCAAAGTAGACTGTTCCCAAGTTTCTGAGATTTGAACCTAACAATGTAATGTTTTAGAATCTTTGAGTCTTAATGAAGTTTCTCAATAGATTGCATGGCTAATAAAGGTCATTACGAAGTGCTGATGGACGGGATGACCTACCTTTGACATTATTCAACACAGTGACTGCTTTTGGATTTGAACTTTCCACTAGCGCACAATTGTTGCACGGTTTGCACCAATGGCACTCTGTTTTATATGTGACTAACATTGGTAAGTTCAAACAGTGTGTTGTGTTTATGACAAATTGCAAGCATTGTGATCTCAATATTCTTGTGAAAATTGGAGGATTGAATTGTAAAAGAGATAAATGACACTGTCAAGTAATAGGGTCTTTAAGCATATCCATACTGAATTACAAAAGAGATCAGGAACGTGAACTCAAATAAGCTCTGAAGAAAAAGTAACAGAAGAAGTAGTTACTGAAATAAATTCTTTAATAATAAAGAAAAGGGGAGAACAAATTAAATTGTGTGGCAATTTCAATTAGTCTTCCTTGGCTAAAATTCTTTGTCTTTCACTTTAAACTTTTTGTAAGATGGGAATATGCTAGAAATTTAACGCAGGTACCACTATGTGTCTTATTGTACCTTAGCTTTCTATGTGTATATGTGTTTCTTATTGTACTTTATTTATCGTATGTAAAATTGCTGCGAGAAATGCATTATATCTCAATTTAATATCTGTCAGTACATAATCATGATAACTATTGTTGACAATTACTCTTTATTACAGCTTGTAAAGACTCCTTCTTCCCTAGAAAAATCTAGGACAAGATCTAGGTAATTAGAAGCAATATATATATATATATATATATATTCAAGAGTTATGTTGACTTTCATGACACCATACAGTTTATAATAACAGAAATTAATCAAACATGTTATACGGGTACTTGAATGTACCATGTAAAGCTGATCCATTATGCTTCATATGGTGTATTTGGAAGGAATGTGAGAGGAGTATCAACATATATCTGCTTTTTATTAGTATTGTACAAGTTTCCCATATTAGAGTTTTTAGAAAAGGATTTACCATACCAGTGCTTGCCTTTTTTTAGTATGTTGTTATTTCTACGACTATGAGTGATCAACAGATTATTACATTCCCATTAGTTTAGGATTGAAAATGTTGGAAAATGTGTACCTCCACTTGTAAACTAGTTCTTAGTGGAGTTGCCTTTTTGAACTCATCTTTTTGGTGACTTGACTTTGAATTTATTGATCGAGTTTTTTAAATTGATAGACCAACATATTAATCATGCTGATTTGATGACTATTTGAACGAGTTTAAATGACCCAAGGAAATCTTGAAATATACTTTGATTTCATTAGACCATTTTTGTCTCTATTTCAGCAGTTTGTTCCTGATTCTTTGATTGTTGCATATTCTGTCCTTTTTCCTTTGTTTTTTTTATGTTGCAGTAAATTAATCTAGATCTGAACTTCCATTGTTAAACAGGTAACTTGGGCTGGCTTTGACAAAATAGAGCTTGGTCCAACTGCCTTCAAACATGTTCTGTTACTTGGTTATCAGAATGGTTTTCAGGTCTTTGATGTTGAAGACAACTCTAATTTCACTGAATTGGTTTCGAAGCGTGAAGGTCCAGTTAGGTTCTTACAGATGTTGCCCCTTCCTGCCAAGTCTGACGGTGATGAAGGATGTAGATCATCACATCCTTTACTGTTGGTTGTTGCAGGGGATGAATCCAACAGCTTAACCCTGAGTCGAAATTGTAGCCATTTGGGCAGAGATGGTTCTGTGGAGTCTCAATCAGGGAAGACTGCCAACTCTCCTACGGTTGTTCAGTTTTACTCTCTTCGGTCTAACTGTTTTATGAAACCTCTGAGGTTCCGATCAGCTGTGTGTATGGTTAGATGTAGTCCTCGGATAATTGCTGTGGGTCTTGAAGCACAAGTAAGTTCTAACTTATCTGAGACCGTCACTTGATTTGAAAAACTGACATTGATATTCAATACGTTCTAACTATAATTACCATAAATAGAAACAGCATTACAACCATTTTGCACTTTGCATATTTTGAGCATACAGTTTTATCATTTATATGATAATTTCTGGACAGAGTTTTATAAAACTCTAACTATTTCACAGATTCCCTCCCCCCCTTAATTTTGCTAGTCGTTTGTGGTAGCTAGGAAAATCAAGCAGCCTGGACACAAAAAAAGGAGTGAAGGAGTACTTTCTAGCTCTGTTAGTGCAGTGCACCTGTCAGTAATTCATTTATAAAACCACTCCTGTTTATGAAATGAAGATTATGTACTGTCCAGTTGAGTAGCCTTGCTGGTGAGAAATGGAATTTGACAGCTAACTGATTTTTCTATTTTGTGGTGACAGATATATTGTGTTGATCCCCTTACTCACGAAAAGAAATTCAGTGTTCTCACCTATCCTGTTCCTCAGTTTGGAGAACAAGGAACATTTGGTGTTAATATTGGTTATGGCCCAATGGCTGTGGGTCCGAGGTGGTTAGCTTATGCTTCTGACAATTTGCTTGTTTCTAACACTGGCCGCTTAAGCCCAAAGAACCTTACTCCAGGTATCAGCCCTTCAACATCGCCAGGCAGTGGTAGTTTGATGGCCCGTTATGCAATGGAGTCCAGCAAACAGTTGGCTGCTGGGATTTTGAATCTAGGGGATATGGGATACAGAACTCTTTCCAGATACTGTCCAGAGCTTCTACCAGATGGTCCTAGTTCTCCAGTGCCATCAACTTCAGGCTGGAAAGTTGGTAGGCTTTCAGCATCAGAAACCGAGAATGCGGGAATGGTTAGTTGTGTATTTGTGGCACATACACACTTAATCATCAATTAATTAGCTAAGCATAAAATGTAAATCATATCCATTTAAGCATGTAAGCAAATAATTTGAAATTTTGCTTCGAAATAATGGACTCGATAGGTTGATTGGAAATTTTTATCCTGGAAATGAAATTGTAGAATCCCCTAACTTCGATGCTTTCCACATTAGAATATGTAATATGCTAATCTACATAAATAAAATAAAATAAAATAAATTGCAGAAAATGACCGTACCCAACTTTTGGACACGTTTCAAACTCATGTCTGAGTACCCTAAGATTTGGGATGTAGGGAGGATCACCACTTCGAGTCCATGCACCATAGGGCTGAATATATTGTCAAATCTCTTGTAGTATGGACACTTTAATGAAAAGCTAATGACATTTCAGTCATAGTGATGTGCTGCCATGACCAACAGCATAAACTATTTTCTGAATTTCTTTCCACAAACAAATGGAGTTACTGATTATTCCATTCAGTTGTTAGAGAATATCATTATAGGAGTGATTTAAGTCTTTGATATAATATTAATAGGAGTGATTCATGGTATTGATTTTAGGAGTCTTTCCATCAATATATTTTTCATATTTATCACATGTATGTATTCTTTCACCTATAACTAGAGGTGATCATTGTAACAAAATTAAGAGAGAATATAACGAATGGCATGTACCCCTCTGGGCTTTGTGTGCCATGGATGTAGGCCGAGTGGCCGAACCACGTTATATTTTTGTGTTGTTCGTGCTTAATTTCTGTCTTCCGTTTGATCTTTTTGGACAGTTGTATACCTTGCTTACACAATGGTTGATTGCAGGTGGTTGTCAAGGATTTTGTTTCCCAAGCTGTTATATCGCAATTTAGGGCTCATACCAGTCCAATATCTGCATTATGTTTTGATCCAAGTGGAACCCTTCTTGTAACTGCATCAATGCACGGAAATAACTTGAATGTCTTTCGGATCATGCCACGTTGCATACGTAGTGGATCAAGCAATCAAACTTATGACTGGAGCTCTTCTCATGTGCATCTTTACAAGTTGTATCGTGGAATAACAACAACTGTTAGTATACATTTAGTTCTCAGGCTTTTATCGTTTTTTACTCTATAATCTTGAATAAATTTTTATAATGGGTTTATTCGTACTTTTCCTTTTTTTTTTTTTTTTTTTTTTCTTTCTGTTTGACAGATCATCCAAGACATCTGCTTTAGTCAGTATAGTCAGTGGATTGCTATTATTTCATCCAAATGCACTTGCCATATTTTCGTTATATCTCCTTTCGGCGGTGACGCGGGCTTTCAAAGTCTTAGTGCTCACGGTGAAGAGCCCGCCTTATATCCAGTTCTCTCTCTACCATGGTGGTCTACTTCGTCTTTCATCATAAATCAGCAACTTTCTCCACCCCCTCCTCCTCTTACCCTTTCTGTTGTGAGCCGGATAAAAAATAGTAATTCTGGATTGCTTGACTCAGTTAGCAATGCTGCTGCTTCTGCAGCAGGAAAGGTTTCTGTGCCATCTGGTGCTGTTGCTGCTGTTTTTCACAATTCCAGAACTCAAAGTATCCATGTTCACTCAAGGTCAAATAATTCCTTGGAGTATCTGTTGGTTTATACGCCGTCGGGCCAAGTGATTCAATATGAGCTTCTGCCATCATTAGGGGTGGAACTAACTGATAGTGGTTTAAGAACCCAGTCAGGTTCATATGCCCATACACAAGATGACAAATTAAGGGTGAAAGTTGAATCTGTTCAATGGTGGGACGTATGCAGAAGATCTGATAGGCCAGAGAGAGAGGAATCTGCAGAGATAATTGATGATAACTATAAAACAAACTTTCAGGAGGTAAATGATGGTTTGGGGTGGAAAAAGTTGGTGAAAAGCGATTCTTTAAACGCTCATGAGAGTTCCCACTTATATCTATCCAATGCAGAGGTGCAAATTAACTCTGGAAGGTTATTAATATGGCAAAAATCCAAGGTATGCTTTCTATTGGAGTTGTGACATCCTTATATTTGTATTCTATGTCGGTTATGATTCGTTTTCATCATTGGTCTAGATTCGATTCTATACGATGAGTCCTCCAAGAGTCAAAGATAAAGCGGGTGGAGAGATTGAAGTTGAGAGGCTCCCTGTTTATGAAGTGGAAATAAAACGGAAGGATTTATTGCCTGTTTTTGATCATTTCCATAGCATCAAATCAGGCTGGACTGACAGGTGATTATTATATTATAGTTATATATATATTCTTGAAGGTTATCATAATTCTGTATTGTATATTTTTTTGATGTTGGTGTCCACATCTTTCTGAAATCTGCTTATGATCAATTTCCAGCTTGTGAAGTGTTTGGTTTAGCTGACGGTCATTGACATGTTAATGGTAGAATGCTCACTTCAATCGGATATTACTAAAATAACCTTCTAATTATTTATTTAGAACTTCAGTCTTTTAAAAACCTGGTTTGCGGGGGAGAAGTGGGTAAAGGGCTCTATCAAAAAATGGCCAAAATGGGCCGAGGGAAAATATTTTATTGTGATTGTATTGAATTCAGAAAATTCATGTAGTTTCAGACATATATTCTTGATCTTGACCGTTTCATGTAGTTCCTCAAGGGTGCATATAGTTCAGTATATGGAGGATAAAATTGAGTGAAGGAACTGGATTAGGAATTCCATTTCTACTACTGATCTTTCTAATGCAACCTTTAATGATAACTTATCTCAATACCCAAGAACTAAATTAGTTATAAAGACAAGAATTCTTAAACTGGAGGGAGTTAATGTCAACACGAATTAGGGAACAAAACTGTATTGTAAGTTTAACCCCTTTTCCCACCAATATAATTGCTGCCTGCTGCCAAAGTTAGTACCATTTCATTGTTGATTCTAATTTTATGATTTAGATGCATTCAGTGATAAAATGTTCCATCTCCTAATTTGTCCTTGTAGACTTGAGGACGGGCTTCTGTAAATTCCATTTAGTTGATAAAGTAGAAATGTCTGGCATTGTTGAAATTGTCTTCCATATTTCCAAGTGTCGTGTCCTTTTGTTGTGATTGGTCTCACTATGAAACCGGTGCTGCTTGGTGTTTCATGCAGAGAGCTTTCTGGGGGAAGATATCACAATGCTTCATCTTTGGAGCCCTACCAAACCAGAGACAAAGCCACTGAAGAAACGGTTATCTGTCACTCAAAGCCAGCATCACTTAGCTCCACTGAAAGCTCAGATGGTGGTAAGACATAATTTGTACCATTTACACAAGAATGTGGACACTTGGTCGCTTATTGGCATTATATATGTTATGATATCATGGCAGCTAATCAATAGCAGGAATCCATTTTTTGAATATCTTTAAGAGGAAACATTGGTAGATATCTCTTATACATTAGCATGATGTGCATTTTTGTGTCTCGCTCTTGCTTGAGCCCTTATATTATGGAACTCATTTTATTCTAAAAATTTTCCTCAGGTTCGTCAAGAAGAATTGAGAATTTGCTTGATTTGGATCGAATTAATATAGAGAAGCCTATTACATCAACTAGTCATAGCCTGAATGAGTTATATCAAGAAAGACCTGCTGAACATTCAAATAACACTGATTCTCAAGTTGATGACTCTGTTACAAATGGAGTATCTTCAGTAGAGAGCAAGTTGCCTTCTGATGGAAGAGCTGTTGCTGAAGGAGCTCGGACCTCAAACACTGGTGGAGTAAGGGAGGATCCCATGTTAACTGCTGACCATTTTGATTCGGCTTTGAACATCACTGCAGAGCAGACTACATCTTCAAGAAAAAATCTGGTGGATTTTGGACAGTTTTTTCAGGAGGGTTACTGTAAGGCATTGGAGCTTGATAAATGCTGCGGGTTAACTGAAGTTGTAACTGATGATGTGGACAGCAGCGGTAGCCACTTTGAGAAGGGAAGAGCTGAGAATGACGAAGAGAGTGATGGATTGCTGGGTTGCATGTTTCCCTTCTCAGAGGAAGGTTAGATACTGTGGTGTTGTGAATGCAGCCATTTGGTACCTATGAAGGCGAAATGGTTGCTAATTATGTTCATGTAGAGGGTTTCGGTTTTCCTGTTAATTGATGTGATTTAATTCTGTACTTGCACTTTTTTTTTGGGCTACAGGTTGATTTATAGCTTCCAAAATGAGAATTGCTGGATACGGGTCTAATTGAAGCTTGGATTGCAATTGGACGACAAAACAACCCAGCATATGTGAACATCTCTCTCTCATGTACATTTTGTGTAGATGGAAATTTATGGATTGATGCAAGGTCCTTTGTTTTACCTGTCTTGATCTTTCTATCAAGTCAGCGTGTAAATATGATATGATTTTGGTGTGAGCAAAAAATCTCTCCAAACAATGTTTATATTGAAGAAAAAAAGAAATGAAAAAGGAAATGAATGAAAAGGTTATGTTTATACTGTGTATTTATTTATTTTTCTCCCCAAAATTGTTACTCGTGGATGATTTTTTGTTTTTTTTTTCCTCCCTGAGTTTGGCCTGTGAAAGTTACTGAAGAACTTGGAGAGGCGAGGACAAGGCTAGAGTTCAAAATATAGTTAATCAGAAGTGCTTTTATGGCATCCTTTTGACCATGCCACCTTCTATATTTAGCTCATTATTATCATCTCCTTGTAAGATGGTCTATTGTTATGGGGTTGGGATCTTGACAAGCCCCCTGACAGTCATGGGATGCTGTCAGCGTGCACTGGGGGGTGTTTAGTGGCATTTTCGTAAATATGGTGAAAAAGTGAAGCATGGAGTTTTGGCTCGGGATCTTTATGGGAGGTACCTTGAGTCCATAGAAGATGGTTGGCGCAGACGGCACTCGATTTAGATGTCGTGCACTTTGAGACATTTATACGTGGGTGCAGATTAGTGGGCTTGGCACGGGTTAAGTTCACAAGGTTGGCTCAGATGTTACTTAAAGCATGGATCACACTAGTCATGGACGTGTGACATAGTCAAGTCAGGGACATGGGCACAAGGCAGTGGGCGTAGGCAAGGCTCAGCGTGCAAGGTTGGCTCAGGAGACTCAGACATGGCTTATGGTTACAGAAGATAGCTAAGTTGGCTCAGGTAGTTGGGGGAAGTTACACTTCCCACTAAGTGAGCTTAGTTGGTAGAGGGGAAGTTACTAACACTTCCCACTAAGTGGGCTCAGTTGGTTAGAGGAAGTTACTGACACTTCCCACTCGTGTGCATATATTATGGGGAGTGGGGGTGTGCTGAGTAACTTCCCATGCATGTGGCACAGATCTGAGGGGACAACACACAGGTGGTTAAAGTCGGTTTTCTTCCACTGTGCTAATATATAGAAGGTGGCAGATAATGTGTAACTTCATGTGAACAAGTGGCATGAGCAGAGCGTGCCAACAAACTAGTAGTTGGGCTTGTCAACTACATATGTAGTGTTGGCACACTTAATGGGTGCCAGCATGACTCTAGGTGGGTGGGGATGTCATCCACCACTTTAGTGGGTAGTGTGGGTGTATGGGGGTGTTATCCACTACTTTAGTGGGCGGTTTTGAGAGTCGCCTATATATTGCTAATGTGGGTTCTGTAGAGAGGGCAAATTGAGAGTGAGACACAGAGTTGTGTTATGAGAGACTCTTGTATGTTTCTGCAGGTCGAGGCCTTTCCTTGTACTGTTTTGTGAATAATAGTAAAAGGTTGGAAGCCTTGTGCTTCTGTAAGTTCGTGGGTGTTGTCTTTACATTCTTGCAACTATACTTGTGTGTGAGAGTGTTTTACTTGCTGTGTGTTCTAGGCAGCAAGTGTGAGTTGGCTGAGCTAAGTTAGAAATTCAGAGAAAAGTTGTTCATATTTATGGCTTAGTGCCATCACGGTGCCACTAGATTCGTGTTCAGAATTTACCCCTGTGACAATTGGTATCAGAGTCCAGAGGTGGTTTCATCATAGCCGGTGGTAATGCTACAGAAGCTCTCAAAGATCATGTGACTTGTTTGGAGGCCTTGGTGGGTGCTCCACAATCTGACAATGTTGCTGCCTTGACAGAGCAGATGGAATTGTTTGCAGTTAAGTTGCAGATAATACAATCAATGCTTGAAGAGTTTGTGGGGGAGACAAACTCTAAGATGCAGATTATAACGGATGATGTGATGTCCATGACAGACCTCTTCAAAGAACATGTGAAGGATTTGGAGGGTGAGGTGGCTCTGTTGAAGAGGGCCATGCACAATCAGACTGTTGTGGGAGAGAAGCCATCATCTTCCAAAATCAAAATTCCAGAACCAAAGTCATTCGGGGGCAAAAGGAGTGCCAAAGATCTGGAGAATTTCTTGTGGGATATGGAGCAATATTTTCGAGCAGCCTACATTCCAGATAATGACAAGGTAACTATTACCAGTATGTATTTGTCTGGTGATGCTAAATTGTGGTGGCGAACTCGGGTGGAGGACGAGTTATTGCCAAAAATTACTGTATTTGCAGAGCTGAGGAAAGAACTGAAGAAGCAGTTTCTTCCAGCAAATTCTGGCTGGGTGGCTCGGGAGTCATTGAGGAGACTCAAGCATACGGGTACAATGCGTGAATATGTGAAAGAGTTCACATCTTTGATGCTGGATATCAAAGATATGTCCGAGGGGGACAAATTGTTTAATTTCATGGCAGGCTTGCAATCATGGGCACAAATCGAGTTAAGGAGGAGCGGAGTGATCAACCTCTCTTCTGCTATAGTTGCAGCAGACAGCCTAGTGGACTTGCAGATTAAAAAGTCTGACTCTACTTTCGCCAGCAAATTGAAGAAGAAGGGCAAGTTCAGTGACAAGCCCAAGAGGTATGGTGTTGCTAAGGAAGAGAAAAATAAAGGTAAGTCAGAGGCGACGTTCATCCAGCAGAGGCCAAAGCTGGACAGTGGTTGCTTCATTTGCAAAGGTCCACACAGGGCGAGGGACTGTCCTAAGAAGGAGAAGGTGAATGGTATGGTTGCTGAAGAAGCCAATGGAAGAGATTCAGACTCGGATGAGGGTAATGTTCGGGTCAATCCTCTTGTCATGCAGTCATGATAGGTGCAGGTGGGCGCGTAGCTTCGGGGGAAGGCTATGCAAAAATGCTCACTGAGTTTATTGCCAAGGTTGGTAATATTGAATTCCCTCTTTATTTGTTTTTCTGATTTGGGTTGCTGGTTGTGAGGACAGAATCCAAAGGTGTTCAGAATTCATGTCATGAATTGAAGAGGAGGTTGGGGTTTGTGTCATTATTAAGTGCAGCAGTGGAGTTTGTTGTAGTGTTAATATTCAGTATTCAGGTTGGTCGAGGCCAACATGCTAGGTTGCAGGCAGAGACTTGTGACACTTTGTGATTACTTCAACGAAGACGTTGAAATTCTTAAGTGGAGGAGGTTTGTTACGGGGTTGGGATCTTGACAAGCCCCCTAACAGCCATGGGATGCTGTCAGTGTGCACTGGGGGTGCTCAGTGGCATTTTCGTAAATATGGTGAAAAGGTAAAGCTTGGAGTTTTGGCTCGGGATCTTTGTGGGAGGTACCTTGAGTCCATAAAAGATGGTTGGCATAGACGGCACTCGATTTGGATGTCGTGCACTTTGAGACATTTAAGTTCACAAGGTTGGTTCAAATGTTGCTTAAAGCATGGACCACACAAGTCATGGATGTGTGGCATAGTCAAGTTAGGGACATAGGCACAATGCAGTGGGCGTAGGCAAAGCTCAGTGTGCAAGGTTGGCTCAGGAGACTCAGACATGGCTTATGGTTACAGAAGATGGGCAAGTGGGCTTAGTTGGTTGGGGGAAGTTACACTTCCCACTAAGTGGGCTTAGTTGGTTGGGGGGAAGTTACTAACACTTCCCACTAAGTGGGCTCAGTTGGTTGGGGAAAGTTACTAACACTTCCCACTCGTGTGCATATATTATGGGGAGTGAGAGTGTGCTGAGTAACTTCCCATGCATGTGGCACAGATCTGAGGGGACAACACACAGGTGGTTAGAGTCGGTTTTCTTCCACTATGCTGATATATAGAAGGTGGCAGATAATGTATAACTTCCTGTGGACAAGTGGCATAAGCAGAGCGTGTCAACAAGCTAATAGTTGGGTTTGTCAACTACATATGTAGTGTTGGCACACTTAGTGGGTGCCAGCATGACCCTAGGTGGATGGGGGTGTCATCCACCACTTTAGTGAGTAGTTGTGGGTGGATGAGGGTGTCATCCACCACTTTAGTGGGCAATTGTGGGCGGTTTTGAGAATTTGTCTATATATTGCTAATGTGGGTTCTGTAGAGAGGGCAGATTGAAAGTGAGACACAGAATTGTGTTGTGAGAGACTTTTGTATGCTTCTGCAGGTTGAGACCTTTCCTTGTACAGTTTTTTAAATAATAATAAAAGGTTGGAAGCCTTGTGCTTCTGTAAATTCGTGGGTGTTGTCTTTACATTCTTACAACTATACTTGTGTGTGAGTATTTTACTTGCTGTGTGTTCTAGGCAACAAGTGTGAGTTGGCTGAGCTAAGTTAGAAATTCAGGGAAAAGTTGTTCATATTTCTGACTTAGTGCCATCACTGGGCCACTAAATTCGTGTTCAGAATTTATCCATGTGACATCTACCATGGTGATAATTTTTTTATATTATTTTACCCGAATGGCCCCTTTTGCATCTCCAATTGGTAACATTCTTTATTTTCGTTAAAAAAAAAACCATTCTTACACGAGCCTATTCCTATCCCATCTATGCTCTTCCTCATTCAATAATTTTTGTTGTATTAATGAGAAGAAATCCAACACATAAAATCAATATAGAGGATCAAGAAATCTAATGATTATATATATTTTCTAATGAAATACATGAACATCAGACTTTCGTGGCAGACACGTGTGTGCATGTATTTATATACTTTTATAATACACACGAAAGATACAGGAGAAAGTGAGTGGCGTACGTGGAAAGTGGTACTGTTGTAGACGCCAAATGTGGGATGTGACTTCCCATCATAATCGTATATGGCCGGTGGGGGTGATAAAAAAGAAAGCATGGTGCGGATTCTGCGTAGAGACAGAGCACAAAGACAAGCCAATGGAAGAAAAAAGCGATTTTATTTATTTATTTGTTAGTATTAGGAATTTAGGATTTAGTAGTAACATATATTATTACTAAAATATTAATTAATTTTAATTTAAGGATTGAATTGTGTGAGGCTCTCTTTTACTCAACACTGGGTTTTCAACGAACCATTAATAATCATTCAATCCCAATCAACCTTTTGAGAACACATCTATGATTACTTCCATATACATATAATATCGTGGGGTGGGTCTAAAGATCTAGTAAAAGTTCTAGTATTCTCGTCTGATCTGAGTGTGTGAAAAAAAGATATAATAGTGGGACAAGCAAGCTATCGCAGCACAATCATGGATACCATCGGTCAGTTGCAGAGGCAATTTGTCGACTACACATCATCTTTATATCGTGATGTGAGGGTTTTCCGAAAATGATTCTTTTTTTTCATGTTTTTTTTTTTTTTTTTAGAATTTGTTCTTTTAAAATGATGGATTGTTTTTGGTTGTGTTTAGGGTTTTTTGGATGATCAGTTTGCACAGCTTCAGAAACTGCAAGATGAGAGTAACCCAGATTTTGTTGTTGAAGTGGTGTCCCTTTTCTTTGACGATTCTGATAAGCTTCTCAATAATATGGCCACTGCTCTGTGAGATTCGTTAATTTCTCCATCTTCCTTGTTTTCTATTTCTTTCTTTTCTATTGTTGGGGATTTTTATTTCAAGAGATTTAGGATTATTTGGGTTCTTTTCCGATTGTACAGACAACAACAAATTGTAGACTATAAACAGGTCGATGCCCATGTCCACCAGTTCAAGGGCAGTAGTTCCAGGTATTTATTTATTTATTTATTTTTGTACCTTTTCTTTTCCCCTTCAAAATCCCCTCTTTATGGAGTCAAATGACTGATTTGATCTGATTTCTTGAAAATACTTGTAATTTTATTTTTAAAATTGTGTTTTTATTGGTAACAGCGTAGGCGCACAGAGAATCAAAAATGTTTGTGTTGCCTTCAGAAATTATTGCGAGGAGAAAAACATCGAAGGGTGAGTTTACTTTAACATTCAGCATCATCTCTCTGTTCCATCACCACCCATATATTATATGGAAATTGTGCAAGATGCTTATTGTGTATCTAAAAGTTCATTGATAAATCACCCTAGTCTGTGCAGAAAACCTAGTAATTCATGCATCATATGCATGAATGTTCTTCACAACATTAACAGCCTCATTCCTCACCTTAATTTTGATGAAGTATGTTGTCCTTGTAGACTATCAATTTGTATGATCTTGCGTGTGAGATTTACGTGGGTTCTATGATGATTGTAGTTTATTTTTAAAATAAAGGGAATACCCTTGATTTGAATATAAAAAGAACGGGGTATGCAAGAATGAAGTCACACGAATATTACCATATATCGTGACAATATTCTGTCTATGAAGCTCAACCATTGAACTTTGTCAACTGTTGTCATTGACTAAGCCAGAAAAAGATTTGAGAGGGGGCGGCCTTGGACTATAATTAATAAGATAAAAATATATATATATCAAATTACCATAATAAACTGAAGAGCTTTAACTTAATTGATATTTTCATCTAAAATTGCTGATACTTCCATTTCAAATATTTTTCAGGTAAATACTTCAATTTCAATTATTATCAGGCCAACATATTAGAAGCAATTCAAATTAAAAGAATTCTAAAGTACCTTGTATTCTTAAAAAAAAAATTTAATTTAGAAAGAAAAATAGAAATTGGAACCTAGCAAGTTTAATGTGATTGATCTTAGATTATTTTGGTAGACCAAGATGGTAATTAAAGACGATCTTAGAAAATTTGTAGTCAACCCATATCCAAGAAGACCAACATATTGTGAGGTTTAAAGAGAAAAAGAGAGAAAGGATGACTGCGCTTAATGGTTCAACTGTCTTCCTGACTTCTAAAACACATATGACAACGCTCGCCAGAACTCTCTCAGCACTAGAATACCATTGATTAAGTAAGGAAATATATTTTTTGCCTTTCATTTAGGATTTTAACAAACTTTCTTTTTCTTTGTAACATTTAGTAGCAAGGCCTTTTCTAAAACGGTAACAAGCTCTATTCATTTGAACTTCAAAAATTGCAAGCATGGTATGGTAGTGGACAGTTGTATGATTGTTGAAATCTATTTGATTCTAATTATTTTATAAACTATAATTAGTTAGCCGTTTGAGAACAGTAATTGTTCTCCTAGGGAATTTTTGTATATTTTCCCTTAAATCCATAAGGTAAACCTGAAATTTTTCATATTATTCGAAAAATTGTTGAAATAGACCTGGTATTTAGTATGCTCGTAACCTAAACTTGAATCATATGGTATTATATGTAGGTTCCAACTAGTATATTTTTGGGTGTCTTGTGCTTTTATGTTAATTTAACAACAATTGAGGCTTCATGATTATAATGGTGACACCAAATGGTATTACATGGGATGGCTGAAGAATATGACATTGCAGGTGTTTTACATGTCTGCAACAAGTGAAACACGAGTACTATCTCTTGAAGAGTAAGCTTGAAACTCTGTTCAGGGTAAGTACACTTTTGAATAGTTTTTTTCAGTATACTAATAATATATATATATATATATATATATATAGAGAGAGAGAGAGAGAGAGAGAGAGAGAGTTTTTTTCAGTAGGATGACTTTGATAATCCAATGAAAAGGATCATTTAAATCCTGCTACCTCTTTTCTCAGTTGTTGAACATTCGCTCATGAAAATGTCAGTTTTCTTGTTTAAACTCCATTAGTTTTTCTTTGAAAAGGGGCATGTCGTTCTCTAGCTTTTCTGAAACCCCAATATTTGTGGAGCATCCAGTGATTTATTCCCCGTATAAATAAATATGGAAGGAATTTTTCTTTCTTCTGTTTTTCATTGGTTTTTTGTCTGTTCCTTTGTTGCTCATAGACATCCTTCCTTGTTTAAACCCAAATTTTTGTTTGAATGTCCGACCATCAACGTTGTCTTAATATATATATATATATATATTTTTTGCGTAACCTTTTTTGTCTCTTAATTGTAGCTGGAGCAACAAATCTTGGCAGCTGGTGGGTCAGTTCCTATGATGGCATAAATAATATTTGTTTTCACCCCATGCTGGCAGAAACAGAGAAGATTATGAATTTTTGTAGCTAGTGAAGCTGTTGTACATAAGATAGAGATGGTGTGAATAAACATTTCTGCCTCTCATGCTGTCCCTCAAAACTACTTATATCCAACACTGGAAAGAAGCATAGAATCTTGTTTAATGCTGAATGTTTGATTTGATCAGGATATCAAATGGGATGATGAGATTTTCTTTTATTGGTATTTTGCTTTGGTTTCATTGAAATCACAGCTGTGCCGTATAAGGAAGGTCCACTCTTAGTGGCTGGGCCTATTCTTGGTCTGCTTGCAATGTTGCTGTTAAAGACATCTGGGCCTATTCTGGATTGTACTTCCTCTGCACATGCTTGTGCTCTTGGGCTTTCGTACCCCCTTTTAGGCCCATCTTAATCTCTCAACAACTTTTCAACTTTGGATTTATAATATAACCACGGTACTCGGCCCGCATCCTTTTCTTCTTCTGTTTTTTGTTCCGTTTTTGGTACCGGCAAATACGGCACAAATTCTCTCATTATTAGAGTCGTGACCTCTCTATGTTAACTTTTGGATTGAAACAGATTCTTGGTGAAAAATTAAATGAATAATGATAAACCTCCCAAATCCAACTCTCACAATACAGAGCACTTGATAGGTTCACACTATTGGCCTTGCTGCCTTGGTACCTTAATTAGGGTTGTGGAAGGTCTGCCACAAACCCCTAAACGCTTGGCCCATTCAAAATGCCAATTGCTCGCTCTGGCTCCAAACTGCATTTGACACTGTATAAAGAGATTTCTACTTTTCAGCATTTTTGTAAAATTTGATTTTTTTTTTTTTTTTTGTTTGACAGTAGTGATATCAGACTTCTGAGAGTACCCTCTAATTCATCACCAAACACATGCAGTCTTCTCATCCCACATATACCGGGCAATTAAATTCAAGGTTTTAACAACTCGTTATAGTGATTAGAGAGCAATGTTACAAAATTTGAAAATTTTCTTTTGACTACTGTTTTTTTTTTTCTTTTTTCTTTTTTTATAGCACATTTTGACTACTAATTTACAAGTGAGAAAGCGAATGAGGCTTGATTATACTATTTTTTTTCATTTGGAAAGCAATATGTTACTAACATTTATGAGGTTGGGGCGAGAAGAATGTGAAATTGATGATGTGTTATGAATTGAAGTAAATTTGGAGGTTGGGTTGCCAAATTCAATTGGGCCAGAACCTGACCCATTGACTTCATTGCATTGGTTGGAGCACCCGAACCAACTCTTTACATTATGGGGTGAATGACAAATTGACGCAACAACGTATTTCCCATTTAATGTAATAAATATATTTATTGATATTCCCCACAAGGACCATACATACCAGCAGAATTTACGTTACAAGTGCAGTACTCGTGAGCAACAACCTTTACCAACCCAACCATAACGATTACAGTACATTATTTTTTCACTGTCAATCAAAATTGCCATGTCGTGAAGACGCCAACTACTCTTACCTTAAAAGCATGTTTGGTGAAGAATAAACTTGAACACCATTTTCATTCACTATTCCCTTTTACCATCTGCGTGTAAAAAAAAAATAGGTATGTCTCCGGATCTTAATTTAGGATTACAAACTAATCGAAAAACAATGAAAATTCATAAAAGTTTCAAAACAACCACTAACATTTATAGTTCAGTGATCTCTCATTTGTTTAAAGTTAAAGGTTGAAGGTTCAAATCTTTATTTTAAAAATTAGAAATAAATTTGTTATTTATCAAGAAAAAAAATATTAGAATAAGATGTTTCACCAATTATACAAACTCTTGGGCACACCTATATTTGAACTTCAACTCAATATTTTAAGTTCGTCAAGGAATCGAATCAAATCAAAATTGAGTGAGAAATGAGCTGTCATTACTCAACTAAATTTGGTTAGATTCATTTGCAACTTTAAACCTTCCTCAATAAATCGTTTTTACTCCCTAAGAGCTTCTCCAACCGTTATATATATTTTTTTGTGTAAATTTGACGTGTCATGATGAATTTATACAAAAAATTTGGATTATTTAATTTTAGCTCTAACGGTTGTTTTTATACCTTTTGTATAAAAATATATCTCCTAATAATAACCAATCATGTGTCATGTCAGAACCTCACATAATTTTTACAAAACTACTTAATATATAATTGATTCTTTAATGGAATGAGAAAGAGAAATGAGAAAGAGTGATGAGAAAAGAAATATATTGATCTAACAGTGTAAAAATATTGTGTACAATACACAACCCTTTTACACATTCATGATGTGACAATGTATTTTAAAAGACTGCTAGAAATAAAAAAAAATTTACACATTATAAGTAACAATGTATATTTTAAATATTTTAACAAACCGTTAAAAATATTCTAAGAATTGTAATTTAATGATACTTTCTCTTGTGAACATGGGAGTTTAAAACTTCACATGATGTTTGAGTTTTTAGCTAAAAAAAAACAATAATAATAACCAGCGCGCTGATGCTGTATTGCATGGCCCAATGAAAGTGGACCCGTCCATTGGACTTGGGTCAGAGCAAAGTCTGTTTAAAGTCTGATGTGGACACACCGGAAAGTGCAAGAATCAGTTTCACTCCTCAAAACGACAAATGACCGGATGACCGACAACTGTCTTTAATCTCCTCTTCAAGACTCGAATTGCCCTTATCATACAACCGGCTTCTCACCTGTGGTTGACTGATTATGTGGCAACTCACTAATGTTAGTGAAATATCCGGCATGCCGAGTGTGCTGACATGTCAGCACGAGGCTCAGGCTCGTGCTTCCTTCCACGTAGGCTCGTACAACCGTTTGGCCTCCCGAACCTAATCCCCATAAAGACAAAAATGAAAAATAATAAAAACATAAAAACAATAATAAAATTGCAGAGTAGATTAGTATAGTCATTGCGCTTCTCTGAGACGCCAAAATAATGAAAAACGAAACTTCACACACAGATAGATAGAAGAAGCGTCAAGAAGAAGCAGAAGATCAAGAAAAGTTTTACTTTCTCTACAAGATATATGACTTTCTCTCTCTAAAATCACACACAATCTCTCTCTCTCTCTACCTCCATTAAAGCTCTTTACACCCATTTCCCACCAAAAATTGGTAGTTCCTGATTTTCTCTCCTATAAAAACTCTCTTCAGTTGAAGATTCGAGTATACTAAAAAATCGCATTCGATGATGATGAAGTGGGTGTTGAGAAAGAAAGCGATGTTGATTATAGGTTTGGTTCACTTGTTATCTCTTCTTCAATTTAGTCTATTCACAAATGCAATTTTGGACCCTCACGATTTCTTGGCACTACAATCCATTCGAAACGCCCTAGAAGACATGCCGGGATCGGACTTCTTCTCCACATGGGATTTCACGGCGGAGCCCTGCGACTTCGCCGGCGTGTATTGCGACGGAGACAGGGTCATCGCTTTGAATCTCGGTGACCCGAGGGCCGGTTCGCCTGGTCTGACCGGACGCCTCGATCCTGCAATCGGAAAACTCTCCGCTCTCGCCGAGTTCACCGTTGTCCCGGGTCGGATCATTGGCGCTCTGCCTGAAACTTTATCTCAGTTGAACAACCTACGGTTTCTCGCCGTCAGCCGGAATTTCATCTCCGGCGGGATTCCGGCGAGTCTAGGTCAGCTTCGTGCTCTACGAACCCTCGATCTCAGTTACAATCAACTCAACGGAAGTATTCCTCAGTCGGTCGCAGGTCTACCGGCGTTGTCCAACGTCATTCTCGGTCACAATCGTCTCTCCGGTTCGGTCCCGACGTTCGCGTCACAAACCCTAACCCGCCTCGACCTCAAGCACAACGCACTCTCCGGTTCTCTCTCACCCACTTCACTCCCTCCTTCACTACAGTACCTTTCATTGTCTTGGAACCAATTAACCGGACCCGTGGACCGGCTCTTAACCCGGCTTAACCAGTTGAACTATCTCGACCTGAGCCTGAACCGGTTCACGGGTAACATTCCGGGCGATTTATTTACTTTCCCGATCAGCAACCTTCAATTGCAGAGAAACTCATTTTACGGTCCGATTCAACCTGTTGATCAGGTGACAATCACGACTGTTGATCTGAGCTACAACCGGTTGTCCGGTCAAATATCGCCAATGTTCTCGAGCGTACAGAATCTATACCTCAACAATAACCGGTTCTCCGGTCACGTACCGGGCAGTTTGGTGGACCGGTTATTGGCGGCGAGCATACAAATATTGTATCTACAGCATAACTTTCTTACTGGGATTGAGATCGATCCGACGGCTGAGATTCCTGTCAGCAGTTCGTTGTGTTTGCAGTACAATTGTATGGTCCCACCAGTGCAGACGCCTTGCCCGTTGAAGGCTGGGAAGGAGAAGACAAGGCCTACTGGACAGTGTATCGAGTGGAAGGGGTAAATTAGACAATTCATGCTTCCGCGGGAGGGCATGATAGAAAGAGAAGATGAATATAGGTTTCAATTTCTTTTTTATTTATCGTTTTCGTGAGAGTTTTTTTTTTTTTTTTTGCAATTCATTTATTTATTTTTGTGATAATTTGGATAATTTCCAAATTTAAATTGTTTGTGGCTTTGTGCATACTTTGATAATATATATTGAAGCAATTTAGAATGAGTTGTATGTTTCTGTTTATATATATATATAGATATGTTCTATGGAGTATGTTTTTGGGCAAAAAGAGATTTGTGCTAAATTGCTAATGCATGGTAATTCATTAGGAATCAAAAGTCTTTATTTATTATTCTCTCGTTTTTCTTTTACTAATACACTTATAAAGAATTAAGTTCGCCTAGGTGCAAATTTTCATACTGATACGTGATGTTCGGCTGTTTTTATTTTTTCTTGCTAAATAAATATTCGGCTGTTAAAGGAGGATAATTTGCATTTTTTTTTGTAAATTAAGGATGCTTGTTGAATATATATATATATACACACACACACACACACTTATTTCCTCCCATTTTATAGTTATGGAGAAGGATCATCTGCTCATATTATAATTGTGTTTGGGCTTTTCATTTGCACGGGTCTGCGAATAACAATTGTGCAATGGGACCGAATGATATGAAATAAAGTGTTTAAAAACTATGATTCATCACAAACTTGTAGGTCAAAAGTATACATGTCTTCCTTAGAAGTAAGATTTTCCCCTCCATACCAAATTGCATGATTAAAATCTAAAAAAAATTCTCCACTTTTAAAAAAGTAACTTACTTACTTAGCGTGAGTATCTAGTCCTTAATGAAATCTCGATATGATTTGATTGGGTGCTCAAATTTCTTTTTCCATTCCGTAAAGTATCATTCCTTAGTTATTAAGGATGTTGGACAGTCCAAAAGCTCGAAGTTGTTCTTTCACACACACACACATAGTTGTCCACAATTGTTGTGTTGAGTCATTTGAATCATTTTTTAATTAATCATTGGCCGGATACAGTCCTTTCATGTCACATGTATAAAAAAAAAAAACGGAGAAACTTCTGTGAGAATGGTCTCAAGGGAATACACACTCTCAATCTCTAAGATGTGAAGCAAGAGTCTTTTACATTATATTATTCCCTTGAAAGTCAAATATATATCCTTCTATGCCAATAAAAATACAATGAAAAAAACATTGTCCAAAAAGAAAAAGAAAGTGACAGAAAATAACAATAGATTTAAAGGGTCAGATGAGATTATTAAGCTTGGGGCAGAGGGAACAGTGCAATGTGAATAGTTTAGCATAAATGTGAAAGAAAGAGGGCAAGAGGCACCTTAAAAGTCTTAAATCAACCTCTCAGTGTTCAGAGTTGTAATTCATTTATTAATTGGGGTAGTTTGGTGTATTCTTCTTGGGTCTTGGCACTTGCCAGAAGGTTAGAACCCATTTTCCCTTGGTGAATATTTTTACACCTAAAGGTCAAACTATGCTTCCTGAAAATGTGTGTGTGTGTGTGTGTGTATTATATATATGTATGTATCTCTCTCTGTCTCTCTCATTTATTTAGGGCTTGCTTTGCTGATGGGAAATACCAATGCATATTAAATGGGTAAAAGCAACCAAACCAAACATGACTAACTAGGGTGGTTTTGGACATGGAAGAGCCAGAAATATTTTCCCACTAATATTCAAAGTGTGTACGCTACAAGTTTTTTTGGTACCCAATCACTCTTAACTCCAGTTTGGATCATGTTTTGCTTTTTTTGGTAGCTTTTATGAGAGAGAGTACCATTTCAATTTTCAATACAACCAAGCTATATGGTGAGTCTACAATATTTTTTTCATGGTGTGAGCAGTAAAAAAAGTATTTTCATCGACACAAGTGCTTCTTTATTTACCTATCTCTCACTTTATTTCACAATTAAGAGAAATTATCTTATATGGCTATCATAAGGTGGAAAAACATTACCCAATCACATATAGTGACATCTCACCTCATTTCCTCATTTGGCGACAACTCATTTTTAAACCGGTAAACATGGAAAGTGTAAAACAAGTAATATTTGGGTGGTACCCTAGATTGTGGTGACATATATAACCTTCAATAAATGAATAGTGACTATGGCAATAGTCACGTGAGTTTATTTTTCCCCTATTATTCTATGCCCACTACCACTTGTCTTTTATACTAAATATTTATAACTCTACCAAAGTAGGGGCCCTCATTGTTTATGTTCCCTAATTAGTTATTTACTGTTTTGTTCAAGAGCTTCTTTTCCAGGTGGGGCCTTAATATTTCATTTAGTCTCTCTATTCACGTGTATTGGTGAGGGGCTGTTTAACTGAAAATTAATGTGGACTGTGGGGTCGTTGGATAACTACCTGCTCAGCTGTTAAACAGATAAATGAATCCATAATTTATCTCCCATAATGTCTGCTCTTTTGGACATTAAGCTAAATTGTGATCATGAAAAAATTATTATAAATATATCATCATAATTCGACACATAAATAAATGTGTAAATTTTTTTTTTTTTTTGATAAGTAAATATGTTAATTTTAATTTACGCGTTAGGTTGCAATTGGTCTTGATAGTCCCGAACTAAATCATAAAATTGGGTTTCGCCTACTGACTAATGATTATATGACTAATGATTATACCAGACAAAAAGTCATTCTTTCTTATTTATTAGTTTTATTAATCTTTTAATTGAAATTTGATGTACTAAATAGTCTTCTTCGGCGCACTTTCTCAGAGAACACATCCAATCATCCATTATCCAACTCTAAATTAGAAAATAAAAGTGGCATAAATCTAGATTACTAGAAAAAGCCAAGCAACCCTCCAGACATTACATGCCAGAAGTTTCCTCTCTCTACATTTTACGAAAAGAACAATAACTCAAAGACTGTCCCTACCATCTCTCCTCTGCTATTTTACTGATCAACTATCATACCCTCAAATTTTCATGAAACAATATTTTCGACAATTTTATCTTCTACATTTTATATATCCTGTATACGTGAGTCTATCCATATTTAATACCCCAGCAGAAAAGTAGAAATTCGAAAAACTCTAATATTAGCAATAATTCACAACGCTTGATTTATACTGCAAGATACCATATAATAAGCTCATGATTAAAGAGGACAATGAGGTTCTTGCAAAAAGTACCAAATAGTAGGGATAATGAGGATTGTACTTCAAGTAACAGAAAAACTTATGGTTGCTTATTTTGGGACCCAGTAGAGTATGCTTTTTAGCTTTCACCAAGACATAGACCACCATTGATAAAGGCTTCAAAAAGCATTAGCCTTAACCTTATTAATTAAATTAATTAATTACTATGATACTTAAGAGACTTGTCTAGGCTTCTCAAAGCATTAGCCTTAACTTTATTAATTAATTTAATTAAATATTATGATACTTTAGAGATAGCAGCCCTAAAAGCTAAATTCTCCATTTTTTCAAGAATGACAATACAAGGAAAATAGTGTAGAGAGTGACGATAATATGCACAATTAATGGGGGGTTTTGTACAATGACATTATTGGGAATGAAAATAGCCAAACCATTTTGCATACAAGTTACATTTTCTTATTTGATCAAGTAAGATGGACATCATACATTAAAATACTTACAGATATTAGGAGCAGTCTTCAAAAATATTCATTTCTCTTCCGGATATTCTTCTAGTTCAAAGTGGTTGTTGCTTCTCCATTCCCAGGGAATTCCCATTTGACAATATCCCCATCCCATGAAGAGCTAACCAGCATTGGGTAATTTGGGTGCCAACTACAATCTCTGACAGTCGATTTATGGTGCTCGAGTCTGCCAACTTGGGCTCCGGTGACCTACAATAGTAAGGTCCCCAATATGAGAAAAAATAAATGGTTTTAGGGTAGGAAAAGGATAAGCATTCCAAATTGAGCATGCCATACAACCCCATCTGGAAGGAAAACCAAGACGCCTGTGTGGTGGGCAACATGAAAAATGTTATCAATTTCTATCCAAACATAGTATTGCCATAGTTCATCTTTTCTTTTGGAACAGGAGTAAAAGCCTAACAGGATCTTTTGTTTAATAATGATTATGATCTCCTTTCATGTAACAAACAAGTGCAGATCGAATTAAGTACATTTCAACTTCTTGCACTCTCACCCAAATGATGAACTCTGGTCTGTCTGTCGTAGATTACAGAAGTATAAAGCAAATTTTATAAGGAAAAAACAGCTAATAGAATTTTATTGCATACCACGTCATAAATATAAATGAAAGTATCGTGAGATCCAGTGTAGATGTACTTCTGACCGGTGCTGCAAATCATTTCAAGACCAATATCAGTACTGGCAGACGGGAAATAAAGTTCCTGCTAGGTAAAACTGCGATAAAAAGTTACACAAGGCTGCTTGGATATTGATACAAATTTGGCTACTTGACAAATGACAAAGTCATATAACCATTTGCTACTCATTCAAGTAATTGTAAATTTGATAGCCACATTAGTTTTAGATGAAAAAACCAAAATGACCAAAGAGTACTACTAGAATTAAACAAAACCTTATAAAATTAAAAACAAGAAAGAGAAATCAAAACCTAGTTTTTTAAAGAAAGAGACATTATGGTCAGTGCTCACCTGAATGTGGGGGAGAAGTAGCAACGGATGAGAGTACACAATACTGAATGACCTTTATAGGTAGCCAGTGACTGGTCAGATGGATGTTTCAGTTTTCTTGCCTCATCTGGGTAGTTCATCCATCTGTAATCCCATTTATAATTCCTAACTCTTGGATTGCTGAATGAATGGATAAACAAGTTAATGGGGATTCATGTAAGCATTTTGAAATGTATTCAGTGTAAAATATTTTAGAAATTCGTAAACTACACTATGGTGCAACCAGACCTTACTCTTTAGTTGAGAGAGAGAGAGAGACGTATAAATACTACTGATTATTAAAATGAATGTACATATTGAGAGCATGTATTCTATTCCACCATAGTACAGTGGATTCAGTTTATTACGAAGATATATCTCTTTCCTCAATTATACTAGATGTGCAGAAACATGGGGTTTCTGAAAATTTCTATAAATAAAATGATAACATTATTTTGAAAAGGCACCTAAAACTAGTCATCCATTTCATTTTCATGGAATCTGACTGAATGGATTTTATTGCTCGTGAAAGATCACTGACAGATCCAAAGTAGACCCATCTTCTTTTAAGACTCTGCATTGAAGAATAAAAATTTTGAACCTTCATAGACTACAGAAAACAAATTGGAAGAGTTCCTTCATATGAAGACATCAAAATACCTAAGAAATTCACATAATTTAAGCATCTCTAAATCCCATTGTCCAGTCTTTTGCAATATTTGCTTCTTGAACATGCATCCTTGTCAACCTCTTCAATTTAGTAATCATCTCACCGTAGTGGTCACCATAGATACTGTGGTCAGTCCAAATATCAAGAAGACGAGCCTTTAAGACATAATTCTACAGGCCTTCATGTCATGTTCTTGGAAGCAACATAAAAATAAAAATAAATGATAATCTCCAGCCTCTAGTTCAAAACTTTTATGAAATTTAGCAACATTTTATACAACCAATAGAAAATTTAGAATTATCATATCAAAATATATGGGAAAAAAATATAAGTATCTACAGTCAGTAATAAGTATGCATTTCCAAGCAGATGATCTAATTTATCACTACAATTAAATGAAAACATAGTGGTCACTAGTCTTCGTCTAATATTTATTTCCCCAATGATTTGACTAATTCAACGGACAAAATACTTTGACAGTAACTTCATATGAATTCAAAACAGGATAGCTTTCTGAAATGATGAGAATTAGGAGTGAGATATCTAAACAAAAAAAGTACACAACTCAATGTTTTCAGTGATATCCCTAGTAAACTGCAGAACTTGACATAATATTAACTAATATTTATGACAGAATTTCTAAGATTATTTGGTAAGTTATTCCCCCACTGATTGCTAATAAGGGAGTCTCCTATCTTAGAGAATCTTATAGAACCCAATGATTTTCTTCTTGTACATTAATATCATGTACTACATCCCAGCTCATTCAGGAGCAGAATATAATAAAACATGAATCCCCTAATTAAAGTTGCAAATAAATAAAGGATGAATTTAGCGCAATAATTTGAAGCCTGGAAATGAGCATACCCAGTAGCATTAGAGGACATTCTCCGGATATCCCAAAGTTTTATGGTCTGATCTTTACCATTCGAAATGAAATAACAACCATCTCCACGGCTGTCAATATACGTAATGCCTTCTAGGTGTCCCTCTAGGACCCCTGCTGACTTGCCTTTGGCTTTAAAGCAGCGTCTATCTCATACCTGTAGAAAATAACAAGTTATCTTCCATTTATTGAACAAATATGACACAGCAAAGAATTACAGTCACTTTTTTATAGAATGGAAAAAAACGTTTTATTAAGTTCAGAAAGTTGCTCTTCAAAAAAAATAAATGGAATACTCTAGTGACAAGTTGTCACCTCCCACCACCAACATCATTAAAACTTGTCCAACTCATTCTACCATCTCCTTCGCAGTTTCACTCAATTCTGTACAAGTTCATGATCCTTGTCAAATTAAATGAGTCCAAGCTATTTGACAGCATCATATTCCTCCCCAAACCCCGCAATGGCAGGAGCCTTGTGCACTGGGTTTGCCCTTTTATATTCCTTTTAGCTCACCTCCTTTAAAAACCCTTCAAGATTCACCACCTCATCATTTTCACAGGAGATAGACACTGGCCTTCCTACAGGAACTATGACTATTAAACTATAAAAGTCCTGACCTATTAAACCTATGGTTATCGTGGAAGGAAAGCAATGGCCATGCTGAAGCAGCCCAAACAACAATTGCCTGTAACTGCTATCACACTAACAGATTAAATAAGTACAGAGTCAGAGTTGTCATAGTCGCAGAAATACAAGTATCTTGGTGGTGCGGAAATATTACTTGTCTGAGTTGTCTCAAGAGAATCTGTAGCAAGTAGCATCTGACACATGGAAATATCAAACCTGACTCACTGCTCGCATAGAAATTATTATGTTTATTCACTTCCTATCCTCTACTGACTGCTGACACACTGGATAAAACTGTGACATGCATTTGCTACTAAATGCCTTGTGACAATTATTGATTAAGCCAATTTTTCATAATATTTTTATAATGCAGAAAAAGGAACTAAACAGAAAAATTGATTTTAAGTGATCATTACAAAGATTGGCCCAAACATATGGACACTAAGTGAAGTTCTGTTTTTGGGGAAGAAAAGTTATTGTTATAGCTATAAAGAAAAAAGAAATATTGCATTGTTAAGCCATAATTAGATTTCCATAATATATAATCGCCCCAAAATTGTCAATTATATAAAATGAAACCAAAAATGCAAATGCTTAAAGGAAGAATGCCAAGATGATAGATTACAGAGATTATCATCACTACCAGAATAAATAAGATGGCCGCTTTCATCCGCGAAACATACAGTATTAACATCAGACTGCATCAGGAAACAAATATATTCAAATAATCTTCTGCCAAAAAGCAAACCTGGAGAGAGCAACAAAGGAATTGTAATAACAATGCAGATGCAATATAGAGGAGATATAGCTACATAAATTGAGGATCAACGTTTCCAGATTGCACCTCTTAGCCAAATCTATGTACACCACAATCGTAACATGACGAGTGAGTTGTGTGCTATTTTAGATGAAGTTTACATGCAGGATAGACGTGGCGAGAATAATGCAAACAAAGTGATGGAGCGGACTATGAAAGTAAAGGATAAAAAATAAAAAAAAATAAAAAAAACTTCAAATCCACAAGTTCAGAGAACGAATTCTAATATGTTATTATTTATTAATGAACAATGAATGCATAATGATAATATGCTATACCTACAACCACTATTTATAAAGGTAGAAGAATCCTAGAAACAGTCCAATTTGGCATTGTTTCTAAAAATTACACACACGCACAAAAAAGGTTCCAAATGATTAAACTAAGATAACTACCACGTTTCAGATCAATCCGAATCCGTTTAGACATCCAACAAAATATTCAACAGTCTTCCTATAGCACTGAAAAAAATGCAATTTTGGGCCCTAAGAGATGGAATTTGCCAAAAAGGGCTTAATCACTGGCTAGCATAACTAGTGAATATTGATCGTTGGACCGTTTCCAATCGAAAGCGGGGATGAGTTCGTTGAAATTGTAACAAAAAAATGTTAGCATGCCTGTTTGACCTTTTGGTGGTCCAAAAGGTCATATAGGTTTCGCCAATCAATTCCACATCATAAAGCCAATGCATACATGATTATGTTAATTTCTGCCCTGGTGCCAGTAATTTCACTTATGCTAAAGCTCTGTTTGGTGAATGAACTTCCAAGATAAGCTCATTTGCTTCTAGATGATTGCCTTAGACTTTGGTCATCAACTCGATGCAGATATATGGCAGCAATCATCCACCAAAACAGTTATGTAGCTCAACTAAGAACAATAAAAGATGTATGCCTAACAAGATGGATTCTTTACCTTATGTGCCAAAATTCGAAGAGAAGGCTTATTAGCTTCAAGATCATAAACATATATTGAATTATCACTGCTTCCAGCTACAAGTTCACGCCCATCTGTTGAGAATTTCACAGAAAAGATTCCAAAAGAATATCTCACATCCTTGTCAGTGGAAAATTCTAAACCATCATGGATCTCCTGCATAACAAACAGGACCGAAATATGAAGCAGTCATTATAGTACGAGGAAAATAGAACCCAAAATATTTTATCTTCTCTCAAGAAAGATAAAATCCAAGTACCTGAATATCACTTGAAGGATGACCAAACAACAACGTTGCAGCAATGAAAGTGGTGTACCTTTTATAATATCAAAAATTCAAGTCTCACCACTAACATCCTATGGACCAGAGAGTCAATGTGCTAAGACAAACTTAAATTTTCTATACCCAAATTCCCTTCAGCTAAAAAGAAAAAAAAATAATGAAAGGAAGATGGAAAACAGTCAAAGCAACACAATATAGGATGCAATCATGCTAATATTATTTTTTCGGCCAGTCAGATTGACAAAGTGAGATTGCTGATTGCAAAATTCACCGCTCCACAATCCCCAACTAATATGCAATTAAAGTGTCCTACCTGGATTTACATTGTCTTCAAAGCCTTGAAGAAGATAATAATCTCAGATTTGAACTGAGACACAATATTTTAACAAATTTTCTCCCTTATATAGGTTCGAATAATCAAATATGTTTCTTTCTTTCTTTCTTTTTTCCTTCCGATTTCCAATTTCCCATGAAAAGAAACTAAAGTGAAAATCAATAAGTGGAGTTAAAATATGACCGAAGTATTAGCCAACACATAATTCATATTTGATTCTATAAAATACAACAGGTCTTCTTTCCCTAGTGGCTAAATCTACGGAATTCAAAAACAGACAAAATTTGAGCTTCATACCGTGATGTTTGCAAGGGACTCTGTTGCAGCAGAACCAATATTAAAAATATGGACAACAGGTGACATGCTAGCATAAACCTGCAATAACAATTTCCATACTGAGAGTAAGATATTTTAAATATATATATATATATATAAGAAAGAAATGGAACGAGAAAATAAAAAGATAGATAAGCTTCATGCCACCAACAAACAATTATGTCAAGGAGAAATAAATTTATTCAACTTGGAATGGTTAATATTATGCACCTAAGTAGAAAAAAGAAATGTTAAGGTCCTATAACTTGCAGCTGAATAAAATTGCAGATTTCAAGAGAACGGAGTATTTTTTTCTAAATAAATATTCATCTGAGAAAAATGAAGTATGTGAGTTTGTTGTGCACCTAGGCACGTCAACCCTACACGAATAAAAAATTCATTCACATAAAAAATGTTTGATTAGAAAATGATTTGATGAAAGAAGAAAAAAAATGAATCAGAATTTATCCATGATTAGACAATATATAATTAATTTCAATTTAAACACGAAAAATATCTACATTTTCATTGGCCATTTGGCCAAATGAGGTCCTGCAGCATATATTATGACAGAATATTTGAGTAGCCAAGAGATTGACTTGTTAGAGACAAAATTACTGAGAGAGAGAGGGAGGGAGATTGAAGTCTATGGCTTCAAGTTTAAATCATAGCAAAATAATCAACCAAAAAGAAAAAAGGGAAAGAAAAAAAAAAAGGTCAATTTTATATTAGAGGAAATGAATAATCAGGTGGTCCAATTTGGTTGAAAAAACAGTACGCAAGTTGAGTAGTTGTCTAGTTTAGGACAATTGAGCAGGTCTTGATTTTCGTTTTATAATACTACTTTAACTTTGCTCCCTGATTTATGAAAAAAAATAATATTATAAAAATGTAAATCTCATTGATGAGTCTAACTTTCTTAGGTCTCGTTGAAAGTGGATAAATACATTACTTTCGAATTGTAAGATCATGGGATCTGCATTGGTCTTTTAACAGCCATAGTTGACATGATAGCACTAGAACTTACAAGATAGCGTTGATCGGGGGAAAGAGATGTGTCAGTGACCGTCCATCGTAAGCTTTTGGCAAGTATGTTCTTCTGAACTTTCCACCCTCTATCAACGTTATATATTTTAATGTGGTTTCCCTGTAATATAAAATAATACTAAAAATTATATTTTGAATAACATACCACAATCAACAAGAATGGGCACAAAAAGAAAAACAATTAAACTTTAAAAATTAAATTAAATACGATCCAAAACAATAGTAAGCTCCATTCAACTGAGTGTAACACACATATTTGACTCAACGAACTGAACTGTTTATTTTCCGGAAATAAAGAACAATATAAAGTGTATGCTTCAAATTCATATTTCATATCAAGAGATTGATACCTGAAACCCAGCTATGAAAAGGGAACCATCAGCCGAGAACTGTGAGATATAAGCCCGGCTTCTCATTTGGTCAACCACACAAGGACCATTGACAGGCAGATATTTACTTAGAACATGACAACAATTTGCAGATGAGAACTGATGATTATAATTTAATTACTCGTGGATAGGGGAAGATCGTTAAAGTAACGCGCTATCTCATAAGATTGAGATAGGCTCTACAGACTAAGATAAGAACTACGACTAAGATAAGGGTTACAGATTACGATAAGAATTGCAAAATACGATAAGGATTAGGCCAACAGATTATGATAAGGATTAAGGACGACGTAGACGCTACGTAACATCCTGACCCAAGTCCTATAAATAGGGAGGGCTAATCGACGTTTGGAGGTAGGCAAAAAACCCTAACTCAGACGGCGCCAACTGTTGAAGATGGATTCTCCGCAACCCGGATCTGATCTGACTTCCTGAATAAAGAGAAGAAAAAGTGATCCTACAAACACCGGTGTGTTACCGGTGGAGTAGGCTCCGACGAACAAGTCAGTGTGAATGATAATCTCTCTGGAGAAATCGAGATATTGAGTTAGGGTTTTTTGCCTTTGACGAGAGGGCCAATCAAGTCCATTCCCCATTGAGCAAATGGCCATGGTCCTGACATGGGAGTCATCTCCTCTGACGGTTGTCTCGGGATGTCGGCAAATCGTTGACACTTGTCGCACTTTTTAACGAAGTCAAGTGCATCTTTCTGCATGGTGGGCCAATAGTATCCTTGTCGGATGGCCTTGTTTGCAAGTGACCTACCCCCAGCATGGTTTCCACAAACTCCTAGGTGGATCTCCCTCAAAATGTAGTCAACTTTCTCGCTAGAAACGCATCGTAAATACGGCATGGAGAAGCTTCTCTTGTAAAGCACCCCTTTGATAAGCGTATACCTAGCTGCCCGCATCTTGACCTTTCGAGCTTCTGCTCGGTCTGTTGGTAGCACCCCATCCTTGATATATCTGATGATAGGATCTGCCCATTCCACACTCAATATCGCTTGTTGCACTTCAATTTGTCTCTCCTGAGATATAGATGGTTCATCCAAATATTCCAGTGGTATATTCTTATTGATCTCAGGTTCTAATGCAGTAGCTAGCCGGGCTAAAGCGTCTGCTTTCCCATTCTCTTCTCGTGGTATTTGATGAATTGAGAATCTTTGGAAGTGATTCTTTAATTCCTTCACCTTTTGTAGATAACTCTTCATCTTCTCGTCTCGTGCCACATATTCCACTTGAACTTGTCCAGCGACCAGCTGGGAGTCGGTGTACACCTTTAATTGCTCAACCCCTAGGGCATTTGCCACTTTTAATCCTGCTATCAAGGCTTCGTACTCTGCTTTGTTGTTGGTTGCTTTGAAACCAAACCGAAGTGCGTACTGTATATTTTCTCCCTCTGGGGAGACAAGAACAAGCCCGGCTCCGCTAGCCTGAGCAGTAGATGACCCATCCACGAACAAGTCCCAGACTAATTCTGGGCCCATCTGCTCACTTAAACTTGGTTCTGTCAAAAATTGGGGTTGTTTCTCTTCTTCTGGAGGGGTAAACTCAGCTAAGAAATCAGCCAACACCTGAGCCTTTACTGCTGTTCTTGGCTTATACTGAATGTCGAACTCCCCTAACTCTACTGACCACTTCATCAGTCGACCAGAGCTTTCTGGCTTATGTAGGACCTGTCGAAGGGGTTGATCTGTTAGGACCACTATCGTATGCGCTTGAAAGTATGGTCTCAGTTTCCTAGCGGACACAATTAAAGCAAAGGCCAACTGTTCCATCCTTGGATATCTTTCCTCCACACCCCTAAGCACTTTGCTCACGAAGTATACTGGCCTTTGGACCCCTTCTTCTTCTCGTATCAGAGCTGAACTGACAACTGTCGTGGAGACTGCAAGGTATATGTATAGTTCCTCTCCCGATATGGTTCGAGACAGTAGTGGGGGAGAACTAAGGTATTGTTTTAGTTCTTTGAATGCCTGCTCACATTCTGGGGTCCATTCAAAAGCCTTCCTTAGTACACGAAAGAAAGGTAGACACCTGTCAGTTGACCGAGAGATTAGCCTACTCAAGGCAGCAATCTTCCCTGTTAGTCGTTGTAGATCCTTGGTTGATCTTGGCGATCTCATGTCAATGACTGCTCGGATCTTCTTTGGATTGGCCTCAATTCCTCTTCTGCTTACCATATATCCCAAGAACTTTCCTGAGGAAACCCCAAAGGCACACTTGCTGGGGTTGAGTTTCATCTTATGACTCCTAAGTACCTCGAAGGTCTCCTGCAGGTCAGTCAAATGGTCTTCAGCTTTTAAGTTTTTCACCAACATGTCATCAACATATACCTCCATGTTTCTACCAATTTGATGCTTAAACATTGCATTCACTAGCCTCTGGTATGTTGCACCAGCGTTCTTGAGCCCAAACGGCATTACTTTGTAACAGTACAAACCTCTATCAGTGATGAAGGCCGTTTTTTCTCTATCTGAGGTGTACATAGATATCTGGTTGTATCCAGAATATGCATCCATGAAACTTAATAGTTCGTGTCCAGCCGTTCCCTCAATGAGCATATCGATTCTTGGGAGAGGAAAGCTGTCCTTCGGGCAAGCTTTGTTAAGGTCGGTGAAATCCACACATAGCCTTCATTTTCCATTTGCCTTCTTCATTAGGACCACATTTGCCAACCAGTCGGGGTAGTACACCTCTTGAATAAAGTCGGCTTTTAAGAGCTTTTCCACCTCTTCTGATATAGCCTGATTCCTTTCTGGAGCAAAAGTCCTCCTCTTTTGTCTGACAAGTTTGAAGTCAGGATTTACATTTAGGCGGTGCTCCATGATAGTGGGGTCTATACCCGGCATGTCTTCATGTACCCATGCAAATACGTCTTGATTCTTCCTGAGGAATTGAGTAAGTTCATCTTTGATACCTGGGGGGAGTAAAGACCCTATACTCACTTTTTTCTTGGGCTTACCAAGGATGACCTCTTCTAGCTCCTCTGTAGGTTCCGCTCTATGAAAGTCTGGTCTATCTTTCCCTTCCAGCCCTTCAATCGTAAATGCCTCTTGCGATTTTATTTTTCTGAGAGAGGCGACATAACATTCGCGAGCCATTATTTGGTCCCCTCTTATCTCTCCCATACCATATTCAGTTGGGAAACGCATCAGGAGATGGTAAGTGGACGTGATTGCTTTCATAGCATTCAATGTCGTTCTCCCCAGAATAATATTATATGATGATGGGCAGTCCACCACTACAAAGTCCACCATTACAGTGACCTGCTTTGAATTGGCTCCTGCAGTGACTGGAAGGGTAACTGCCCCCAGTGGATATACTTTGTCGCCTGAAAATCCCACCAGTGGTGACTTCATGGGTCGGAGCTTCTCTCGGCCAATTTTCAATTTCTCGTACGCCCTAAGAAATAGTATGTCAGCCGAGCTACCATTGTCTATTAGTATTCGTCGAACAGTGAAATTAGCAACGACCATGGAAACTACCAGAGGGTCATCATGGGGCTGGTGAATTCCCTTGTCATCTTCTTCAGAAAATGTTATGACCGGCTCCTCAACTCGAGGTAATTTGGTTGGAGGACATGTCATTCCAACTTCATTCACCTCTAAAAAACTCCGAATTCTCCTAGCATGAGCCTTCCGAGCTGAACTCGTCTCACCACCACCAGCGAAGCCACCCGATATAACTTTGATCTCACCCATTGGTTGGTGTTGAAGAGGGCGATCATCTCGGCCCTCCCGGGCTGGGTTGGAGCCTCCTTTTCCATTTCTAGTAGTGAATTTGCGTAAATGACCTTTACAAACAAGGTTCTCAATCTGGTTTTTGAGGTCGAAACAATCCTCTGTGTTATGTCCATGGTCCCGATGAAACCTACAGTATTTATCTCGAGACCTCTTTGTTGGATCAGCTTTTAGCTTTGGTGGCCATTTCAATGATGCGTCATCTTGAATCTGCAGAAAGACTTGCTCTATAGATGTATTTAGGGGGGTATAGTTATTATACCTGCCTGGGCTCGTTGGGCGGCGAAACGATCTGTCAGCCTGGTTGTTTGAGAATTTCTTGTACTTCAATTCCCTTTCCTCCCTAGTGCTAGGTGCTGGCCTCTTCTTATCCGACCTCTTATCTTCACCATCTTTGTTTTTTCGTGCATTCATAGCATCGTCAGCGTTCATGTGCTTCCGCGCTCTAACCATCAACTCTGTCATGCTTGTAGGGGCTTCCTTTGATAAGGAAAATAGGAACTTAGAAGTCTGCAGTCCTCCCATAAAGGCTGTGAGGGCAACCTTGTCGTCCACCTCTTCAACTTGCAGCATTTCAGTGTTAAAACGACTTATGTAATCACGAAGGGACTCTCCCTTCTGCTGCTTCACATTAAGTAAATGTGTTGCTGGTCTCCTGTGCTTCTGCCCAGCGATGAAGTGTCCTATGAATTGTTTGCTCAACTCTTCAAAGTTTTCAATGGAGCCTGGCTTTAATTTATTGAACCAGAGACGAGCCCAACCCTTGAGTGTGGTAGGGAAAGCCCTGCACATAATCTCGTCCGGTACGGCTTGCAAATACATAAGAGCTTTGTAGGTCTCCAAATGGTCGAGAGGGTCCCGCGTCCCATCGAAGCTCTCAAGAGTTGGCATCTTGAATTTCCTAGGTAGAGGACAACTCATAACAGCTGGGCTAAAAGCTAGGTTAGTCTTTTGTACCATATCGTTCACTGCAGCCTGGCCCTTCCCTTTCATCGCTTGCATGACATCGTCAACCTTGGCTTTCAGATCTTGCAACTCTAGATCGAACTGAGTGGCGTCCTCAGTCTTGTCTCCAACATAACTAGAAGTATCCCCACGGAGCCTGGTGGTATTCCGTTCAGGGGACCGATGGTGATGGCTCCTCTGTTGACCCCCTATTTGACTAAGCTCAACATCGTTGTTAACCCTACGTGAGTCATCGTTGGGTACTTCACTGTTTCTCTCCTCGTTGGGGGCGGCTAAGCGTTGCAGAATCATCGCATTTTGCTGGACTAACTGGTTCACCAGTTGTTCCAACGCTGCGACGCGTTCCTGATCATTTGGGACGACGGGGGGTTGCCCCGTTGAAGTCCCTGCATCAGAAGCCTGCAACCCTTTGCCCTCGCCAGCAGCCAGACCAGATCGCAATAGAACCATGCTTTGTTTAGAGAACAAAAATAAGTTCCCACAGACGGCGCCAACTGTTGAAGATGGATTCTGCGCAACCCGGATCTGATCTGACTTCCTGAATAAAGAGAAGAAAAAGTGATCCTACAAACACCGGTGTGTTACCGGTGGAGTAGGCTCCGACGAACAAGTCAGTGTGAATGATAATCTCTCTGGAGAAATCGAGATATTGAGTTAGGGTTTTTTGCCTACCTCCAAACGTCGATTAGCCCTCCCTATTTATAGGACTTGGGTCAAGATGTTACGTAGCGTCCACATCGTCCTTAATCCTTATCATAATCTGTTGGCCTAATCCTTATCGTATTCTGCAATTCTTATCGTAATCTGTAACCCTTATCTTAGTCGTAGTCCTTATCTTAATCTGTAGAGCCTATCTCAATCTTATAAGATAGCGCGTTACTTTAACGATCTTCCCCTGTCCACGGGTAATTAAATTATAATCATCAAGAACCTCCCTCTTCCTGAATAATTACCTTCTCGACCCGTCAACATTTTAACAGGAGAAACCAGGAATTCCCGCTTACCGGGTAGGACTCGGCTCAAATGTCCATGGGGTCCTGATCTAAGTTTTGTGAGCTGAGCAATCTCATAGTCCAAATAATTCAATGGTTCTTTAGATGTATGATATCCATCAACTTGGGAAGTGGATTTACCACCTTCACACAGTTTTGAATCTGTCTTCAATCTACTCATAGCATAACCCAGGTCGTTAATAGCAACCTCCCTGATCCTAAAATACATTTTAATTCAAAACCACCACAGAGAATCCCTACACATAAGCATCAAATCATTTCCAATTGAGTTCTGGTCTTTTAAATCCTGCAAACAAGCCATGGAATAACCCAGAATATATATGTGTAAGGATATTATTATATTTGAATATGCAATCAATCAAGGTTTCGTGAATAAAGTTAATTTCTTGTATAGAAGATGATATAATCCTACAAATATTATTTGAAGAAAATATGAGAAATGAACAGAAAGATAATCCTATTTTATTTTTAAATATTTTATCAATGAGAATTAGAATATGTTCAGCTAAGTTAAATAATTCTACTAGCCAAAATTATGTGAATGCTACACTTTACATTATGCAGTACTCTACATTCTTCAACCCAACAGAACCGGAAAATCTGTTCATAAATTGGGGACCCTAAAAAAGCAGATACAATCTTCAACCCAACAACCAAGTTTTAAAGTGAATGAACCAAGAATTAGACAATTCAACAACAATATTTATAGAATGACAAAAGGGTAAACTTGGAAAAGATGAGAAGAAAATGAAACTGTTCAAACTCAATAATAGGATGATAATGTCTCACCTTGTTAGATGATACTAAGATCCGAAAATTCATGAAGATATCTAGGTGGGCCTTTTTAGATTTGTTTATTGGTTTATGGTGAGCAAACAAAGTAGAATATATATTCTTTCTTTCTTTTTTGGGTGTCGTTGTCGGTCGCTTGTACTGTGAAAAACTAAAACTAACCAGCGTGGTGTTCTCTACTTCGCAAGATTATTTTGTGATTTTGACGGGAGTGGCAGTGATAGAAATTCCAGTTTAAGAGGGGGAGGGTGTGAGTTTTGGGGTGGCCTCACAATTGGGCTTGGTAGGTTTGATTTGAATGGACAGGGAGAAAAGAAAAGAGGGGGTGGGAGTGTGTTTGGGTGGGTTAAGTGGAAGAAAAAGATAGAATAGGGATAAATATATTTGCATTCTTTTTTAATTTGAGAAAGATAGAAAGAGAAATGGTGAATTATTAATACCAAAAATACTCTTTACAAATTAATATATAAAAAAGTTATTTTATTTATGTCGCAATTATTTAAAGAAATATTCTTCTTGTAAAAGAAAAATAAACAAGGTCTGATTTCCCAAAAGGAAATATTTAAAGAAATATTTTTACAAAACAATTAGCTTGGTTAAGTAGCTTGGTCTTCCTTTTTATATTGATTGAATAAAGGGAGCGAGCTGGAAGCAAATTTGTTTTCATCGATTATTTTATTATTTTTTTTTTACTTTTATTTTTACCCATTGTATTGATAACATAAGAAAACATTTCAAAATATCCTAATGTGTGAAGTGATTATGAAAGGGTAGTCACTATCATTTCTTTTCTTTCCTATCCAAACAAAAATAATTATGTTTCTTTTTTTTTTCCTCCCCTACCTATGATAGAAATTATTACTATATTTTCTTTTCTATTATAACTTATACTATAATTTTTTTTCTTTCCTCCCTTATTTATCCAAACACACACTTAAATAAATGGTGTCTAAAATGATGAAGTGAAATGTTTTTTATACCTTTAATTTGATAGAATTAAAAATAGGAAGGCATATCCGCACTTCACTTTTCAACATTTACACTACAATTTTAAATGAAATGACAATTCTAACCCTACTTTTACAAGTAAATAATTATTACTTTTAAAATAACACAACTATCCTTTCATAGTTTCTTTCCTTATCTCTAAATCATTATATTTTAAGTATCTTTTGACAATACAAATAAAATTTGAATTATTTTTTTTAAGGGACCCAAAAAAAAAAATTTGTTATGTTGAATAAATTGCCTCTTTTGGCCGAATAAAAAGTAATCATTTAAAGAATTATCTCTTTTGACATGAAGAAAAAAAAAAACTCAAAAAAAAAATATAGTTATTGAATAAATTATCTTTGTTGTCAATATCCCACAAAAATAATAATAATAAAAATTAGAAAAGGAAGATGATTAAAATAAAATTATCTCTATTGAATAAATTATTTCTTTTGATTAGAAAAAAAAAAAAAAAAAAAAGTTATTTTTATCGAATAAATAATGATTTCTTTTGACAGGACCATCAAAAATTACAAAAAAATAAAGTTACCTCTTTTGACAAAATTGAAAAAAAACAAAATTTCAATTTTGTTGAATAAATATCTCTTTCGATTGTACAAAATATATATACGTATATATATGACTATGGAATAAACTCTACCTTTTGACTACCAAAATTAAAATTATTAATATAGAATAAATTATTTTATTTGAGAGGATCTCGGAAAAACCAAAAAGAAAGGAAAAAAAAATGGTAAAGAAAGTAAAGAAGGTAAAATAAATAAATAAATAAAAACTGTATAAAGGGTAGTTATGACATTATAAATTAAAGAATTGTGCATTAATGAGTTCAAAAACTTTCTTGTCATTTTCTTTTAAATAAAATTATAAATATATGTAGTGCAACGGAGAAAAGTGGGGTGCGAATATCGTCTTCCTTAAAATAATAAAAATACCCCTATAAGAAAAATTAGAGGTTTTTCCTACATTTTTTTGTATCGCTTAACTATGTAGTGGATTCACGACTATCATTACTTTAAAACAAGTTATGTCATACGAGGATGCTAAATCTACATATAACACGTGCCCCATCCACACCCAAGCGATGTGTTTGCGCATACCATCCCATAAGGTCGCTATAATCACCCCCCTTTGGGGCCCATCGTCCTCGTTAGCCACACTTTCAGCTGGGTCAAGCTTTGATATTGCCCACTCTTGGCTCCCCCGAATCAGAGTCTTTCCAAGAGTCGCCCATCCTGATACTACTCTAGGTTAAGCACGCAATTCACAGGGTTCACACGAGGAATCGACCATTTTATTAATAAAATGTGACCAATTAACCAACCAACAAAACTACTTGTTACAAATAATATCTTCTTGTTGCATCGAAACACATAAATATTAACTAATCTGGCTAACATTAAACTTTGTAAAATGAAATGATTGAATAATTGAAAAATGATATTATTCAAGAATACACATTGAATTAACCACGCTTAACTCTGTAGTTCTGGTGAGTTCACGACCATCGCGGCTTTAAAATGTGTTGTGTCATAAAAGGGTGTTGAATCTACATATAGCACTGGCCCTATCCATACTTATGTGATGTGGGATTGTGCACCTGTAACTCGCCCAGTGTACCGCCTACAAAGTCACCACAAAATATTAGATAATTACGTTCATTCACAAGTGTGCCACGATCATATGTCCAAGTAATCTTGATTGTCGGTTATAGTACAGTGCACGTAGATCCGAACTTTATTTCATGATTTTAACTAAAGTAGTGATAAAAATTATAAAACAATACTTACCTTAGGCCATATAAGAAGGAACCTCCTTCTTTACGATGAGGTGGCCCAATAAAATATCAACAAGTATTCAAGTTTTACAAAAAAATAAAAAAATTATGACTGCAGACAATAATAACTTCAAGAAATATCCATAGGCTATTCAATTGGGTATTCCTACGACGAACAAGCCACCAACGTACGAGCTCCATGGTATTGTTCCAAATTCCAATTCGGCATCATAGATCTGGAGTTGAACTCATTGCCGGGACAGTAAAACGACACCATCGAAAATGAACACGAGCAATACATTAGCTCACCACCACCACAACTGTCCATAAAATATGACATCGATGTGGATGAGTACGGACTCGAAAGTTATCAACGATGGAATGGTGAATTACTTATCCCAAGATGAAGATGTTGCCATTGATCAATTCAACTCACAACTCACACGGCTCAATTCATTAAAGCAAAAAACACTATTTTATTTTAGATTCAAAACATATAAGTAATATATATTGCGGCGCGAGAGAGAAAGCGGGAATGATCAGTTTCTATTCTATGTAGTCATCTATATATATATATATACCTTCTTCTTTTAAAACTTAAACATCTATTAATATTTTATTATGCCACCTCATCATAAGAAGGAGGGTCCTTCTTATATGGCATAAGTCAAGCATTATTCAAATTTAGAATTAAGATTATTAGAGTTTTGAGACACACGCTTTAAACACCAATAGGAGTTTTGGTTCATGATCATTTAATTTTGGGTAAATTAGAGTCACACCCTCTAAATAAGTCAAGTGTCATTTATACTGGTAATTTATATGATTAAAAATAATGAAAACATATTATAAGAGAAATTACTATATTACCCACATACATTATAAACTTTTTGAACATTTAAAATTTCCCTCAATCCACTGCCCACCCACAAGCTTTTTTGGATTTGAGCCATATGAGTTCCAGCATTGGTCCTCACCAATGAAAGCTCTTTATTTTTCTGGAAAACTTTTTATCTATGTGCTATCAAGGAAAATGGGGAGTTCTTTAGGAAAAAAAAAAAATTTGGGGAGTTTTCTATTGGTTGGGTACCACATGAAAAATACTTATGATTTTTTTTTTCTTTATTCTTTTTCTCCTAGTTAAATTATTTGTACTTAAGAAAAATCGAACATTAGACCTTCGGCCAACCACTTGGGATTGTATTTAAGACTTTTTTCACGTTTAAGATTGTCTTCTTTTTTTCTTTATTTTTATTTTTTCTTTTTACGGGCAACAAAAGTTGGAAAGTATATTGGTAAGGGGAAAGTGTGAAAAGGGGCATGGGTGGGACTTGGGCGGGTCAAGAGACAAAAAAATGGGTATGTCCTGTATTGATCGTCATAAAGTCCATGGGCCCTGACCACTAGTGAGATTCTTGGAGGAATTAATACTCCGGCCGGACTATCGCTGCTTAAAATTCAGACCCAAATTACAAGCATCCAGTCTTTGGGAAGACGGGAGAATTCTAGGGTTTACTTAATGCGCGTGCCAGCCCACTTAAGCCCACCAAAGTGTGCAGCCCATTGCCCGCAACCCAGACCCAAAATCCAATTACAATCCCTAATCCTCAGATCTCTCTCGTTCTCCAATCTCTCGCATGTCGTCTACCATGGACGACCACCATTTCTAAACTCACTGTCTCTCTCTCTCTCTCTCACACGCACGTACGCACGCACGCGGGAATCATTCTTATGTGAAAGTGCCTCACATCGCAGCAATTTAGATATGTGAGAGTTTTAGCATTTTTGTTCAAGCCTACACACTTGGATTCGTTGCCTATGATACCCAATTTGGATTCCCCTACCTCAGCTGTTCTCGAGTCTCTCACATGCCACACAATCCCTAAAATTCTCGACCAAAAAATTCAATCTCTCTCTCACATACCAGGAACACTTCCCCATCCTGTCTTTCTCTCTCTAAAAAATCTTTCCATCGTCTTCCATATTCAATCTTGATCAGATAAACCCTTCAAAAACCCTTCATAGGATGTATCGTACGGTTGATATCAGACAATGAAACGGGTGTGGAAGATATCAGATGCAGCTCAAGCGGAGCTTCTCCTCTATCGATGCTCCGCAAAACCCAAAAGCCTAACAGCCCCTATCGCGAGCCTCTCAAGAATTTCGACCCAAAGATTCACCCGAGAAGTGTTCGCTCGAACGCGTTCGTGCACGGCCACGTTCCCAAACATCAACGGGTTGTTCTCGGATAAGTGGAACTACGCAGACATCATAGCAGCGAGAGAAGATCTCAGCAGGAAGGTATCGCATTTGAGAGACGAATTGATACAAGTTGTTGATGACAGTGACATGATTTTCAGACTTCTGGAAGAGAAGGGGACTTCTTTGTTCAGATGTTACTCTGATGGGTCTGCTTTGGTTGAGCTATTGAAGCAGTTGCGTTCTTGGCCTGAACTATCCTTAGAGGTGTTTCACATTCACATCTATTATATCTTTACATGTGTATATGTGTGCTATGTTTGTAGCTACATATAGATGCATGTGTTAACGGACGTTAGTATGTATATAATTCTTTTTGGCATGAAGATTTTCTTTGCGCTCACACATTATATACTTGTATTGTTGTTCTGTTTTTGTACAAGGAATATTATGTTTTTAACCAACCAAATATATCATGATATATGGAGGGTGACCTTGAATCTGACTTGTCACTTTTGTTTCAAAGTTGTCACTTTCGTACCACTGCAGTTTTTTTTTAATAGAATTTTTTCCCCCAAAAATTGTTTGAAACGAGTAGAATTTAGGAATTTCAATGGATAAACTAGTATCTCCATGGCCGACCCCATTCATATGAGATTAAGGTAAGAATAGTGATTATTAAGCTAGTTTCTCCATGCCCAGAGAAATTTTCACGTGCAACGGGAACTGATTCAGTTACCATGGAATGTCCAAAACTAAATCAGTGAACCTATTAGTTCAAACTGTTGGGGAGAACAATTTCAACTCCCAGTCGCCCAAAGTTCTACAAAAGAGGGTTCCCAATGAGGAGAGCTCACTTCCATAGTTCAGTTATCACGTTGATATTTTTTTTTATATTACACTACTAACTTGGGAGTCCAAATACCATGTAATATACAATAGACGGATTCAGCATCTATGGGATTCTCTGATACTGCTTGATCTGCAATATATTTTTTGACCCACAACAATGAACCATTGATTAGATAATTGGGAAAGAAGATATGTCAATTCGCGAATTGTCCAAACTTGATCTTGGAAAATCTTATTTATTTATTTTTTGCGCAGATCTTTAATTGGAGGAGACATGCAGATTTTAGCATTCCTATGACATCAGAGGAGTATGCTAAGGGTATTACTATTGCTGGTAGATTGAGGAATATTGATCTTGCTGATGAACTTTTTACAGAGGCTGCTAACAAGCGAATTAAAACAACATCGACCTATAATGCACTCATGGGTGCTTATATGTTCAGTGGCTTTGCTGAGAAGTGTCAGTCATTGTTTCGAGATTTAAAGAGGGAAGCAAATTGTAGCCCTACAGTTGTAACATATAACATCCTTTTATCCGTATTTGGTCGGTTGATGTTGGTAGATCACATGGAGGCAACTTTTAAGGAGATAAAGGATTTAAATCTCTCTCCTAATTTAAGTACTTATAATAATCTAATTGCAGGATATGTTACAGCCTGGATGTGGGATCGTATGGAGAATACTTTTAGGATTATGAAAGCAGGCGATGTCAAGCCTGATATTAATACCCATTTGCTCATGCTGCGAGGGTATGCACATTCTTGTAATTTGGAAAAGATGGAAGAGACTTATGAGCTGGTTAAACATTATGTAAATCGTGAAGAAACTCCATTGGTCAGAGCTATGATATGTGCATACTGCAAGAGTTCTGACAGAAGTAGGGTAAAAAAGATTGAGGAATTAATGACAGTAATTCCAGAAAATGAGTACAGGCCTTGGTTGAATGTGCTATTGATTAGAGTTTATGCAGAAGAGGATATGGTCGAGGAGATGGAGAATTTAATAAATGAGGCATTTGAGCATAAAACCTCTGTAACAACTGTGCGTATGATGCGTTGTATCATTTCGAGCTATTTCCGAAGCAATGCAGTGGACCGGCTTGTGTCTTTTGTTAAGTTTGCGGAGTCTGCTGGATGGAGGATCTGTCGGTCTCTTTACCACTGTAAGATGGTCATGTTAGCTTCTGAGAACCGCCTTGCAGAAATGGAGGGGGTCATTGATGAAATGGATAAATTCAATTTGGTTTGTACAAAAAAGACACTTGTAATAATGTATAATGCCTATCTGAGATGTGGTCAAAGATGTAAAGTTGAGAAGGTGTTGGGATTGATGTGCAAACGTGGGTATGGAATTCCATTGGATGCATCTCCTTCATAGTGAATTTTCAATCTGACAGCCTTTGTGGCAAAACAGCTCCAGAGCATTCAACTAATGATTGTGAATGGTTCATTGCAGCTGTAAGATGAATTACAGATTTCATATAATTCATAGGTAAAGTTCTGTTCTTATCATGCTTTTATTTTTATTATTGACACTTTTTATGCGTTTCGCATCAGGTCTTCATTTTCTCACTCCTGCTGTTGGAGTGTTGTTAGTATACTTCTTTCCATTTTATTGGTTCTTTGGTATTGTATCAGGAAATCTGTCAATCTTGTGGCTGATTTTTTTTTTTCCTTCCCCCTATTCACAATAATTGAGGCATGCTTTGGTTTGAAACCTCATCCAATATTCTGGCTGCATGCTTAGTTATTGTCATACACGTCATAGTTTGCAGTAGTCTCGATATTGTAGTGTACACTTTCATGTCCATTCGTCATATGCAACTTCTAAATATTATGGCGTTTGATCATATAGGGCGCAACTTGCAAATATGTGGAACTCTTGTATCTTAATGCATTTGATACATGTGAAAAAGAAAATCCTGTCCTGTTCTGAAGTAGCACGTGCATGGATGCACTTGGTGCACGCACTTTAAAAATTCATTCAGGAAACATGGACAAATAATAATTGGCCATAGATATTAGCACTTTTAGATAGAAGCCTTGGCAATAAATTAGAAACATGGAGAAATGGTTTAGAAGCAAAAGGCCTAAAATTAGCAGGACCAAAAAAAAAAAAAAAAAGAATGCCAGAAAAACATGGAATGTAAGTTCAGTGAAATAGCGGAGGATGACCATATAACTATTGCAATTCAAGACTAAAGGTTAATCAAAGTAACTTTCAATCTTTAGGGTCAATTATCCAAAGAACAAATAAATTGAGAGATAGATGATGATGTAAGAAGTAGGACTGCAGTAGGGTGGACAAAATGAAGACAGACTAGTTGTGGTCTACGTGAAAAATGAATACCAAATAAGTTAAAATGAATATTCTACAGGACAGATATTAGGCCAGTTGTCTTATATGGAGTAGAAAAAATGAACACCACATTCATGTAGCTGAAATGAGAATGCTAAGATGAATGATGGGGGTGACTAGAAGACGACCAAAACTCACATGGGATCAAGTAATAAGAAATGATTTTTTAAAATCTACATATAATAGGATACATGGCTTAAAATAGAAAAGAGTTGAAAAAAAGAATTAATATAACCGACCCCATCAATATGGGATAAAAAGAATTAATATGGCTGACCCCATCAGTAGTTCCATCGTTTTAGCACATCAAAGGACATCGTTGATCACATCACAAGTGTTAATCTTTTAGTATTAACTTATTGATGGCCTTATAACTCAACATGTTCTTTAACTCTCACTTCTTAAATACCGGAGTTGCTTATAACAAAAAGTTATATATCTTACATGATATATTTAGACACAAATTTATTCTGAGTTATTGCCTTCTTAATTCATTTTTCATGATTTTGTTCTCTTTGCAACGTATACTCAAAGGCCATTTGGCAATGCCTGTGAGTACTAAATACTACCCCTCTTAACTCTGAAACATATAACCTGAGAACAAGATAAAATGGTCTGTGTGGAGCATGTCCAGTATATAGTATATTACAAATTACAAATTTTCCTTTCAAAGCCTTGACAGGGTCGCAACATGTTATAGTAGTTCGTTACGACTTTAGTATGTTGTTGTGGTTTATGTTGTCATTGGTACATGTGATTGATTGACCACGTTTGCAGACATGGCTATATGTTGCTGATGAACTATGGCTACCAATGTGCCGAATGCTTGTGGGAAACTAAAATGAAATCCACCAAGGTCATGAAGGTGGTATCTCTTTTTGCATGAATTGTTAGAAAAGTTTTGTAGAATTACAAGGCAGATGGAATCAACAGCTGTGTTTCAAGAGTTAAAGAAGATCTAGGAATATGAATAACATTTGTAAGAGTTACATCGACGTTTTCTGGCTGTCAAGTACAAAAATCCGTTCTCGAAGGACCAGAGTGGTTGTGCAGATCACATCTGAAACAAGAGCAAGGATTACCTGCAAGCCACTTGTTTGTAGATTGATTCATCAATGCTCTTTTCTAGATGTTGCTCTGTAGAATACTTCAGCTGGGAATTCTTCTTTTTGTTGGACCAGAGTGGTTGTTCAGATCACATCTGAAACAAGAGCAAGGATTACCTGCAAGCCACTTGTTTGTAGATTGATTCATCAATGCTCTTTTCTAGATGTTGCTCTGTAGAATACTTCAGCTGGGAATTCTTCTTTTTGTCGCCAATTTATATTCAACATTTTTTTTTGGGAAATTTCTGTTCCCAAGAAAGAATTTCAGGAGTGACAAGAACCATCAGATGCAACAAAAATGGTGGAAATATAAGGAGTGAGTTGGTATGTGGCTGTCTTCTCTTTCTTCTTCTAGGTTAATTGAGAGTCTCTGTTTTGCTTCTCTCAATCTCTCACAATTTTTTTAAGGCTGGGTCCGCATCATACTTAATTATTCCTGCAGCATTGTTGCTTTCAGTTGAAAATCAGAATTGTAAAATGCAATATAATGGAATTTGTAACGTTATTTTTGAAGTTATTTTTTATTTTTGGCATGGGACGGGAACACTTAAAGAAGTTTATAACAGAAAGTATTACGAAAATGAAAGATGAATATGGATATTTGATGGTTTTTGAGTTAACAAGTAAATATGGTATAGGCATCTAATAATTGTGTTGATTTAGTTCACATGAACCTTTGAATGGTATAATTAGGATATATATATATATATTCCTATTCATGTGGCTGCTGTCTGTTTTCACAATTGTGGAGTACCAGAATAAAAGGAGGATTGATGGCACAGTTGTATAGGAACGATGGTGCACCCAAAGAAGTATTCTTGTAGCTCTATTAATTTCTGCCCTAGCTATGAGTCTTATTTGTGGGTTTTTGGTACATCTTGTTCCCAAACTTCGAATACGCGTATTAAGTGATCGTTATTGGAGCACAGCACACAATTTTGGATTGTTTCATGTACATCTATAAATATATCCGAAAATGAGTAGTCTGAACGGAAGAAAGTATTTCAATGATCAAATAAAGAAATCAGTCTGACTAGCGTGTTCAAATAACTGAACATTTTTAAAATTTGTAGGAGGACCAACAACTAGTTTGACTGAAGAAAGTATTTCAAGTGCTAAAATGAGTAAAAAATTTAAAATGTGTAGACAGTCCTAGCTTAAATAATTTTCAAATCATAACTCCTCCGAGCACTAGTTAAAAAATGAAAAAATAAAAAAGGTGTATATATATATATATATATATATATATATATATATAGTGTGATTAGTTAGTGTGTGTATGCTTGAATTTAACAAGAAGAAGAATTAAGAGTAGAAAGTTGCTCCAGTTCAGACCCAGAAGTTGGTTCCTTGGTTGTTGGAGAGAGAGAAAAAGTCCCTACTCTGTAATAGGAGCATTCCAAGCTTAAGTAGTTGGCGATCGTTCTTCTTTTTGGTTTTAGCTTCGCCAATGCAGGCCTCTTCTTCACGGAAGTACGACGTGTTCTTGTCATTCAGCGGCATTGATGCTCGCAACAACTTTACGGGTCACCTCTTGGCCGCTTTGGATCGCAATGGTTTCTACACTTTCAGAGACGACACTAAGCTCGCCAGAGGTGAAGATATTGGACAGGGACTCCTCAAATTCATCGAGGATTCATCCATCGCCATCATCATCTTCTCCAAGAACTACGCCGCCTCTGGATGGTGCCTCGACGAGCTTGTCAAGATCATGGACTGCAGGAGGACCTTCAAGCAGTTTGTTGTTCCTGTTTTCTATGGCGTCGATCCCTCCATTTTGAGGATGCAGAGTGACTTTTACGCCCAAGCATTTGCCAGACACCAAGACTGTTTCAAAGCACCACCCAAACTACGCCGCTGGAGGGATGCTCTAACTGAGGCTGCCAATATTTCTGGCTTCCACTTCAAACATGGGTGGGTATTCTTTCTTTCCGTCGACAATAAATATTTTTCCTTTCCTTTCCTTTTGCATTGCCAATTACATTGATGCATTTCATTTGATAAGAATCTGATATGTGTTTCCCAATTAGCTCGGGGTTGTTTATGGATTCATTCGTTATATCCCTCTATTAATTCTGTTGAATAATTTTGTAAACGTTCGACTTTACCAAATAGCGCGTTTTTTTAGTTATTATGATTGAACCAACCACTTTGGCTTGTGTTATACGTAAAAATAACATGAGTCATTACTTTACTCTCACTGCTGTGACTGTCAAATTTAATCGATGAATATTTAAAACTTTTTTCTAAATTGTGGGAGAAAAAATTGCAGGGATGAGTCAAAGTTGGTTGACTCTATTGTTGATGTGGTTGCAAATGCTTTAGATCCATCACTTTTAAGTGTTGCCGACTACCCAGTTGGAATCGATTCTCGTGTTGAAAAACTCAGGAAGTTGTTGAGCTTGAGATCAAATGATGTTCTAATTGTTGCCATATGGGGAATCGGCGGAGTAGGTAAGACTGCAACTGCAAAAGCTATATATAATCTCATACATCGTAGCTTTGACAGCAATAGCTTTCTTGAAAATGCCGGAGGAATTTGGAAGCAATACAATGGCCCTATTAAGTTACAAAGAAGGCTTCTTTCTGATCTTCTACTTGATAAAAATCAAAGCATTAGAAACTTTCATCATGGAATTGAGGAAATAAAATGGCAAGCATGGTGTCGGAGAGTTCTTCTCGTCCTTGATGATGTAGATGATGTCTCCCAATTGAGGGCATTAGCCATAAATCGAGATTTGCTACATCCTGGAAGTAGGATCATTGTAACAACTAGGGATCTGTCTACGCTAAGTTCACTTCAAGTGGATAAGGTGTATATGCCTGAGGAGTTGAATAAGGAGGAATCTCTTCGACTCTTCAGTTGGCATGCCTTTAGGAGAGACTGTCCTATAGAAAACTTTGAGATCCTCTCTGAGGAAGTCGTTAGTTATGCTAAGGGGCTTCCTTTAGTTCTTGAAATTTTAGGTTCCGTTTGTCAGATAGGACCATACCAGAATGGATAAGAAAATTGAACAAGTTGAAAAAGATTCCTCATAATGATGTTCAAGGAAAACTTAGGATGAGCTTCGATTCACTTGATGATGAACAGAAGGGTTTATTCCTAGATATTGCATGTTTTTTTGTTGGAATGGATCAAGATTTGCCAATCAAAATACTAGAAGGCTGCAGTTTCTTTCCAAAATCTGGAATGGGGGTTCTAGCTCGTCGTTGTCTTGTAAGAATTGATTCCGATAATCAGTTGGCGATGCATGATCTGATTCAAGACATGGGTAGAGAGATTGTCCGCCAAGAATCCTGTCGAGAGCCCGGAGAACGTAGCAGATTGTGGTGTCACGAGGACGTTCTTGATGTATTGATAAATAACACTGTAAGTGCAAATGCATGAATTGAATTGTTAATATGGGAGGTTTTGTTCACTCCAAGAGTGCCATGGCATATGACACATCACTGAAGTCTCACAATTAGGGGTTGTGATCTGCCACTCCCCCCCCTCTCTCTCTCTCTATATATATATATATATCTATATATATATATTTATCTTTATACTTATCTATATATGTATGTACTGCTTTTATCATTAGGGAACCAGACTAGTTGAAGGCCTAGCCTTGAACTTGCCAAGATCCAATGAGCCAGAACTGGATGCGAAGGTGTTTGCAGGCATGAGCAGACTCAGACTGCTTCATCTCAGTAATGTCCACCTAATTGGAAGCTATGAATGTCTCTCCAGAAGACTAGTATGGCTGTGTTGGAAAAGTTTTCAGTTGAAATGTATACCATCTACCTTGTATATGGATAACATGGTTGCTATTGACTTTAGCTATAGCAGCCTCGAAGAAGTTTGGAGAGAAACCAAGGTATGACAATCTATCTCTTCTTTCAAACTTTTTGTCATACCTCTTCTTTCAAACTTTCCACATAAAAGTTTCATGTTTTTTTTTTTTTTTTTTTTTTACTTTCTTTTTCTGACAGGTTCTGAAAAAATTAAAATACCTCAATCTCAGTCATTCCTATTTCCTGACAAAAACCCCGGATTTTACTGGGCTTCGCAGTCTTGAGATACTGTTGCTTAACCATTGTACAAAGTTGGTAGAGGTTGACCAATCTATAGGATGTCTGAAAAATCTTCTTGTCTTGAATATGAAGAATTGCCAAAATCTTTGCAAGCTTCCGCGAAGCATGTTCTTGCTGAAATGTCTTGTCCATCTTGATATCTCTGTCTGCTCCAAGTTAGGCGGGTCAGCAGTTATGTCATGGTATTCATCTTTCTCATCCTTGGTATCACTAACAAGGAGTCCAGATTCTATTGGGCTGTCACCGGCTTCTATACTGGGATCAAGTTGCATTTTGAAATTGTATCTTGAAAACTGCAATATGTCGTACATGCCCAGTGAAATTGGTAGTTTGGTCTCTTTAGAATGTTTGAATCTTAGCAGAAATAAAATTTCTAACCTACCAGCATCACTAGCCTTCCTAAACTGAAGGGCCTTTATCTAAACCAATGTACTTGGCTTCAATCGCTTCCAGGGCTTCCAATAAAGTTAAAGGGGTTGAGTGCAAACTACTGCACATCATTGGAAAGAATATCAATTGAATCAAAAGTGGATGAAGCACGATTCATGACTTTTTACGGTTGCTCCAAATTAGTTGACAACAATTTTGCGAATGATTTTAGAAAAATTCTCCTCCAATGCCAGGTACTCTCTCTCTCTCTATATGTATATACATGTGTGTGTTGGAATTACTTATTGGCCTGCAACAGATCATTACTGTATATCCAAGCAACCGCATAGTGAGCAGACTGGTACACTTAGTATTGCTTTAATTATTTTACATATCCTGGTTTGCGTTAGGAATTCTATTTTGATTATTGAGTGTAATGACATTAGACATGTTCTACCGTCGATCTTTTGTATGTGACATCTCTATGCGTGTCCAAGTTCCTAAACATTTAGGTAATATTCATTCCAAATGTGAGCACTGGTCTTAAGAAACCTTTATTGGAATATTGATTGTTGATTTTGTCAATCTAGAAGTCCTTAACTTGAAGGCATTCATGAGTTTTAGAAAGAAGTCATCTATTCACCTGTGACTTGGCCGAGCATAGGAATAACTTGTTCAATTTACTTTCTGTTAGAAAGGGAACTTTGCCATATCTCCCGGTCATTCTTGGTCAAATCACCAGCTGGCTAAATTTGGACCAAACATGTAGAGAATTAACTATGAAATTTTTGTAAGAAAATCATCTTGTTTTGTAGTCTAACATGTCACGCATGATTGACCAAACAGGGATTGCCAAAACAAGGCGATTTTAGTATTTTTCTTCCTGGAAGTGAGGTTCCAAATTGGCGCAACTACCAAAATATGGGATCAGTTTTATCTTTTGTGGTGCCTCCAGATCAGAAGATACAAGGGTGGATTTTGTGTGTTGTTTTAGCTGGCCGCAGCAATGATGACGACGATATGTTTACCATTTCCTACGACATCCATGATCAGATTATAGGCGAAAAATGGCATTATCAACCAACAGTGGATGGATATCCATTAAGAGGTGAAGACCAGATATGGCTCAACTATGCACCATTCCGGCGGTATCTTAAATCCGAGTGGATGGAATTTGAATTCCATGGCGGAGATGTAGTGGAGATGTCAATCAGAATAGACAAGCATTGGTGGGTGAAAAGTGTGGGGTTAATATCATTTACGAGGGGGATCTCCAGTCAAATGATCAACCACTCATCATTGCGAGATTTCCCTATTGCAGAGAAGATTATTCTGCTGACGGGAAAGGTGCACTCTCACTCACGAGGTTGGTAATGGATCAATCATTTCTCCATGAGATTGGAGTGTTAAAACCTATTAAAAGGGACTATTATTTAGCATTGTCCCGACTGTAAAAGAGTCATTCAAATGAGTTTGAATGGGTCAATGATTTGATAGAGTAATATAATTTTATAGGTTTATATAAATGTTTGGCCTAAAAAAAGTAGGTGTCGGTTCCGATAAAATCGAATGGGCATGTTAGGAACTGTAGTGGTTCCAAAGAGAGATCCAAGCAATATTTCAGAAGGAAGACTGTGAGACCAGACAATTGTGAAGAGGTCTAGAATGAACACCTCTGGGTTCTTTTTGCCTTTGATAAAGGACTTCGGGATAGTTAACTGGCTAGGAAGAACTGAGAAAGTAATTGAAAAGATTATAAAATTATCTAATGAAAAGTAAAATGCAGGACTAAGACTAATCATATTGAAAGTGCATTGCAATGTTAAGTAAAGATTGCATTGAAATGCGTGTTTGATTTGGCGTTGAGCAGGCTTTCTAAGTTACAACATCATGTCCTATTTATAGAATTTAGTAATGATAGCTTACATGTAACCGCTTACTTCCTAAGCTTCCATGTATACCATGATTTTGCATGTAACCGCTTGCTTCTTTGGTTGTCATGTGTCCCAAGACTTTCCACTGAAACATCGTAGTACCTTTCCATTGGACCGATCAACTTTTTAGGCTGCCATGTGTTCCATAACTTTGCATGTAACCGCTTGTAACTGCTCACTTCCTAGGATGTGTCCCATGACTTTGCACGTAACCACTTATAATCACTTACTTTCTAGACTGCCATGTGTCCCATGACTTTGCATGTAACCGCTTATTTCCTTGGCTGTTATGTGTCCCAAGACTTTCCACTGGAATGTCGTAGTAACTTTCTATTAGAATTGACCAGCTTCCTAGGCTGCCATGTGTCCCATGACTTTGCATGTAACCGTTCACTTTCTAGGCTGCCATGTGTCCCATGACTTTGCATATAACCACTTGTAACCACTCACTTCCTAGGCTGTCATGTGTCCCATGACTTTGCATGTAACCACTTGTAACCGCTTACTTCCTTGGCTGTCATATGTCCCAAGACTTTCCATTGTGGTAGTACATTTCCATTGAAATCGACCAGGGTAATAAGGGTGTAAACAACTTTATAAAGAAATATTCTATAGGACAGTTATTAGGCCACCAGTTGAGGGTGGGTCTTGTTACAATGGTAAAGTTGCTTTATTGTGATTTAGACGTTATGACTTTGAAATTGAAAGTAGTCTCTCATGCGAAGGTAAGAACTTGGTAAGGTTACTCCCATATTCATAGTGGCGGAATCCCGGTGCACTAAGCTACCAAAAAAAAAAATTTCCTGAAATAAAATTCTTTTATTTGGTGTTGCACCACCCTATCATAAGTCCGTTTAGATATATATATATATATATATATATATATATATATATATATATATATATATATATATTTTCCTTCACTGCACTACCTGAAAGAAAATTCTTTTATTTGACATTGCACCACCCGTCCGTTTAGATTATCATCTGGAAGTCTAGCATTCGCAGATTGATTCACCAATGCTCTTTTCTGTATGTTGATCCGTAGAATTTTCAGCTGGGAATTCTTCTTTCTGCCACCAATTTATATTCGACATTTTTTGGGAAATTTCTGTTCCCAACAAAGAGCTATCAGATGCAACAAAATGGTGGAAATCTCAGGAGTTGGTATGTGGCTGTCTTTCTCTCTATATCTCTAACCTTTTATTTTATTTTTATTTTTTAATGATAAGTGTTTCTGTTTTGCTGTTCTCCAAGGTCTCTCAATTTTCTAAGATTGGATACGAAACATAAATTTTAATTCACTTCTTATCTTTATTTGGTTGAATGAAATGGAAAGAATACTTATATTTTTTTGTTTGGTTAGAAGAAAAGAAAATAAAGTTTTTATATTATTTTTAGGGTTTTTATATTTTTTAACAAATATACTCTTATTACATACAATTATAAAAATTAGATTTTAATATTAATTTTGTAAAAGGTTGAAAATAAAAATTACTTAATAGTTGTTAGTTATACATTTTTCTCTCTCCCAACCAAACATACCATAAGACTGTGAATCCGGGGGTCCGAACCGTTAACTGGGTCCTTACACAAACCCGAGGTCAACTAAGTTATACCATCCATTTCCTGTGTCCATGACTATCAGACGAGTCAATCCATTGTCCAAAATGCTCTAAGACACAACCTTACAAAGAGGGTCAAATATGCAAGTCAGTGAGGAAGGGTCGGCCGGCTGATAGCCCTTGGTCGGTCGGTTGACAGGGCCAGCTCGTTCGGCTGGCCTACCCGGTCGGTCGGTCTGACAGGGCCTGATCGTTCGGATGGCCTACCCGGTCGGTCGGTCTGGCAGGGTATGCTCGTTCAAATGGCCTACGCGGTCATGGTATACTCGTTCGGATGGCCTACTTGGTTAGTCGGTCTGACTTATATGGTCGGTCTGAAACAGTTGTAAAAAATGAATGCTCTCGAGACTTTGCTTCAGTAGGAGCATCGGTCGAAATATAACTTCATCACCCATTTATCATAAAATACTTACATAGCCTCTCATTTTACTTCAAAATATGGCCTTAAGGCCTTTTATGAATCCAAATACTTGAGAAGCTTCAATAAATACATGTTTCTTTACATTATAAACATTTTCATCGAAATATCATTTTCTAAATAATTAAATACAAGAATGAGGCCTCCATGGCCAAAATAAAATATAAATGAAATCAAATGAGTTCCTAACTATATTAATGTCCATGGATGCAAATCATTTACCGACTCGTCTCCGAATTCCTGAAAAATGTTAACAATAACAGGGTGAGCTCAATAGTTCAGTAAAAAGAGCCTAAAATACATTCCTAAAAATCCCGTGAGCCACAACCAAAGAAGAGGAGATCACGAAAAAGGATCATAGGAATACAAGCCATAACATCATACATGAATTTCACAAATTCGCAAACCATTTCATCATGTAACAATGTCATGTTTTACACAGTTAGCATATATGATCATATTTACATCTCCAATCATGTAGATCAAGAATAAATCATGCTTCACAACTCAATACTTGACAAAACTAAACATGCTCACACCAACAAGATTTAAATGTAAAGAACACATAGGAAACTCACTAAAACTATAGGAATTCGTAGTTTAGACTCTCCTATCTCAAGATAGCAACCCAAGCTCCAAGCTCCAAACTCACATCCCACTAAAAGCTTGCAATACCGGTACCAAAACGTAGCCCTTGAAATGATCTATAATTTGCTAACTTCGGCTTAAACTAAATCTTTTTCTAGCATGAAGAAATTATAGAGAAAAAGAATAGAGTAATATAGAGAGAGAAAGAAAATATAGAGAGAGCATGTCTGCCGAAAAATGAAGGGAAAGAAAAGAATGGGTCAAAATGAAGCTACCCTCTTGGATTCTAGAATTCTCTAGGTTGGTCCATGAACCCAAAATGACAAAAATGTCCATTAAACTCCTTTATAACCTCAACAATGCCATAAAATATCATCCTCCATTAATACCACTAATACAATATACATATATGAATATAAACACACACACACACACACATGTGAAATGCCGATGACGCCCCTCCTTTAAGATGAGAAAATCGGGAGAAGTTCCCTAGTCCGGAAATCCTTCAGGCTTCTAAAAAAATTCCGAAAATGATACCGTCACTTCTAATTGACTTAAAATGATTAAAAACACACTTCTAAAACCCTCGGCTCAAAAAAATGACCAAAACGCCTTTAAGGCTCTCGTGGCATGCAGAACGAGGAAATGATTAAAATAATCCAGAAAAATCAATTAAATTCCAAAA